TGTTTCTTATGTATCTCAATGGAACTAATCACAAGCAAAGTATTAGTGTTCTGTAAGATTCCAGGGATTAACAGATGGCTTTGCTGGCATCAGATGTGTCGATTGTGTTCCGGAGCAAATTTAAATCAGGTAAAAGATTTATACTTTCTGTGGAACAGGGAACAGATCTCCTGCTTCGTACAAGATTGTACATCTTGTGCACTTTTACAATTATGTTGATATTAATACTGATAAAGTTACCATGCTATTCATTATACAACGCTCGTGGATCACTTAGTTGTTGGGGAAAGAAAGAAAAGCTTTTGGAAAAAAGCTTTCGGGCAGAAAAGTATCTTGTGGTAATCTGTTTCTGTGGACTAAAGCAGAAAAGCAGTTCCTGGTTGCTGGGATTCTTCCCGCTCCGCTCTTGTTAACCCTGCAACACAGCGTTATAACAGGGAGAGTGGTCCTAGCTGAACAAGCAGTGTAGCTGGTTAAACTCAAGCAGTACCTCCATTGCACACCAAGCATTGTCTCTTGTCACTGTGCCCAAGTTCTCTGGGAATAGGGAAGTAGAATGTGTCCCTCCAGAGACAGAGTGCGCAGTTCATACCAGAAAAAAAGGGAACCATACATATGGCTGGTTCTTGTGCAAAAAGGAAAATGGCAGACCACCAGATCATCAGGTCATTGCCAACGTCATTTCTTGTGCGCTTGCACAAAGCTGAAAGTGATGTCAGGGATGACCTGATGATCTAGAATTCAACTTCTTTTTAAACTTGGGAACCAAAATGGTCAACTTCGAGGTATAACCCTGATACCAGTCTGTGAGTGTGAAGTGAGCAGGCCAGGTGTGTGTACCTGCCCATTGAATAAGGTTCACAATGCAGCAGCATTATAGTCAAGTTCACGTTATGAGAAGGTGCGTTATAACAGGGCTGCAGGGTATGCCCTATTTGACTCAGTTCATAAAACCAATATGTTAACCATTGATGGTTATTTTATGACAAGTTTAAAATGTATTATACAGACTGTTCATTGAGTTGAGGTATAGAACTTGTAGTTCTTGTCTGAGAAATTGTTAATCCTGTAATTATACTTCAGCAATCCTTATGGAAACAGCCTGTTAAGTGCGGGTAAGAGGATAAGAATGTTCACAGGACCAAATGAAAATATTTAGATGACCGGGTAGCCTCAGGGCCCATGAGAGGGCACAGTGTGGCAGACATTTGATGTCAGAATGATCGAGCATTTACCAGATGGATAACAGTCCATCTGGATTGTTGCAGCAAGCTGTCCCTTGGAGCATGATCGGAAACCATCTACCTGTATTTATACTGTGTTGACTGTGTGACCCTTTTCATTAGCAAAGATGTTAAGCAGGCACTTCCTTTGTAACAATGACGGAAATGTATTGATTGCAGTACCTCCTGTTAGTGCACAAAATGCAGCTCCTTTGATTTAAGCACAAGCTTTTGAACATGTCCTTCCCATAGGATTTTGAGCTCGGCAAGGCGATGTTGGTTCATTGTTCTGAAGGGCAAGTTTAAGATGAACAGGAAGTATTTCTTATACAGGAGCAGTCAGCAGTTGGAAGACATATGCACATAAAATATCAAAGGAATGTGGTTTAAACATTTGATAAACTGCTTATGCAGTAATTTTGCAATGTGTGTATGTGCTGCCTGTTATTGCTTTTTATGAATATGTGTGTGTTTTATGTATAGGTAGTAAACTGCCTTTAATTTTATAATGTGTAAATTAGTATTCTACGATTGGAGTATTACTGAATTTTATTTTTAATTGAAGTTATGTAAATATTACTGAACCAGTGAGGAAAACCAGTCAGCATTAACAGTACAACTATTTACAAATCATTCCCATCAACATGCTGTGCAGCAATAGCAAACAAAAATAAACTTGAAATAAAAACACATGCAGTTAGAATCCTTGAATTTCATCTCGAGCCTTTCATGTCCAGAGGATGTCTCAAAGCGCTTCACAGGATTTACTGTAAAGTGCAGCGATTGTATTCTGTGTAGGTAAACCCAATTCATGCACAGCAATGTCCTACAAACAGCCATGAAGTGAAAGATCAATTTTATCTGAGGGATTGTTGACCAGGCTATGGGAAGAAATTCCCTTCTCTTTTTGAATTGTGCCCTGGGATCTTCATATCCAGTTATTCCTCAAACAGAGGCTTAACCTCCTCTGCACCACCTCCAAGACCTGGGCAGCAATTCATTGTATGTCACAGTGATCAGAATTGTCTGCAGTACTTGAGTTGCAGTCTAACCAGAGACTGTACAGCATGATGTCTGGAGAACTATTGCTGTTTTGGGAATTAATCATTCTCATCTTCACCATTTCTCAAGCTGGCAGATAATTTGAAGTTAATGCAAAGAATGTTACACAATCGTAGAATGTTAGTTTTTTTTTCCACAGTTTATGGGTGACTTGACGGAACTGCTGAGTTAATGTGTTTTCTCTGCAGGGTTGGAGGCCTGTTTGCCCAGGCCAGCTCAAATAACAGACATCTGAGAATGGTTCACTTATCTACTGTCTATCAGTGAATTGGTGTCAGGAACCTAAGGAGAAGAAAATTAATATTTTGAACTCAATGTGTAATTGCAACAGCGAACTTCAAATGATTGTGACAAACATCAGTAAAGTTCAAACTTTTAAGAAGTTGAGATCAAAGCATTTCTGGTGGGAGGCTTGCGTTCTGCCTCTTGTTAAATGAAATGAGTTGCTGAACAAGATAATGCACATACAACAGAACTAAGGAGAATTCCCATGTGGAGCTGGAGCTCATGTTGAATTCAGGTAATTATAGGCTTTTGCATTAGTGCAGCCAGATGTGGTGACATAAAAGAAAACTCCTAGTTGCCTCTGGTTCTCGCAGAACACTCAACTTAGCTGTTTATGGTAAACGAACAGTGGATTTAACCAACGTGGATTTAACAGTCAATTCATCCTTTTGCTTTTTATGCTGGAGCTGACTTTTACTTGCTGCATGTAATTCCATTATGGAACACTTAAGGATCCCAGTGAAACCATTCCAATCAAAGTGACGTACAGTAATAGCAATGCTTGTTAGATTGGCCTGCAGCCAATCTTGCTATGTAAAGTGGATGCAGTTTTCATTTCCATAACAATCTCAATATCTGATTCTGCTTATAAAACCTTTAACTCCATTGAAATTTCCCTTCATTATTACATTTTGTGTAATTTGTAGACTTGTTTTGTGGGTACCTTTTCATGTGGAGGTCTGTGTATTTTTGAATTTCAGTGTTATGACGTGAAAAGTGACTGTAGCACAACTATCCTGTAAAGGAGTGCGAGCGAGAATATGCAGCCTTCACACTGCCAAGCCCCACAGACAAAATCAGGCCATATCTTTGGTTTTGCATAGAAAATCTAGTCTGTAAGAAATGTTAAGTTAATGGGTTCCACACAAAGCCTTTGCACAGGATGCATCCGTTTCTGGTGATTTACTTTTACTTTGTGGAGAAATCTATCAACAGCTGCAGTTAATTTTCTAGATGGTGTGCCATGGAATTTTATATATAAGTATGATGAGGTTGTTTGCTTTTACAAATTGCAGGCCTCCAGAGCTGTGTACTTACTTGTAGCGGACAAGGTAGTGGGTTGGGTTGATGCATTTCCCAGCATCTGTGTTTGACTCCAGCTTTAATGCCTGGCATGAAAGTCTCGTCTCTGCTGGCTGTAAAGATCCAACTTGAAATCAGTTTGGTGATGTCAGCTTTTTATACCCATAGTGTGAAAGTTGATCTTGATTTTATTTGTCCAAGCAAGAAAATATATAAGAATCCGCTTTGATTCATTTGATGTATTGAATTTGGAACTCATACAATAGAGATGGATTAAAGGTCGAGAATAAAGTAATTTGTTCAGTTTAAACAAATGTGAACACCGAATGGCAAATATCCTATTGCTTGCACCATACTGAAATATTTTAAAAACAAATATGACGTGGTTTTGTACACTACCTTTGAAAACCTTGACAATGACTTGTTTGGTTTTCTTACCTTTGTTATTTCACAGGACGTTCAGAGACTTCACATTTTCACAAACCTTTTAATTAATATGTTCCCAATGCATTTCACAAGTGTTTTCAATATACTTTCAACAACGTTTATAGGTTAATGAACTAAATGTACAAATCACATTTAACAGCCTGACCTCTGACTAACTGTGGTGCCCCTAGAAGTTAGCAGAGGATGTGGGATGTAATTAAAGATGCAGCACAGCCTAGAAAATCAAAAGCCACAACAATTACTTAAAGATTAGGGAAGAACTTTTTGCTTAAAGTACTAACAAGTTATATATATTTTTAAAAAATCATCCTATTAAATTAAGAATACTCACATTTGGAGGATTATCAGAACCCGTCTCCTACATTGCAGAGCTATTTTGTCACATGACGAAGGAAGGGCTAACTGAGTTTCTGTCAGTGGCTCAATGTATTTCAGTGGAGGTGGAATGTTTCAGCGAGTAACTGATCCTGACCAGTTTGATTCTAGGAAAGAGACTGTTCCTCTTCTTGGGTGAATATCACATCTGACCTCTGTCCTGAGAACCCACACTTGTATTCCTTCAGGAACCATAGCTGATAACAAAAACAGAAGTCGCTGGGAACGCTCAGCAGGTCAAGGCAACATCTATAGAGAAAGGAGAGTCAATGTTTCGGGTCCACGACCCTTCGTCAGAACTGGTGATGTTGTTTTCATAGCTGATGGAATGCTGATGCCAATTAGAGCCCCCTTACTGCTGCCTTGAGGAAATTCTGTCATTTCTCATGATTTCCTCAAGTATGCAGCCTGTGTATCCTGCGCATAGTTTACGTTGGTGACTTGTATGCCCTCAACATTGTTTGCCCATGAGGTATTCAACTCTCAAAAAGTAACATGTCTTGCCGTCCAGCTGTACTAGTTGTTTTGTAGACTGCTATGGGCACTTATCTGTACTGAATGTTTTCCTCTCCTTTGTTCCGACAGTGCTTCAGCTGAGGTTACAGCAGAGACGGACACGAGAACAGCTGGTGGATCAAGGAATCATGCCACGTAAGACAAATCTTTCCAAAATAGAAAATATCAGCTTTTGTCATCCATCCATTCAAGAAGAAAATATTCCACAGATAATGGTTTGGTCAAAAAGTCCTGTTGGATTTTAAAATTTACTTTTATGCTAGTAACCCATTTGGCTGCAACTTTAAAACCTTCCAATAATAATCCTTGCATTTGATACAGCACGTTGAGACGTCTCAAAGTGCTTCACCGAATATAATAATAATACTTGCATTTGATATAGCGCCTTATCGCATCTTTGAGACGTCTCAAAGCGCTTCACAGAATATACAGAGTATACTGTAAAGTGAATTGACTGTATATTTTGTGGGACAAATATACAGTGTAATATATACCAATATAATTTTCATTCTTGTGCAATCTTCCTCGTGCAATTGCTAGAGCAGGAATTACAAATTTCTTTAAAGGTTTTCTGGATCGGCTGCTTTTTTTTAGTAGTAACGTTTAAGATTTCTTTTCATCTGTCAACATAACTATTTCCAAATGCCGAGGAGTAGATTAGCAGGACTAATAATGAAGAGGTATTGAATCGTTCACATTGTTTGAATCACTTAAATACTTGAAAGGCAAATGCTTTTATGAACTCATGGTGGGTTGGTACAAATGGAGTTTCAGTCTCTCTGTCACTGTGTTCCCTTTCGTATCCATGCCAAGTGGGAAGCCGCCAAGCAAAGCTGTGGCAACCACCTTGGTGAAGACGGAAGCTGAGATTAAAGTTTCCTACCCGTCAGTACGAGAAGCTGACAAACATGGGAGGGGAGAACCTGATGACAGTCTGGGAGCAGGCTGCCAAGAGATAACATGTAGTCAAAGAAATTGGACAGATATTAAAGCAAAAAAAGTGTTATTAAAACTCACCCCATGCAATATTACTTTAGCTTGCATTTGTGCATTTGTGCAGAGACTCAAAGACTCCTTGTCAATGTAAGAGATAAGAAACCCAGTAATGGCTCCGAACCATTTAATTAAAATCAGCCGGGGTTAGTAATGTACACAAACATTCCAAAGTTTTTAGTGATGTCTGAGTAGGGGATGGTTTCACTTCACAACAATCTGCTTGGGTTTTAAAGGTTATACAGGGTACTAGTAGAACTGCTTGTTCGGTTTCTTTATAAAGAAAAACTGCTTAGTGCTGGTCTTTATTTTTACATATGACAAGTTAGTAGAGTAATAGTGAGTTTAATAAGTCAGAAAAAAAATGGTATCTGCACTGACCATTTCATGAGATTGGTATTTATAATAATTAGGGCTCTATAGTCCTTCACTTCATGGCTGTTTGTGGGACGTTGTTGTTTATAAATTGGCTGCTGTGTTTGCCTACAAAATGAGTCACTATGTTTTAATGTAAATCTTGTGAAGCGCATTGAGATGTTCTCACTATGTTTTGCAGTAAATCTTGAAAGCACTGTATCAAATACAAGGATTATTAATATTATTATTATATTGTTGCTCTGAAAATGTACGATTCCTTGTTTTTTTTTGTGTGTGTGAGGTGGGGGAAGCACAGACTCTATAAGAACTTGTGTGCATAACTTCCTGCTTCTGGTATATAGAGAGAAAGTTATAATAACACCCTCAGTATTGCTCACAGAGCTGGTGTCCTATGGACTGAGGGTGTTACCACAAGCAATACTGAGCACGCCGGCTTCCAGCACTGACAAGACAGCTAAAAAAAGACTGATTTCCAAGTTGCAATTGATGTGATTCCCTGGATCCTTACGGCCCAGAAGTTGGTCATTTATTTACTCTTCACTTATAAACTGGCCTCTGAGCTATTGAACCCAGAGCACGTCATTGTAATGCAGTTCTCAGCCAGCTTCCAGTTAGAAAATAGAGATTTGTTTGCCAGAGGGAAGTATTTATAGTTATATTTCTGTGTAAGATGTTATTGCCTCTAGTGGTAGGACCCACTTTGGTGGGTGACTGGAGGCATCTTGGAGGCAACAGTTTGATTCTTTTATTTTACAGTAACACTGACTTCAAAGGCTAAATGGGTCATTTATTTCTATTGAAATTAAATACTACTGTTAGGTGCAAACAGGCCTCCAGTCTGCTTTATTTCCTGTTTAATATGTGAATGAACAACCAGCAGGTTCTCAAGAGTAATGTCACAACTGAATTACTGAGGAAGTTGGTTTGTGGTTGATGAATATGACACGTTATAACTTTTTCATATACTCTTGAAAATCTTATAGAGTTGAATAGACAGAACCCTGGTATCTGGTTGCTCAGAATCAGCGCGCAAATGATTGAATAAGGAACCTGGGCCTTTGCAAAGATTAGGAAGCCCAGAGGGATGCCACACAACATTAAACCCTGGTTCAATCAAAGCCTCTTTCGCACTTTACAGGAAAACTTTGTGAAGTAATTTCAGTTGTTATCGACATTATTGGTGTTGTATCAAATGCAAGGATTATTATTATCAATAACAGCAACAAAACAGTTGATTATTAATTTTCAACAGACTTGATGAACTGACTCCTGTTCCTAACCTCTCAGGTTTAATTTAGTTACCTAAATCAAATGATTACCCTCAAGCAGTTAAGTCACTCATCATTTTAAATAAATAATCTCCATAAAATACTTTACACCCAACGTTTGCTTCTTGCACAAAGTCCTGACGGCATGTGTTTGTCTCTTAGAGCAGTGACTGCATTGCTGGGTGTGCGGTAAATGATGCAAATCTGCTCAGTAAATCTGAGAGAAACGGTGAGGCTTTGTAGGAGTAAGAGCCCAATGAGTAAGAACTTTACTTCACGACAGTTTTATTTGGCAGCGGTTAAGAGTTATGTTTCACATCCATTACCTAATACCCCAACTGACTTTTAAGCAAAACTTTTAAGTCTCTGCCGAGCCAAGACATCTACTCGATATGCTAAACTGTTGGAATGTACTCGATATATTAAGCTGCTGCAATTCACTTCAGGTCCATAAGTAAGTACTATAGATCAATAATATACAGTGGAGTGTGTTTCTAAAAATACATCTTAGGGAGGAGTAGTTTTTCACAATGAGTTACTAGTTTGGAAAAAATGGATGCAAGTTAAGCAAAAATAAAAGGCATCTAAACAAAAATAATTGCTTAATAACTAACACGGGTTTTTGTTTTCTGTGTGGCTCTCTCCTTTCCTTTCCTGAAGGCAGTGATTCACTGCTACCTTGTTGCTGGCAGCAGAACTGTACTTTGGGCCTAAACAGCTAATATATGACTATTGGGGCCCAATCCAGACCTCGTTTATTGTTCACACACACACTCGCTCTTTTCGACTGGACGAGGAAGTGGGAATATGGCAGATTTTTCTTCTTATGAGACCTGGAGAGACTTGAGGCAAATTGTGACCCACCCAACTGCTGCATTGGCTGAGATCACAACACAGATCGGAGATTAAACCTGAAATGTTCTGGTGTGTGTGTGTGGGACTCAGTGCTATACCATTGGTATGATGCAATTACCCTCCTAGGCCCCAGGCAAACTTATTAAGGTTTTTACTACCTTTGGTTGATTAACCGGACTATAAACCAACCCTCTTAATGTCTGGTAGCAGCTTATTTAGCAAACCAGTACCTTGGTTACTTTCTGTTAGTTACTGTAGGTATTCCGTTTGAACTGCCTCTGCCTCTTTGATCTATACAGTTAACATAATATAGATGAAAGCAGAGAAACACAAGGAGCAGAGAAGGTTAATTGGTAAAGATGTGAAGTAAAGCAATCACTTCCCACATTCTCGACAGCCTTCCACAGTTTCCTTCCATTAATCCAAGCAGAATCCGTCCTGCAGACGGAACATGGATTCACTGTACAAAATTTTTTTTTAGGAAGAAAGAATGATCTGTAGTCATTTTACATTGGGTGAAAAATATTACAAACGTCTAATAAACTGATCAATATTCAATGTTGTGCAGACAAAAGTTAAACGGTTACATGGTGTAGCAGAGGCAAACAATCATTGAGGGCAGGCTTTGACATTTCAGTGGGCAAAAAAGCCTTTTCCGCTGGTTCTATCAGTCGCTATGATAACAGAATCGATGAGTCAGATTTGAAATTCCAAGGCATGTTTTTACTCTCATTCTGCGCCGAGTTTGTCAGAAGTCTGTCTGACTGCCCTCATTTCCTGTGTTAGACGTTTCCTCTTGGCTTAACTCCTTGCCTGTCACCTGTTTGCAGCTTTGAAAAGCCCTGCGGCATTCCACGAACAGAGAAAGAGTTTGGAGCGAGCAAAGGTAAGAAGCTGATCTTGTGCTTTCCGTTCAACGTAAAGGCTTTACCAGGGCACCACCCTCATAGTTGGTCAGTGAGAAAATGCCTTAAAGGTGCAAAACCATTGTATTCACCTTGCCCTGGGATGCAAATAAAACATACATTGAAAGTAGGAACAATGTACTGTGCCTCTTTAAATGGGTTTGTAAACGCTTTCCAAAATGTTTCTCATAATTTCTTTGAAAACAGAGTTTAAATCTCACGGAAGATTTTTTTCAAAAATCCCCAGATTTAATTTATGCTCATTTGTTTCCTTTGTACTACGTACGGATATTGCATCCATTGCAACCTCAACAGCTTTGCTTCTGCTAATGCAGTTTCAGTACCCCTGCAGGATCGTCATAGTAGGTCCCTTCACTCCCTGGCACCTCCCTACCTCTCCCATCTCCTCACTCCCCCCATTCCATCTCCCGACAACTTCGCTTGACTGGCACCGGTCTCCTGCTTGTACCTCACAGCCTCTGCTGCACCATTGGAGGTCCTGGATTCAGCCACTATGCCCCGAAACTCTGGAACACTCTCCCTCAATCGCTCAACCTTGCCCCCCGCCCTCCCCTTTTTTAAGACCTGCCTGAAAACCTTCCTTTTCGACCGTGCTTACGGTTAGCTTCCCTCGCCGGCTCGGAGTCCAGCTCTGCAACTGTTAAGAGCTCTGAGACGCTACCTGCGTGGAGGGCGCTATATAAGTGCAAGTTGTTGTTCTTGTTATAGATGTGCTGAACAGCAAAGCAGTCTCCTACAGTCGTTCCCTTACTCTTCCTACCAACAAAGATATACTATGTTTAGCTACACCATATTAATGAATGGGAGCTACTTTCCCACCCAGGAAGAGTGAGTGGTATTATTCTGTCAGTCAAACCTCCAACCATCTCTACCTGAGATGCTGCGATTGGAGGATGGAAAAGAGGAAGGCGTTGACTAACATTTAGATAGCGCTATTGAGAGCACATCACCTTGTGGGAAATACCGAGTTGGCAACGAAACATTGGAAGAATTTGTTTGTTATGCTATCTTCCTCAAAGCCAAAGAAGACTTTCCAGTATTTTGCGTCATACCAAGGAACTATAATCACAACTTGCTTGATATGACACCATTGACACAAAATAAACATCACAAAGTGCTTTACGAAATGTAGTTGGTTAGAATTAAAAGTGAAATGTAACTTAAGCAAAATAGAGGAGGCAAGGGGAAGTGGAATCTATTTTTATTTAAAAATCAGCATTTAATCAGAGCTTAAAGTAATTGACGTAAACTTGTAACTTTTCAGACTGAAGACTACCTGAAGCATAAGATACGGAGTAGACCAGACAGGTCTGAACTGGTCAGAATGCACATATTAGAAGGTAAAACTATGTCACGGCCAGGAGGATTTTACTGTGATTTAGAACTCGAGCATATGTGGAACATTTCTAGAAAGTACATCTTTTTGTTGACTTGTTCTTTCATTAAATGTCTGAATAAAATCTGTAGAGACCTTGGCAGAGCCCTCACTGCAAGCCACTCAAATGAAGTTGAAGAGAGCTAGACTGGCAGATGATCTGAATGAAAAGATAGCTCAGAGACCAGGCCCTATGGAGCTTGTGGAAAAGAACATCCTGCCTGTAGATTCCAGTTTAAAGGAAGCAATTAAAGGCGAGTAACAATTTCTTATCATTTACAAATCTTATTTTTGTGATTATTAATACCACACGGATAGCTGACGGGGCAGGGGGGGGGGAGCTCTGTAGAGCACCCGACATGTGAAGTAAAATGCAAAAATCTCTGAAGTAGTAGCAATAAAGGAATTTTGAAAAGTTTTGCATTAAAACTAATTTGAGCTTATCTTTACTTTGTTCCAGTGTGCTTTGAACACACTGATTTGGATCAGGAGAAAATTACCACAAATACCAAGAGCTAAATCGGTTCTGTATTGTGGAAATCAGCTGTCCAGATGTTTCTAAATGAAATATTTTGTAACGAAAATCTTTCCAGGTGTTTGTGTAAATTCCACCCCCACCCCGAATCATTCGGTCCTTCACTGGCACATGCTGACTAGTTTCTTGCTATCAGAGACGTTCATTTGTGCTGCCCAAGATTATGAAATCAGGATGGACAAAATGGGAAAAATCCACCGCCCAGTGGTGCAGACCCACCAGGTCACCAAGTCACACAACTCCTCCTTTAAAGATATTCCTAAGATGTGTTCTTAAAAAACAGTACAACAACAACTTGCATCCTGGAGTGCTTGATGGTGGCTCAGTCAACAGACTGTGTCATGTTGGCCATTGATTCCTGTATATTTGGGTCTAAAATGCCAAGTGGGGTGGCCATGTTCAAACCAAACATGAGCCATGTAATTCAGCACCAATGGAAAGAAATACAGTTGCCTGTGTAATACTGTTCATTGGTTTGTTATTTAAATGAGGGACCCTGCATATATATGTCTATTAGCTCAACCTGCATTTTAGACCCCATTCTTCACGCTTAGCAATATTGTGATAATGAGTAGTTCAAATTGATTTTGATCATTTTGTAGAATTTTGTAGAATGTTGAGGACTAACACATTTATTTCCAAACCTTTGCTTAATAAAAAGTCTTGTAGAAAAATAGTTTCTCTTGTGCTCTAATGAGAGCATTTCATTTTGTTTTATTCCCCGTTTTAGCAAGCGACTATTTCGTAATCTGTTTTAGTTACCTTACAGAGCTTCTCGAGAGCAGTTCAAATATAATCAGCAGTTGTCAGGTTGTACTGCTCATTGGAGAGAAAATTGTAGAGTTAAATTCTAATCAGTGGTCTAAGGAGTCAAGTATGTGAATGCAGCAGATATTTCTGGTGAATAAATCTGAATAAATATTCTGTATGTTCTGTACATGACATTAGAGTCACTGCAGTTTGGTTTAGGCTTGTCAAGTTGTTTTTATTCATGTTTGGTATGTTAATTTTTTCTTCCTTTTTATAATGGTTATCACCCTATAAAAGAAACTAGATGCCTTGTGCCCCGGTAGATTTAGCATGTTTGTTTAAGAGTTGAATAAATGGCTATATAATTGTTGTTGTTGACCCAGGACAGTATGTCAGCTGTTCCCATAAAGTTTAAATCGCAATTTTTTTTTCCCTGCTGTTATTCTCCTCTAAAAATGAAAACTATAGACAGTAAAATCAGTCCTGGTATCCTTCTATTACTCTGGTGCCAAGTCAGTGTGTGTGTGTGTGTGTGTGTGTTTGTCTGTGCGTGTGCGTGGGTATGTGTGTGTCAGCCTGGCTCACTCTCGCCTCTGAGTCAGAAGGTTGTGGGTTCAATCCCATGTCGGGACTTGGAATCACATAGTCTAAGCTGAGCTGGGGGGTGTTGCATTATCGGAGATGCAGTTCTTCGGATGCCACCGTTGCCTATTTCTGCCACCATAAAAATGTTTACAAACGTGTGTATTGATCACAAAGATTGAGGGATCCTGATGTGGAATTTGAGTAAAAATGGCACTTAATCACCTCATTGGGTCTGATTAAAATTCTCCTGAAAAAGTCTACTGTGATTCAAGTCCTGCTATCTCTTCTTATCCACAAAAGCTGCCTAAAACTTCCATCAATCAGCCTTCTCAAGTGGGAGTTTTATCAAGTGGCAGTGTAGCGCCATAAAAGGCAAAGGAGAAAAAAAAACTGCTTGCAAAACATCATTTGCAATGGTTTGTTTCAGGTATCTTATGTGGGTGGGGGTGGGGGGAAGAAAAAATAATAAAATAAAGAACGGACAATAACAAACTACTTTTAAATACTTAAATTGTTGTTAAATTAATATTTTTTTCAACTTAAGGTTCGCAGCAGCTTTAATTTGCTGGGTGTGTAATGTGATGTCGGTTGAGTGAATGATGAGCTGACAGTCTACTTCTCCCTGCAGTTGGTCAGGTGCAATTCTCTGATCCCTCCGACAGATTCTCATTCGATGAGGACAGCAGCGATGCCCTGTCTCCAGAGCAGCCGGGGAGCCAGGAGTCACAAAGCTCAGCTCCTTCTCCTGGGGAAATGAAAGCCAGCGAATCCTCCTCTTGTTCCTCGTCACCTATACCAAACACCATAATCCAGGTGTGTGTTCTGATATAGAGCAGCTACGTCAGCCACAGAAGTTCACTCACTGAGTTCAGTCAATAGCTTGTGTTCAGTCTCATCACTGATCCAGGTACCTATTGGCGGGAACTGGGTATGTAACAAAAGTCACTAAAATTTGCGTAGTCTGCCGAGTGAAGACATGGAGAAAGAAACTAATTGATTTGGGATTTGGGTCTGATACCAGAGATGAGGACCAGCTAGTTAGGAATTAAGTGTTGGTAATGTTGGGTCAGTCTGAAGGTTGAGACTATATATTGTACCTTTTGAACGGGCTGCTCTCCTGAACGTCCTGGGAAAATACAGATCCATTGTTACTGCTGCATTTTCAGATATTCTTTGAACCATAGTCATGTTGTTCTGATCCTTTCAATGAATCATTCCCTAAACTTCAAAAGCCCTGATTTATCGGCTGGGCCACAGAAACAAGGTTCTGATTCAAACTGTACCTGAAAGTACAAACATAAATGCCACCACTGTTGCCATTCAGCTACGAGCATCTCATGTGGCTTTTCTCTTGCACCTGCTCTGATTCATGAAAATATTCATTCTTGGAGTGAATATTGAGTGGAACATATTCTATCATGTTCTTCAGTGTTATTTAAAATCAAACAAATTCTGTGGGAAATTATTGCTGAGTTAGAATTTAGTCTTATTTGGTTTAAACAGGCGTACTTCATAACAAACTAGATCACACACTATGGCTTAACAAAAAAAAATGCAGGTTGTTTGTAATGGTGAAGGTTTTACATAAGTTCTAGGTTCACTACTGTAATGGGCAATTCTTATTGAGCCTTTATTTAAATGGTAAGCCTTTAGATTTGAGATCAGAAGTGCCAAAATTGAAGCCCTCTGAATCATGATTCGGAAGTGGAAAAGTTAGCTGCTCAATGAGAGTCTCCATTAGTCTAGCAGCAATCCAGACACAGACCACAACCAGACCACGAGAGATTAGCCACATTCCTGCTTTCTGCTATTCCGAAAACCTAACTATTGCTAGTAATTGAATGCATCTGCAAATCCCCTCCCAATAATGGCTGTCATGTTTGCTAACACACACACTTTACACTCCCAAATCCACCACCCCGGCACCTCCACTCGACTGGCACTGGCCTCCTGCTTGTCCCTCACCCCCTCCGCCTCACCATTGGAGATCACACCTTCAACCACTACTCCCTGAAACTATGGAACACTCTCCCGCAATCCCCCTACCTTGCCCCCTCTCTCCCCCTTTTCAAGTCCCGCCTGAATACCTTCCTTTTTGACCGTGCTGACAGTCACTTCCCACTACCCACCACCCCTGGCTCGGAGTCAGGCTCCGCCACTGTTAAGCGCTCCGAGACACTACCGTACGTGGAGGATGCTATACAAGTGCAAGTTGTATATATATGGTAAATACTGGTTTCTTGCTTCTATATCTTGCTGAAGTTGACTTAATAATAATAATAATCATTGCACTTGATATACTGCTTTTCACGTCTTAGATGTCTCAAAGCGCTTCACAGAATATTCTGTAAAGTGAATTGACTGTATATTTATGGGTGAAACGCGGAAGCCAATTGCGCACAGCAGCGTCCCACAAACAGTCGTGGAATGAGTGACCAAATTATTATTTTATTTTTCTTGAGGGATTATTATCAGGTGTGTGGAGTAAGGAAACTTGCCTAAGGTTTCTGATTTTTCTTTTGATATAGTACCACCCACAACCAATGCCTGACTTCTTGAAACCTGCTCCTCTACCTGACCAACAAACTACACGTTCAGCAGGTAACACACAGTTTATGAGCACCAGCACCTCATCCAAACCAACTCCAACATTAATAAAGGTTAGTCTCTACACATTTGAAACCTTGTTATTGCCTGTGCAGTGCAGTAAACCACTATATTTTTGAAGCAGTGTTGTACTGGCTCCTCTCAGTAATGGAAGTGATGATGAAGCTCTGGAGTGGACAAGTTTAGTGCATGTATAGAGAGTGGAACGTATTCTGCCACCTGCAATCGGTACTGTATTTCCTCCTGAATGTCCCATTGATTCTTTCAAATTGGAAGAAATGTAGTACAGAGATAGCTTTAAGGGCCTTGGCATTGATCTCAACACTACAGTACAACAGAGTGCAACATCTTATTGTTAATTGAGCTCTGTTGACTACAGAGGAGTAACCAGATGTCAGAGAAAATAAATATTTTTCTGGAAAAGAAGGGGAAATAATATTTTGCAATAGTCCTTCCATGAGACATTTGCAGATGTTCTCTTAAGTAAACTGCAAGAGTTGTGAAGGAGATAGTGATGATAAATATACTGTTCTTATTAAATAAAATGAGGATTTGTTTACGAATCAGATGTTTTTGTCTGGTGTCTGGCAATGAAGTCTGTTGTGTCACTTTTACACCAGCAAAGCCAACCCAAGAGTGCAAATGATAAGAACCGGAGCAAGAAAAGCAAGGATACCAAACCCAGAGTCAAACAGCTCAAATACCATCAGTACGTTCCACCAGACAAAAAGCATGAGAAAGCCGAACCTCCCATGGATACAAACTACGCCCGTCTTCTACAACAGCAACAGCTCTTCCTCCAGCTGCAGATCCTGAGCCAACAACAGCAACACTACAATTACCCGGCCATCCTGCCTGCCCCACCAAAGTATGTTTCCTTTCACGTGCCTCATAGGAATCAACTTTGTCTTAGGCGATTTCTTTCCACGTTTAGTGAGTATAAATAACCAGTGTTTTGGCTTTCCGATGCTGGTCCTCACAGAGTTCACACTTGGCAGCCATTGCTCTCAGATGTTCCTACGTTTTTCTCAGAACCCAAAAAGCATATAGTGCAGGTGTCCACTTCTAACCAGGGAGGAAGGATTTTGTAAAATATGTATATATATATATATATATATATCCGTCTTTAGAACTGAATTGAAATGAGTATACTTCTTCACACAAGGGGTTGTGAGAATGAGGAATATCACAACTGCTTGTGTGAAGAAATATGCTGGAATACTCAGCCCCCGGAAAGCCTTCACACCAGATCAATTGAGGTGTTTGAAAATATGGAAGCAAGGTAGGTAAATGGGATCATTTATCCTCAGTTACTCTGGCACACGTAGCTACCATGATTGATGACGTTTTAGTTTTCCTAAGTGAGCACAGAAATTAGCTGTGAATTTCCATCTTAAAATTAAATACATATTTAATTAGTAAATGCTTTGTTTTCACATGGAAGGAACAGAAAGAAACAATATCTACAATATGGTATTAGAGTGAGGATGTGATACAAAAGCAGAATATCACTGGGTTCTGGAGGAACAGGGTCGATGAGCTCAATGAGCGGAGACAAGTGATTTGTTCTTATGTTCCTAATCTTAAGTATTTTTCAACAGCTATTAAACTTCTGCATTCCCAGGTCATGTACCAATAACCAGACTCTGAACAGCCCCAGCATGTCGAGTGCTCTGGGTACTAACAGCACAGGAACATTATCGAGCTCTGCAGGTGTCACAAGACATAACAGCAACTTTCCCTGTAGGAAGCTGGCAGTGCTACCCTCCAATGTGGATGACTTGAAGGTACATTTTTCTTAAGCGAAACCCCCGATATTTCAGACTTCAAAGGGTCCTTATGAAAATGAGCTTTTCTGGTCATTCGATACTTGCTGCACAAGACATCACAGTGAAGACCTTCAAAATAAAGAGATGGCATGATTACCAGGCAGCTGCAAATTGTTTTTTAACCCAGATACTTTTTTGGATTGAATTTAGCCCATGTTAACTAAACTGAGGAAACAAGTGATCTGTCACAGGGGATCATGGCTCTCTGAGGACATTCATCTGTATCACCTTGAATGTTTTCATAGCATAATGGTTATCACTAACTATTATTTCTAAACTATTTTAGAGGGAAATCTTGTGCAAAGGTTAGGTTTTGTAGAATGAACAAAACCCAACTAGTTGCAGCGAATCTGCCCAAGGGCAGCCAATTTGTCTGCTTTTAACTGTCAGGCATCTGTTTCGGATTGGGTTTTACATAAAATGTTCCATTTTCAAGCATTCGTACTACATTTACAATCGCTGCTCTCATCCCTATGTGATTAATGTGCGGCTCTTGGGAAGCAGATCGTACTTCAGATTGTACACACGGCTAACAATAGCTGCTCTAATGGTGCAGTACTGCCACCTCCTGAATAGTCTCATAAACAAGTTTACTTCTTACCTTAATTTACAGTTACCGCTTGTTTCTAAACATTGTTTTTCTGCCCGGTAAATCTTTCGCTCTTCAGGTGTTATAGTACAGAGAGAGAGGGAGTACTTTACTGTTTCAGGTCATGTCATAATAACACTTCATAATCAGGTGCAATGAAGTTGCCAGTGAATTGTGAAATTATGGACAGTTTTTTTGTGCTTTGGACGCATGCCCGATAAGTAACAGTTGAAACTTTACAAACTTCATGGAGATAGATCTTTTATAACCATTCTGTCCCATCAGAGGGCAGTATTTGAACCCATAAGTTGATCACTCGCCCTGTGACTGTATGTGGGTTTTGCTTGTGTGCAAAACACCAATCACTTTTGCCTACAAAAGCAGTCACTGCATATGCAATTGATGATCACCGTGAAGTGCTTTGAGGCAATTCAACATTCTAAACAAGCAGTGCTTGCATCTGATATTCGATTGAGTGAAAGCACAGACCGGAAACGCAATACCCACCCTGCAAATTGTTCATTATCACAGCTAATGCATATGTCCATAAAGTCCATTAGAAGTGTACTGTTTTAGTTTCAAGACTACCAGTAATGATCCTTGAACCTCTTACTTTAGAATAAAGAAAGAAATATCTCTGAATACAGTAATACTGCAGTGGTCATGTTTAGGTAATGTTAAGTACACTTAATGTGTACAACCCACTTTGGATTCAAGTGACCTTCCTCATCCTTAGTATTACATGATAAAATCGTGAGGTTCAAGGAACTGAAATTTAAAATAGGCATTTTTCGTAGTCTGTCCAAGAATTTGTGCATTGAATTTGAGGTGTGGTGGAGAGGGAAAGTGAGGGAGGGAGGGAGGGAGGGAGGGAGGGAAGGGCATAATAGCCATGTTTTTATCCTGTCCTCAGCAGACATCCACAATCATATTTTCTAGCAATGGTCACTGGATTGCAATCAGGAATAGGAAGCCAATGTTTTGGAGAGAATTAAATGCTCTTACAGTTCAAGAGCATTATTGCACCAAATATCCTCAACAGCCTTGAAGATTTCAGAGAGTGAATAAAAACCTCACAGCGATGAATGCTGTAAATTCCTTTATTAATTACACAAAAAGCAGCTTCCCAGATAGTCCTCATTAAACCATTCATCCCCACTCTCTGTTTTCGTTTGCAGGTGGCTGAGCTGAAGATGGAGCTAAAGTTTCGAGGACTACCGGTGTCTGGGACTAAAACAGACCTTATAGAGAGGCTGAAAGTGTTCCATGACACCATCAACCTTGGAGTTAATACAGCTGTAGTGAAAGTCTCCAGCTCTTCTGTACGCAATCATACAACTGTGACCTTTCCAATTGCCAATTTTAGTGGTGTCATGACTAACACAGAGACAGCAGCAAATGGTGTGCAACCCTTTGAAAGCCTGAACTCTCCTTCTCCCATCTCTCCCACTCCCTCGGAGCAGTCCAGTCTGAGCACAGATGACAGCAACCTCACCGACATGTTTACAGAACTGGTGACCGTGATGTCTCCTTCGCAACTCACGATGCATCCTTCACCTGTCAAGTTGGCAGTTAATGAAGACAGCAAGGGGATAAACATGGCAACGAGTAATCTGGCACATCAAGGTGCCATTTTATCAGGTGTGGACGTTAACTCTGCTGAAAAGGACCGGAAACTGCAGGACAAGGAGAGGCAAATTGAAGACCTCAAGAGAAAGCTTGAGAATGAGCAAAGGTTAGTGGAAGAACTGAAGATCCAACTGGAAATCGAAAAAAGATGCCAACAGCAGCAGCAACAATCTGCTGATCAGAAGCACTTGAATAGTGTTATCAAAGAGGAAACCTCCCTCTCCAGCTGCCCAGTTTCAAGACAGTTTGTTACAGCCTCCAACCAAGGTTTCGGCTCTACTAACATTGCTAACGTTGGGATGACTGGCCAGACTTCAATGAAGCAAATCCCATTGATTGTAAAAGAGGAAGTTCCACCAACAGCCGCCAAGCAGCACAATACAACCTCTCAGCTCTACTCAAGTCCATCACGACAGACACAGGATAAGGTTATCGCACAGGGCCAGCCTCACACTTTACTGACCACTCAGACAAAACCACAGCTTTTACTGCCATTCCCCATCCAAACACAGAATACAAACACCTGCAGCAACTCAAAGCAGCTACAGGCAGTGAATATAACCTTACAGGTATGTATCATGTAGAATTAAGTTAGCCTGTTTGGATGGTACCAATGCATTTTTTAGTTGTTGTCGGGCAAAATCCCGAGTATTAGAGAAAAAGTAAAATCACCAAAACTTGTATACAATGAGATTTGCATTGATACTCTTCTATATTTGTTGTATTTACACAACAGTCTCAATCACAGATCCAGACTCCAGCTTCAGTACCAGCTCCTGCTCTTGTCCAGCCTTCAGCCCCTCAGAAGCAAGCGCAGAAACAAGAAGCTGTGTCCCACCATATTTTCTCCCACCATCCGCAAAATAGGAAGGTTTGTGTTCAAATAGAACCCTTTTCTCTACCTTTGGTGCAATTTAGTCCGACTAACTTTGGTGCAGACTTCAGCCCAGTAGGTGGAGAATGAATCGTTTTTACTTTAGGTTTTCTCTTGCAGATTTATCTTTACTCTTGGGTCACTTTTCATTGGACTATAAGCTTGTTATAAGCTTTTACATTTTTATACTCTACTCCATAACGAAGTGGTCCTCATCTGTTGAGTGTAGTCCCCTTAACTGTTCAGCAGTGATTGCAATCTTTGATGTGACCTGTGGAACGTAGTGGAGATATTTCGGCACCTCAGTACATGCGTTTTTTGGCAGTTAAGTAAGAATTAGCAGCAGTACTAAAAGTAGCTAGGATATGATTTTCTTCCAACACCACCTCAAAGTAAGAATGAAATAATCCAGATCTCTGAGCAAAGAAGCAACTTCTGCTTTGCTTTGAATTTTGTACCCCTGGGATTGATATTATTGCCGTAAAAGCACGTGAGAATAGGTACCATTACTGAAGCTTGTAAATCCACAGGTTTTCACCTCCACCTCATCAAGCAGTGCATTCCCCTACCAGAGTCCCAGTACAGCAGCTATACAGCAATGTTTCATGAACAGCTCGACAAACGGAATGCTTCACCCAAGGATAAACAGTGTGAGTTCCCTGCAAAATGGACCCAGCCGATCAAACAAGGTAATTGGAGAATCAATAGAAAAGATTGCAGACGTGTTTTATTTCTCTCTCTCTCTCTCTCTGTTACGGCTCCTCACTTTAGTCTTTATGTGGACGAGGGTTTAGAAGCTTTAAATATTTCCACTGCTGTATGTACTGTGTGAATTATTAAATTAGAAACTTGTTCACGAGAAGAAATTACTCCAAAGTGACTTATTCTTAAATTGTGTATTATGCTTCCACAGTCTGGACGTTCCTCCAGCTCACCATCTCAGTCGCAGCAACAGCAGTTCCTGGTTCAGGGCTCGGTCTTCAGTAACTCGTTACCGAAAACAAAAGATCCCCCTCGCTACGAGGAAGCAGTCAAGCAAGTCTGCAATCTGCAGCACCGCGAGGTAGGAAAACGCATTCATCTGATGGAAGTCGTGCAAGTCTGGTAGTTTAGTTTAGTGCGGGAGAAGGAACGGCTACTACTGGGCTCTGGGGAACAGGAAAAAATGATACAACTGATCACGGAATGTGAGTGCTATCAGTAAATGATGCCAAAGGCAAATTTGATTGCTGCTTACAGTGTACATCCCTCCCAAATAGGCTTGATTCATTAAAGTCACTTTTATTCTTAGACAGGTGTTAAATGCTTCTTTTTCCATACTACAACCGTCAGGCTATTGAGACATAGATTGAACAGAACTGTAATAAAATGTTGGCCCAATTTAGTATTACAGGTTTGAAAATGAAGGTTGCTTCAGGCTCATTGGATTTCATCCTTTCACAATAAGAAACTTACCAACTTCCCGCTATGGCTTGAAGTATGATGGATTGCCAAACCAATCCATTTGGAACAACACTTTTTCTTTAAAAGATCATTTTGTAATGTTTATTTTAATTTGGCTGTTAAACCTTGCAATTGTGAGAACCACTGACCTTCATTTGATATTAAGACTGTCTGGAGGTGGGAAGGGAGTTGGGTGCTTTTTTGCCAAGCGCATTTCATACCTGTGAACGGAAGATAACATTTTGGAGTTTGCTTTGTACAGGAATCCAGTGCACACAGCCAGCAGATGGATGACCTTTTTGATATCCTCATTGAGAGTGGAGGTAAGATTGGTTTAACCTTTAAGAAAGCGTTTTCATTTATTTTGATCGTCGTAGCTCCATGTAGAAAACTCGGGGCAGGTCCTCGAGAGTGCCACCGACTTGCTTTCTGTAAAAGTAACTTTATTTGTAATCCGCACAGCAAATAGATCAAGTCACCGTCGAGAGATTGTGCCTTTAATATGATTGGACTTGCCACCTTCCCATATTAGTGGGTAGAAAATATATTTAATATATAACAAGATAGTTTCCTTACTCCACACGCCTCTGTTTACCTAGTAGTTAGTAGGAACCCGGTTGTTAGTCGATTGGCAGATCGTTTTTCCGGGGATAATAATCCTTAAAAAAAAATAATTTGGTCACTCAATCCACGACTGTTTGTGGGACACTGCTGAGCGCAATTGGCTGCTGCGTTTTGCCCACAAATATACAGTTAATTCACTTTACACTACATCCTGTGAAGCAATTTGAGACGTCTACAAGACATGAAAAGCGCTATATCAAATGCAAGGATTCATTGGGTTTCCCCCATTTGAAAATTTGATGTACAGGACGTGACATAGCCACGTGCAGTGAGCAGGAAATCATATCCACAGTAGCCTTACAACCCAGAAATGTGACATTCTTGTAGTTGGAAAGAGTGCTAAAAATCGAACAAATGGGCTGGCGGGGAGAGAAGAAGGTAAAATAAAAATGATTAAATTAAAAAGTAATGAAAATCGACAATCCTAGATATGATCTCATCACGTAATGTTTTCATATCTCATAAAACACTTCCTTTTGTCGGTTACCCAAGTTATCAGATCTATCCGAAATGACAAACGTTTTTTTCTTGTGGTCGTTCTGAAACTAACTTCACCTTTTTTGAGTAACAGAGATTTCACCAATTGTTAAAGAGGAGCCATTGCCAGCCACCAAGATGAGAGCTGTCGTAGCTAACATATCCTCCTTGCCAGTAAACACAGTGTTGTCCCGGCCACCACTGCAGGTTCAGATGGCACCTCTTCCTTTATCCCTCGAACCAGGAAATAACTTCACCATTTGTTCAGAAGATCAGCTGGAGGCCTTGCTGGATGGTCCATTGTCATCAGGTGCCAATGTTTCTCCGCTCACAGTGACCCAAGAGGGCACAGAGGCACTTTCTTTAATAGAGCACCTCCAAAATGACCTATTGAATACATCCAGCATTCTTGATCAACATCGTTCACCAATGGATACCTGTGATATGCATTTCACTACAGAAAGTACCTGCCTGAACCTGGACCTTCCAGACACTAATTTGGACAATATGGACTGGCTGGATCTGACAATGCCAGGTTCTAGCACAGGACTTACTCCTGTTAATAGTACTGCTCCGAGCGTATTTTCCACTGACTTTTTGGACAGCCAAGACCTTCAACTAAATTGGGATTAATATATCCGGGCGTAGTGGCACATAAGCAAAATCAATTTGCGTAGTGGCTCAGATGTCCAGTAGTGGTCAGTCCTTTGAAGTAGTGAACACCAAACCAAGATGGGATTCTCAGATCCAGTTCAGTTCATTCTCTCTGGACAGCACAGTGGACGCTAAAGGTTGCGGCAAAACAATAGCAAGGGATGTACATATGTTTATTCCTTTCACAATCTAAGAGAAGCTGACAATCTCATCGTTTAGGTCGGGTAAGGTTTTGTACATTTGTGGAAACTTTAATTCTAATTCAGCTAATGAACATTTACTGGTCTGATAGACGTAGTATGGAAAACGTTAACAAATTTCTTCTCTGATCTCAATGCAAGAGAGTTTTCCTGTGAATGGCCTGAGCCAAACACAGAGTGTATTATTGTCAGAATTTACTGGACTGCCTGGTTCAGTGAACTTTTATCTGGGACGGAAGTGTTTCATTATTTTGAATGCAGTCATGTTTTTGAACTGCTTCATATTCTTTTCCTATCTTGGGAACCTACATTTTCTTTCAATGTTTTCTGTGTGTGGTGTTTGAACCCATTTAATTAGAAATGGGAATTGTGATTGAGGCAAAAACATCAAATTTACCAGGACCAGGAATACTGAACCTGTGGTTAGTGGCACATTACAATATTTTATGTACTGTAACTTGGGTAATTCTGTAAAGCTGTGTGAGTACTATATGTCTTTTGTTTCAATTAACTCTTTGATGTTGTAATTGCTAACCTATATTGAAGTATTGGTTGTTTAGTCTGTAATATAATTTTCCCAACAAGTACTCTTGTTCACAATCAACTGCTTTCAGTGTACAGAAATGGACAAGAGGCTTGACACTCGCACCAATCATGTTTAGTGAATTTCAGAAAGGAAGTTAGGTTGTAATAATGATTAGAGAATTCCAAATGGGATTCAGTGCCTTTTTATGGATAAATGTTAATGTGATCCTACAAGAGACCCAGGAAACGATTCAGTAACTCTTAGCATATTTTGACAATCTGAACCCATTGAGTATTTGTGGAGTTCATTCCTAAACAAAACCAAGAACGATTAGGTCAGGCTGAAATGGATATATTCTTTAATCATAAACCAAATTAGATTGCATTGTTTGAATTGGTTACCCTCGACTTTAAAGAGAGGATTACTTCTTAAAAAAGTGTTGGAGAAAACCTTTTCATTTGTTTACCAGGACATGACACAAATTGGCACATGACATCACATTGAATCAATGATGCACCATGTGCCCAAACACCTCACGCTTTGCCATGCACTGCAGTCATGTTATTAATGATGTTAGCCAAAGGATCTTTAATTAAACAAAAACTATAATTTTTTGGAAAACTATAGGAGAGTTTCGGGTTTCAGAAGGCGTTAGCAGAATAATGAAGGATTGTCTATATTTCACAAGTGCTGATTTGAGGGGTATGGAATGTTAACTTACTCAAAGCCTAACTCTGAATTCGTAAATATTCACATACAGTGTGAAGCCTTTAATTACATTTGTAAATGGAAATTAAACCGTTGCCTTTAACAGATCAGGAATCGACATGCAATCGTGAAAGTAAGTAAATCAGCATGAACATATAATCTGATTCATATAATTTATCTTTCCTGCTGTTTTAATTGTGGCACTTTCCAGGGTTAAAGATTTGTATTCAGAGAGCATGTGAGGAGCATTTGGGAGTATGTGAGGTTGCTTTAATTGATCAGTCCAGCCCACAGTAAAAGAAAATCAGATTGTTATGGTCTTGATATATTAAGTTTAGAGTGTTTGGCATCGGGAATTCCAACAGTTGACCCATTTGTTTCATAAAACCTGTTTCTTGTTTGCAGTGTAATTACGTTTTACAATTAGGATATTGAACCTTTTATTGTCGTTTATGTGGTTGAGTATGGAAATCTAGAGCTGTATAAGGCAAACCAAGTAGCAGAGCAGCCTAAAGGCCAAATGTTTTACATTCACAGAACTTCCTGTCAAAAGAACACTAATTCATAAGGAAACATTAGCCTTGAATAGCTGCCACAATGTGGCCCGTGGGCCGCAAAGCCCTCAGGACCATCAAGAAGGCCCTTGCACCCCCTCCCCCCTCCCCCCAACATTCACACAAGACGAGGTAAATCCATGTTGATGGCATCAATCCTAGAAAATTATTTTGTTCACCGACCACAAAGGGACCTTATGATCAAACTGCTGCTCGGGCTCAGCTACCTCAGTACAAACTAGGGATGAAATCAGACCTACAAGATCTGTATGGCTCAGTTTCACTCCCAGCAGTGGCTAAACCATGTGTTCCTTCGGGGGAAGATTCTGTTTGAGTACTTTTTATCAGACACAATGTGACCAGCTTCTTAATTAGGAGTACAATATAAATCAGCCCAAATAAGTATTATATAAACATAGAATGTAAGCAGAGACATAAAGGGTGTTAGGACATCGGGTTTCTAAATGACAAACAGCGTGTTAGGACATTGGGTTTAACTGTATCTCCTTGAAGTGTATGGAATTTATGAAAAACATTTAAGTGCAATCTTAGTTTTCAAAATATCAAACGGACTTTGCCAAAGAAACATAAATGAATGTTACGTTCTTGTGCCAGAATATATTTTATAGCTATTGATTGGTTATCAGTTAAATGTGATACAAGGCAACCTGATCAGAATAGATTTAGTTTTTACTGTCTCAAGGTTTAAAAGGGCAAAGTAAGCCAATTATTTGGCAAACAAGGGATATTACAGGATTAAATCTTAGTCTGATATTCTTAGACGACCCAAATACCAATATACTGTAATTATTAAATGTCAAATAAATGCTGGAAGTGTATTGGATTTTGTTCTCATGTGGAAGCTATTGTGAACACAGATTTCTTTGTGGTTAATTGTGCTGAAGTACATTCCCAAGTGGAAATTGGTGTGAACTTTATCTATCATAATTATGAAAAATAATTTTAAAAAGGAAATGTCATTTTACCATATGAATGTTACTGCTGCCTGAAAACTTTATACGGCCAAGAAATGGCAAGATTGAATGTAGTGTCAGTAACATTCATTGTTGTTTGAAGAAAAAATACATTTTACTGTTGTTTCATAGCCACTTATTTTAGATAGTTACTGCTTATATGGTAGGCATGCTATTTTGTGTAAAGTGATTTTATGTTCATAGCCACAATGTCTTAGCATCACTCCAAAGTTGGGAGTTGTACATTTTACTAGATGATTCATATAACCATTTGGGCCATTGGGAGGTCCCTAAAGAATGTAATGTGTTTCAATTGAACCATGAATGCCTTTGTATACTGTTTGCACCCATGAGATAAATTCCATATCTTGTTTGAATGCCATATGTTTGCACATTGTATATATATATATGCATATTTTTATATGTGTACCTGCAAAGTTTTGTAAATTAGTTGCAGTGTTGTAGCTACTGATGGAAGTCATATTGGCAATTTTGCATTACTGTTGTGAATGAATAAAACAAATGTCCTGTGATTCAGAGTTTTAATTTTACTTTGAATATTTTTATTCTTGCGTCTGATTATTTTGTGCACATAAAAATGCACAGAAGAATTTAAAGCACCTCGCACTTTAGGTACTGAACGTCATGGAGGTGAAAAACATGATTTGCACTTTCTGCCTGTATAATTTATCAACTCATCACTTAACATTTTAGAATAAGGCCCAATTAAGACAGAGTAATTAACGTTACTCCAATTGATTTTAAAATCAATAAGCAAAAAGTAAATCATTCAAAAATAAAGTTACTGCTCAGGCTGCAAGACCCATTTTAATTGGAAAATAATCAGTACATAAAACATACAAAGCATTTCAACTTTAAATAAATTCATTTGTACAATATCTGAATACATAAAATGTACAGTCAATGGTAACCAAACTGTTTGTAGAAACACAGTGTAGCAAAAAGTTTTTAGTAAGTTACCTAAGTGATTTAAAGTGAGACAGTAAATTTCAGAAGTACAGAAAATAGTTGAGACCTTTCATTCTAAATAAACCAAAGATTCACAACCCCAGAGACTACAAAGTGCAGCCCAGAAGTCAAAAGCACCAAAAAACGTATTCTATAAAATATACACGTAGCTCAAGCTAAATGGACAGACCATGAGTTTTAAGAATTTAGTATTCCTGCTACAGAAAATCAGAGATGCTGATTCTCTTTGTAAACGGTAAGAATGAATTTATAATCCACGATCAAAATGGCAGTTCAGCCAAGACCAGAATTAAATTTAATTTGAAAAAAATTACCAATTTAAGTTAGAAACCTTTCATTCAAAGCATTTGTAAAGATCAAAAAGATACACCCAACAGATGAACACATTCAACAAATATGTTGCAAAACTGCAAATGTAAGTGATATCATGTAAGGGTACAAGTAGACTTTACACATCGCTCGGAATAAATGAATTTATACAGAAAAGCGGACATTTTTAAACTTTGAAAGACAAACCATCGAATGGACAATGGACACTGAAAGAATGGCAACCATCATCAGATAAAAGAAAGCTGTAGTTCAATATTAAATTGAAGGAAAAAAAATTAATTGACTTTAGTTAAGGCAAAACAGTATTTGCAGAACTGATCCCATTCCTTTAAGCCCTGCTGCCTATTGCTTCTTAAATACTCTTGGTTTTAAACCTGTGCCAAGACTCTGAAAATAGTGCAATGAGCTTTGTGAGCCACCATGGTCTACAGCAACATCAAGGTAGTTATGGTGTTCCCTCCAGAGAGATGCTAAGGCGTAGACTTAATGCCAGGAATGGAGGCAAGACCTTCCATTCTAGCATTCATGTTGCAAGTCCAGTGGACATAAAATGCACATTTGTTTTTTAAAACCTGTAGTGGTGGATGTAATCATGAATTATTATGCACCAGTAATGAAGTCTAAATTATAACAATGCATCACAGACTCAATGACCTGAAAAACTGCCATTTTTGAACAGAGATCCTGATCACCATGACTTTATTGGAACAACTCAGAACAACCTACATGTTCATTGGTGCACACACAAAAGAAACACCGCAGAGATGAGCCCAATTTCAACTGTGTATGTACTGCAAACCCTGTATAGATATACAGTAGAGTGCTTATACAACTGCCAGCAATGTTAGACTGCAGAGCCACTTGAACAACTGACAAAAGCCTTACATTTTCAATATCGCAATAAGAGCAACGTTTCTTTTAATTCCTTATCAGTAAACTGGTAAATGCTTAATACTGTTATTACATTTCTATACAAACCATTTGCACTGCTTGCTGCAGCACAGAAACGAAGAGCTCCCTATACTTGCCAAAGCGATCTCTGGCCACCATTCATCTTTTAAACCAAAGAACTGAGCAACACCGTATTTCATAAGCAGACAATCTTTGTAATAATTGAGACTACTTCATATTGGTAGTATTCAAAGGCTGAAACCAATGCTGCTTTTTTTTTACTAGGGCATCGAGTGAATTACTGCATACTTCATGAACAAGCATTTAAAAAGGTATTTACCCAATTGCTTAAAAAGTGCCTAAAATTTATTACAGCATCTTGGAGCCCTTTCAGCAACAAGGCAATTGAGGGTGGTGATGAGCAGAAAACTACATCTGCTGTCATATTCAGAGTTATTGCTCACTACTCATTATCTATGACTCGTAGTCTGTTGCAATCAGTCCTAACATTTCCACATTTGCAGATTCTTTATGTATATGCGGTGTCTGGTCAGCCAACCCTTCTCTTCTTCTTCGTTCCATTTCCCACTCTACAAAAGTGTCAAACAGACTCGGCCAAGCCTCATCCTCACTGTAGTTGCTAAGATCAGGGCCTATCGCCTGAGTAAAATTTAAGAACATGTTCCATGTATCTCGAGAGACTCCCTTTACTCCAGATGGATTATCACTTAGAAAGATCAGCCACTGGTCCAATATTGAAGGTATGTTCTGTGTGAACACGAGTTTCCAAAGAGCAACAGCTATTTCTCTTCGTAGTGATCGCTGACCTTCCTCAGAGTCTAAGCCAAACTGAAACGTAAACCGATACAAATCTTTGAACTTGTCCTCAACTTTGGCTTCATTCATAAGGCTTGGGAATCTGGCGCGGATTCCTTCAATACTGTCTGCATTTAATGCTTTACATCCCTCCACAAATTCTTTCCTATTCAAAAGGACAAAAAAACAAAATAATCAATACATATAGAACCAGACTGGACGGTGCATGAATAATTACAGTATAAAGTGCTGTCAGACTGAAGTGCTATTTGCATAGTAAGTCGGCATCACAAAAGCTCGTCTTAATCAAATCTATTTGGAGATTATAACATCAAAAGAAAGCTGCTGTGGCCTGGAGCTCAGTAAAGATTTAATGGGTGGGAAGATAGAAAGGAAAAGTATTGGTACGATGGAATATCCTGACTCTACTCAAGGGATTGGGTAGGTTCCCCTAGGTCCAGTGGGAGTTGGGGGGGGGGGGGGATGGTGGAAGGGAAGCAATATTGGAGATAGACAACCTAATGTTAAATCCTGAGGTTATCGGTGTTGGGGTAAGTGCAAGATCTGTTAGAAACCCCATTTGGAAATTGTTAGTCTGTACTGAAATAGACAAAGGCAGAGGCCTGCAAATGGCTAAAGAATCCTCATACTAGGAAGAGATGAAACAGCTCATCATTCCATGCCTGACCCTAGCATTGATATAGCTGTACTGAGCCTGGTGCTGCCAATTCCAAACATTTCTAATAAAAAGCTTCTTAACTTTTGTGACAACCAGAAACTGCACCCATGACTCTGGGAACAGCCTAACCAGAGCATTGTACAGCTGGTGCATGACTTTGGGGATCTGAATTCAACTCATTTGAAATACAACCCAGCGTCCCTTTTGCTTGTTTGACAGCTCGCATTGTTCTCACATGAGTGATGGGGTCAATTAACAACCATAGGTCTCTTTCAACTTAACAAGTTCCATCTTGTCCAAGGAGTTTAAATGCCCCTTTTTACTTCCTACATGCAGTCATTTGAATGCATCTGTATTGAACATCATTTGCTAGTGATCAATCAACAGTGCATTACAGTGCTATAGTCACCAGTTTCAACTCAATGATGCCCTACTGAAATTCTCTCTCAATCACAGATAGACCATGAGTTACATGGAGGGAACACGGGTTGCATGAGCACTCAGCATGTCTTCAGGACAAGTTCATTGGTGCCAATACTAGGAATGAACATTGAGCACATGAATTAAATCCAATGAAATTCAGCGGAGTCTGTTATACTTCACTCCGACTCCAAAGGAAGGTTGCACACAGCTCATGATATGTCAACAATGTCCAACACACACCCTTAATGCACAGGTTGTTGGACCTTCTGCCATATGATTTTTCAGTGGTAGGAAAATCAGGCACATCTTCTCGGCATGCTTGGATGGCAAGCCCTGTGAAAGAATCCAGTCAGAGAGAATCATGTGCTCTCCCTGATTCAACAGAAATTCTAGACATTGAAAGACGGCTTACCACGATTCTTTCTTCTTAGAACATATCTGCTCTATGTTTCACAAGGATGGTACATATTGATCATGAACAGTATCAGAAACATGTATTGTTTTACAGAAGAAGGAAAACTATGGCTAAACAAAAGCAGCAGTGACTATTTTCAAACGAGCAAACATCCTTACCTGGTAAACTTGCACATGGTGGCCGCTTGAAACTTCCAAGCTAATATTAACACTATGAATTCCGTCGGATCCACAGAGAGGTCGTTGCAAAACGATTCCATGCCCTCTTCTAGTATAGCATCTTCGTGTGCGTCTTTGTACCTGCTAAAGAATTCTTCAGCTCTCTTAAGCGAGAACTCGTTGAGAATTACAACAGATTCATCCTTTTTACTGTCTCCAGAGTGAGCGAGTTGTGGCTGAGTTGATTCCAATACAAGATCCGTTTTTTTTGTTCCGTTGACAAGTATGTCTCCAGAGGCTTTTCCACACATTGTGTTAATTTCTTCACTGGGGACGGCACTTTTCTTACCATGCGATTTGCTACCTGATTCTTTGTCTCCAGTTTTGCTACCCAGAGAGGAAGGGGGGTTTTTGCACTTGGTGACACACTGGCCCATGTTTCTTAACTGCGGCTCTAGAGCAGTCCCCTTCCAGTCAAGCTTCCTCTCAGCTCCAGCTGCTCCATACACTTCAACATGCCATCAGGGATGCTATTTGGAAAAAAAAACTGATAAAATGAATACATCTCAACTATTCTTCCTTTTACCTTCAATTTTATTAAAAAAACACACAACTGAACTGTGGGAAAAGTCAAAAATACAATGTGTGCCTCAGAACATTCACTCACGTGAATATAAGGGATGAACAATTCAAATTTGACTTCAGTGATGCGTCAGTTCAAACCCCAAGGCAGGGTTTTGTTGACTGATCTTATTCACTAACGTTGAGCCTTGGATCACTAGAAATGTACATGTTTTGGCTTTGCCTCCCCAAGTTTAAAAAGGTACAAACATCTCTTAACAAATATGCTAGAGAAAACAAACACACTTAGAAACAAAATTATTCTATTTTAATAACTAATTTGAACATTTCAACGAAGGGCAAAAATCCCACTCTTTTATTGGGGTGACATCTGAACATTAAACAAACATTAAAATTTCTGCTACATTTTGTTTTTGAAACAAGCCCATCCCCTTGTTTGAAGAATCATTTAAATTTTAAACATCTGGCGGGGTGTTCAGCATCACCAGCAAGTGACAAAATGGAGGAAGGGTGAAAAAAAACCAGAACCGTTGAGATCTGAGATTCAATGTTTCACTTCCTCTTAGTCAAAAGCATTACAAGTCCAAAAACAAGTGTGGTAGATATTGGTCCCGATGCCCCGATAACATAGGCAGATTTTACTTACAAATTAATACTTGCATGGCATGATCCACTTTCATCCTGAGAATATAATTTGCACATAGCCATAATGTTAATTTATTTTATACCACCACTAACTACAACGTCAAGCAACCTGTTGATAGTCAGGTGACGTGGCGTAAAGTTTTGTAAATTATACACATTTTATATACCGCCATACTCTGGGATATGTATTTATGCAAGAATCACCTTCCCGCCAATCCACCTAAAAATAGACTATTTAATGGTTCTGAAATAACTAATTCATTTTAAGGTATAAACACAGAAGTCACTGGGAACACGCAGCAGGTCAGGCAGCATCCACAGAGAGAGGAAATTGAGCTAACGTTTCAGATCTATGACCTTTTGTCAGAACCCATAGACCTGAAACGTTAGCTCATTTTCCTCTCTCCATGGATGCTGCCTGAACTCTGCGTGTTCCCAGCGACTTCTATGTTTATACCAAGTTTCCAGCATCTGCAGTACTTTGGCTTTTAATTAATTTTAAGGCATCCGTATTTAAATAAATAATAATAAAATATGCATTTGATATAGCGCTTTTCACGTCTTCTCGATGTCTCAAAGCGCTTCACAGAATATACTGTAAAGTGAATCAACTGTATATTTGTGAGCGAAACGCGGCAGTCAATTGTGCACAGCAATTGGGGACATCTGGATCCATCTGCACAATAGCAACATTGATGTCGCACACACAAAAACACAAGGAAAATAAACTGAGGAGGACAACCCTCTTTTCCAAACAAAACAAGCCAATGGAGAATGAAAAATAAGACCATAAAAAGAGACTATTTCTGGGGAAGGAGGAAAAGATACAAATGGGAACTGGCAGCATTAAAACACGGGAATTAGTTACACCACATTGGCCAAAGGAAAGTCCAATTCATTCTCATCAAACCAAACTCCAGCAGGAAATACTTGAATTTAAGCTTAAAGAGGTATCACAAATTCACAAAGTGTATTTGTTGGGCCAACACAAAGAACCTATTATATACTCCAACAGTAAAACAGAAGCTGTTATTCCGGATCAGTTTGATAAGATCACCGAACTTACAGTGCACGTTATTGCCAGTGCACAAGCATACATCAGCATCAATTTGAGCGGAAGAGCACAAGGCAGAGCTCATGTTTGCAGGCCTCACTCCTGTAGAATTAACTCTCCAAAGAAATAAGTCACAAAACCAGCGCTTTGTGTAGACAGCACTAGTAACTAATAAACAGCACAATAAAACGCACGGTAATGGTGTTAAGCAAGTTTCTGTAAAAAAAACACTACCAGAGAAAAGAATGTTGGTTGGCCTGTAATGTCAAATTTACAAAGCCTTACAAGGAAGTCTTTCCCTCTATTCAGGAGGTAATTCCCTCACTATTGAATAGGGAGAAAGTCTCGCTGTTCAGGTTTTCAGAGAGGGAGAGAAGCCTACTTGGCCATTCACTCTATGACGGTTTGTGGAACACTGCTATCCATGTGCAATTGGCTGCTGCGTTTCACCAACAAAATACAGTCAATTCACTTTACAATATACATTGTTAAGCGCTCTGAGATGTCTCAACGACATGATAAGGCGCTATTTCAAATGCAAGGATTTCTATTGTTATTATTAATTGCTATCAATCACTTGAGTGAGGCATCCGTGAAAATAAGGAAATAGACAATTAACTTTACACTGTGAGCTAGACCACAACACACATTTTTTTAAAAAAAATTATTCATCTTAAATGTCGAGCCTCGGGAGGCAATTACAAAAACGACCCCGTTGTACTTACAAAGCAAGTGTAGGGAGTTACAGGTGATCTCTGTAGCATAGCGTTTGCTGCATATGCAGAGTGAGGGGATTTGCACATGTAAAGCTGCAAAAATGAAGAAACCCAACATTTTATAAATGTTATTTATCTGTACAATCTGAAGTTAAAACAGAACAAGCAAGCTTGTCATTTTCAAATCAAAGTTAAATCAAATCTTTCATACGTCGTAGATAGGACAATAATGGTCCTAATGGTACAAAACAGAGGAAGATTCTTCAATACAAATCAGGTTTAATGTCTCCAATCTTCATCTAAAAGAACATTTGGTGAAGGTGCAGAAATGCACACAATCTGGGAAAAGAAGCAGATTTGCCTGAAGCAATTCAACCAGTGTTGCTGCAACCCTAGTTACTTCTAGTTTCCAGCAACTTAGTGGTTTAATAATCACAGCACTTTCAATGAGGAAATTCATAGCAACAGATAGCTCACAAGGAGGAGCATCTCATAGTTTTACTTCTCTATATATAGTTTTTGAGTGAACTACTTTGCAGTACGACAAAACAGGTGGGGGGGCTAACAGATAATAAGGCACCTAATTTATTGCAAGGTCACTTGTAAATATAATGCCACATGGCTACTCGGGTACTCAGTAGTGCAAAGCATATGATAATATGCCTCTCCATCCATCGCTGGTGTAACACTTCATCCCACAAGACATGCTTCATGCAAGGTGCAATTAGTGCCATTAGGGCTGAGCATTCTCACGTCACATACAGCAGAGTTACAGAGAAAAGCTCCTGCTATTTGTCTCGGCTAACAAGAGATCTCTTCAGGCCACCAACTTAGAACCATAATAATAATAATCCTTGCATTTGATACAGCGCCTTATCACATCGTTGCGACGTCTCAAAGCGCTTCACAGAGTATAGTGTAACGTGAATTGACTGTATATTTTGTGGGTAAAATGCATCCTTTCTAAGAGCATTTATTGCACTCCCCACCGCTTCCTCTCCTCCACCCTGCCCCCCCCCCGCATTGAGTGTCTCTCACTGCCTGCACTTTTGTGCAGCTCATCAGGAAGTTGCTAATTAATGTTCAATTAAGGGGATTCTATACTGTGAAGCCGGAAACCTTTGGGCAATAAGGGTCGGACTGAAAGCAGCTGAATTTATTTCACAAAAGGACCTTGCACCACATTCAATCTAAACTGTATTCAAATAGTAATCCCAGAAGTGAACAGACAGTTTTTCAATTCACCATGCCACCAGTTATCTGCTGAAGAATAGATCGTTTAGATTTTAGCTGTTTATTCAAATTTATTTTTCTCCCCTCCTGAAGGTGTTATACAGCTTTAAGCAGTCTCTAGGGCAGGGGAAAATCCCATGATTGTACTCCACATGAGCCTCCTCCTTCTCCCCCTACCCCAATCCCCTGCTCCCATATTCCTCGATTCCCTTCTCCCTCATGAAGGCATTTGACTCCTTTTTAATTCTGCCATATGGTTGTAAGGCCACCGCCGGTCATCCCCTAAAATCTCACCCAGGAGTCCGTTATTCATATGCAAGCATTGAAAGTGTGTGCAACAAGCTATACAATTAAAAAGGGCATTGCAGCTGAACTAAAATCTATTGTTCTCACATGTAAACCTCCAGCAGGAGTCCCAACAAAGGACGCCGAGGTCAATTATAGCACCTCTTCTGCCACCCAGCTGAAAGTATCCAATTCAGAACTGAGACCTTCAACAACAACAACAACAAAATTACATTTGTATAGCGCCTTTCGTCGGGAGGACGTCCCAACGCGCCGGACAATAAGTGTTTCAGACCTGAGCTGGGGCTCCGGATCAGGGAAGGTGGGGAGGGCAGGGGGGAAAAGCAGCTAAAGCGATTTTAAAGCGTACAGACCTTCAGTTACTCATTCATACCTCATGGGACTTTTGAGTTCAATTTTAAACTTGTGGTACTTCTTTTACAAACACATCGCTGGGGTAGCTTTATGCATCCATTGATTAGGAAGCAAGATACGGCAGTCCAGCTTCAGGACAGCTCCACTAAAGCAGTCAATTCATTGCTTTGATGTGCCTTCCAGGTAGCATACCTGAGAAGGGGAATATACCAGTCCATCCCAGTAAGGCTTTGCTTATTTTTGGAATCAACTTAAACAAAACACTAGTATCATTCAAATCAGGATTCAAATCAACCTTTGGTGAATCATAAGTTCACAAGAAAATCACAAGTTTTGATTTAGTTTCTCTATGTATAGTGCCAATACAGCAGTTGTATCCCAGCACATTAAGGATTTTTGAACAATCTGGGACACTTTACAACAACAACCACAACAACTCTGACTGTGCTTTGAGTCATCTTTCCCCTTCTTCTCAACCCCTTCAGCTTCCACCCCCAGTTCAGATGCCCAGTCAACAGTGTTAAGCATTTGAGATAATCTCCCAACATAAACGTTGCTATATAAATATAAATTGTACTGCATAGCATATCGACCCGCAATGTATACCATGAAAGGCTATATAAGTGCCTCTCATCAATGCCAAACACTGATTTTAAATAGGTGCAGGCACAGATAACCACATTATCAATTTCAGAAGATAGATTAGGTCCTTGTAAATGTTTCAATATGAAGAGATGTTTTGATTTTAAAGCAAAATTAGGTGTATCCTACATGTACTACATTTGCATTCCAAATGCTAAGCTGAAGAAAGCAGATTCAGAAAGAACAATTCAGTCAGCCCGAGTACAAACTGTTTACAAAAGCTGAAATTAAATTGTTCTCCAACATAATTTCTTTCTCCAGTATACTCTATCCTGAAGAATAGGGCAGCAATAGCAGCAGCAGGAACTAATAGTAATAAATTAAGGAAGTAGATTTATTTAAATTACTTCACATTACTGTACAATTTCAAAATTTAAAGAAGTGATTTTTATACTTATTCACCAAAAGCCCGATATGCAATTCCAAGTATTGCCAGTTATCAATATGAGATTCCGAGTATTGTCAAACATTAGTACAGTTTGTATTACTGGCATCAGTTTCCTCCATTCAACAGCAAACAGATAATGTTATATTATAAGAGAAGAACATTACCATTCAAGACCTGAATGTTATTACAGTAAGCAGCAAAAGGCCAGATTAGATGCTATGTAAAAGTAGGCCATATATAATCCTTGCAATTGATATATCATCCTTTCATGTCAGGAGGACAGACACCTCAAAACACTTTACAGGATTTACTGTGAAATGTAGTGACTGTATATTTTGTAGGCAAACACAGTAGTCAAATTGCCCACTGCAATGTCCCACAAAAAGCCATGAAGTGAATGATCAATCTTGTCTGGGGGTGGGGGGTGGAATTGTTGGCCGAGACACGGGAGAGAAACTCCCTTCTCTCTTTTTTTATATTNAAAAAAAACAGTTTCACTGAATCTTTAAACGTCCAAACCTGAACATGTGGATAACAAACAAAGTTGTTTAATTCAGTCGAGTTAATTCAGACTCCTGGAGGGAGGGAGGGAGGAAGGGAAGGGAATGTGGGAGCTCATACTGACTTGACAATCGGCTTTGCTATTCTTCCAGTGGATAATGAAACTGTTACCGTCGCCTTCAGCTCTCAGCAAAAACAACAGAAAACAAAATGAAAATAAAATAAAAACCTGAGGAGGAAGTGACAGGGGTCTCGGAACGAGTTACAGCGACTGCACATTTGGCCAGAAGAGGAGTGAACCCGTTAGTGCAGGTGTGTGAGTGTGTGAGAGTGTGGGGGGGGGGGGGGGGGGGGGGGGATTTTAATTGTACTGAGGGGAGTGGGGTGGTGTGAGGTGTGTGGGGGGAGGGGGGAGAGAGAGAGAGAGAGACGGTGCGGCTTTCCCCTTCGCAAACCACCCCCTCCTCCCTCGGCAGAGCGGGGCCTGCGCCAGGCCTCCCCACAACACCTTCAAAACAATGTGGGGGGGTTAGAAAAAAAATAAAAACGCTGACTCTCCCCTCCCCCCGTCCCGTCCCGTCCCAGACCCAACACCCCCCCCCCACCTCCTCCTCCCTCCCGAGGCCCTTCACGTCGAGCAGTCGCTGAAGCAAACCGGGGCTCGGCGCGGGCGGCTCGGGGCTCGGGGCGGGCGGGGGCTGCACGGTGGGGAGGTTGGCGGGGGAGGGGAGGTGGGGGGGTGGGGAGGGGAGGGGGTGGGGGGGGGACTCACCGTTCCGCGGATAACACAAGGAGACAAAAATTTGCCCCTCATCACTTCCTACTGCGCCGGGCAGCAGTTTCTGCCTTGTGCAGTACGTCATCAAACCTTGCGGTCAAACGTCAGTGACGTGGAGCGCAAGGGTGGGTGGGTGGTTGGTTGGTTGGTGGGGGGGGGGAGGGGAAAGGGACCACCACCACCCTCAGCAGCAGCAGCAGCGTTGGTTTCTCTCTTCCTCCCGCCTGACTCCTCCCCCTCCCTCCCGCCTGACTCCTCCCCCTCCCTCCCGCCTGACTCCTCCCCCTCCCTCACGCTTTGCCCCGCCCCTCCCCGCCCCGCGCAGGAAATGAAAGCGAAACAAACGGTCAGGATTTTGAAGGCGGCGCGCGCGGCAGAACAGCGCGTGCGCAGAGCAGGGCGCGTGCGCAGAGCCGCTTCTCCCCCCCCCCCACACCAACTGCTTTCCGGCGCACGCGCAGTAACCGGAAGCTCGCAGTGCTGTCGTCCGGTCGCTTCACCGACTGCGGAGGGTGTGATGTGATGTGATGTGGTATTAACTCGTTACCCTATATTTCACCTCCTCTCCTCTCCTCCCCCGCCCCGAGTCGGAAAAGTTTTGTTTGGAATCTTATCCGGGACAAAAATGTGAGTCAACCGAAAGTCAACCGGAGCGCTCTGTGACTCTGCGGCCTGTTCTCCGTCGTCACCACCGTCACCACCACCACACAGCAAGAGAAAGCCCCACCGGCGGGTAGAGAGAGGGAGGAAGGAGGTAGAGAGAGAGAGAGAGAGAGGGGAGGAAGAGGGAGAGAGAGGGAGGGAGGGGGTAGAGAGAGAGAGGGGGAGGAAGAGAGGGGGAAGGAGGTAGAGAGCGAGAGAGAAAGGAGGAAGAGAGAGAGAGGAGGAAGAGAGAGAAAAGAGGAAGAGAGAAAGGAGGAAGAGAGAGAGAGAAAGGAGGAAGAGAGAGAGAAAGGAGGAAGAGAGGAGGAAGAGAGAGAGAAGGTTGGAAGAGAGAGAGGAGGAAGGGGTAGAGAGAGAGAGAGGAAGAGGAAGGAAGTAGAGAGGAGGAAGATAGAGAGAGGAAGGTGATAGAAAGAGAGAGAGAGAGGGAGAGAGGAAGGAGGTAGAGGACACAGTTCCCGAGTGCTCCCGGGCTGGTGTGCAGTGCTGTGTGTGGGCCTCACAGCTCTAAACATCACAGTACCTGGATCCTGCAGTGAAGCTGCTGAACAGCACACCCGGATCAACCCTGGTAGACCTGGCTCCACATTGCCACATTCCATCCTTACAGCCCGTGGGCTTCGCTGTGAAACAAATTCATAAATAATAATTGTTAAAACAAATTCAACCTTTAAAGCAATTATTCTAAACATTTCAACCACAGAGATTCGCTGCGCTCTCGCCTGACCCACTCCAACCTTGCCACGAGACATCATGTACAGTAACATTACGTACAGCATAATCCATTGATAATAATAATAATAATCCTTGCATTTGATATAGCGCCTTTCACGTCGGGAGGACGTCCCAAAGCGCTTCACAGAAGACACTGTAAAGTGAATTGACTGTATATTTGTGGGCGAACGCGGCAGCCAATTGCGCACAGCAATGTCCCACAAACAATCGTAGATTGAAAATGACCAATTTATTATTGTTTTTGGTTTTGGAGGGATTATTATCGTGGATTATTATATGGTAGTTCGAATTATTGTTGTATTAATAATTATTTGAAGAAAGAACCCCAGTAAAAATGCTCAATCGTGGTATTTCTTCAGACCCTAACTGAGGTATCAATAAAATAATATTTGTTCAAATGTTATTGTGAATATTAAGTTTCCTCTTCGCACCAAACGCAGGTGTAGGTGATTTGTTAACAAAAAGTGATGTTGATTGTTATGAAATGGAAATTTGTGATTCGTTAATAGAGGATGTGGCAACCTTCCTTATTTTTTTCCTCTTAGTTCAGCAGGATGACAGCAGCGACCAGATGGGAGGCACTTAGCCTTTATAGCAAAATCTTCAGAATAGCGAGGACGTGGCAGTCACTGTCAGGCCTAACAGATGAAACTATGAAAGAAAAGCAGTACATCATCACAGAAGCCAGAGCATTGTTTAGAAAAAATAAAGATGTGAGTTAGGATATTTAAGGTTCACTTTATGGTGGAGTCCTGTAGCTCAGTGGTTAGAGCACTCGCTTTGCAAGTGAGAGACCCGAGTTCAATTCCAGGCAGAGGGCGAAACCTTGGGCAAGTTTCCTTACTCCACACAGAGCCTAATAATACCTCCAAAAAACAAAACAATAATAAATTGGTCATTTTCAATCCATGACTGTTTGTGGAACATTGCTGTGCGCAATTGGCTGCCGCGTTCGCCCACAAATATACAGTCAATTCACTTTACACTATATTCTGTAAAGCGCTTTGGGACGTCTAGAAAACATGAAAAGCGCTATATCAAATGCAAGGATTATTATTATTATGATGATGGGTTAATAGAATTTTGCGAAAACGTCCTACTAAATTGAGAAGTCAGCAATGGTTCCTGTGGGTTATTTAAAAGTATCATCCCAGCTGATTTCCTGGGAGTAAAGATTTGTATAAAGTATTGGAAACTTTAGCTTATGTACTTACCTCAATTAGTGCAGAAGGTTGTGGGTTCAAGTCCCCACATCAGGACTTGAACCAACATAGTTTAGATGCAGTGCTGACTATGTGTTGCATTAACGGAAATGCCGTCATTTAAACATCTACATATTCTAAACAAAGCCTCTGTCATTCCAAGCGATCACAGTAAGTCAAGTACTTATTGTATGATCAGCTATTCACGAGGTTCACAATTGTAATTCATTGTGTTTGGGTAGTAGTCATGTACAATATACGATTGAGTTTCTTTACCTACAAATAATGTTTTTTTTCAGTTAACAGATTTAGAGGAAATCAAACAATGCATAAAGGAATGTCACGCAAGGATAGAAATGGGTAAGAATAAGTTATTATAGCGTTCTTTAATTCTGTAGTCCAAAGGTTTTAGAACAAAAATCACTAATTTCTGGTGTAACCTTTGATTTCTTGTTTACAGGATTACATTATAGAATTCCCTATCCTAGACCGGTAAGTTACACTATTGCAAAATATAGCAGGTAGATTTTTAATTGTGAATCGAGAAGCCTGATTGTACTTATTCTCATCATATTGATCTGGAATATTAAATTAAGAAACTTTTACCTGCAGCTTGTGTTATTATTTAATGTATAACTATGTTTTGGCATACGAACACTGTGTACCCTTTACGATTCTAATATAATAAATGGGAATTTTATTTCCAATTTTGAAACCTAAGTTGTAATTAGTCAGTCAGTTTGTGGTCATTTTTTGTCCAGGTCCTGAAATGAAAGGACAGCATATTAATTCACTCTGCCAAACCAGTCCCTCTTAAACTCATATCTTTTGCCAGTCGGTCAACAAATACAATTGGTATCAAAGATAACGTACTCTGTAAGGCTAATAGAAACATGAGCTGCTATGAAATTAAAAAGAATTGAAGGACAGGAAAGGAATGAAAATAAATCTTTTCATAGTTTGCAAAGCTCTAGTTATGCAAGTATACCAGTCACAAAATTGATTTTATTAAACATAAGAAAATGACATTTACCACTTTTTAAAAATAAATCTAGCTGCAAAGAATCATTGTGCGCCTTAACTTCACTACATTATTTATAGATGCATCTCCCTCCTATGGGACTTGGTGGTAAAAAAGAACGCAAACTTCGCACACAAGAAAGACTGCGGAAAATAGCAAAACCAGTGTATCTACAGTCCCAAGAGGAGACATAACAGTGGTTTGAGTTGGAAATTTGTAACCCCTTGTGTTAATATTTATGTTGTACTGTGCTAAAATATATTTGACAGCGGTGAGTTGTTTGAGTTATGCTTAATTTGTAGAAGACTTCTGTTGCCAAAAAAAACCTACATAATTTGCCAACAAAAAGGTTTGCAATGGGTAGCGGTTATTGGACCAGCCTGTACCAAAGTAGGTATGAAAATTTGACCTTACTCATTCACATACTTTAAAGCATGCTTTCAGTTTTATTGCTGTAACTTATTTCTTCAAACCTTAAGAAAACTGCTATCACCCAGGTTCAACAGATGACTATGTCAGTTAGTACTCCTTAAGTACTCCTTTTGAAACCCTTTTTCCAACCTTTTAATTTTACCAACTGGATTCATATAAACATATTGACCATCCATTATCTATCATTTATCATATCATTGATCTTGTCCTCCCGACGTGAAAGGTGCTGTACAAATGTCATTTTGTATTGCATTGTATTTTCACAGTGATTATCCCTGCTCGAATACTAATGGTAATAAATCAGCCAGGAAGGGTAATGAAACACATGTGAATTTCTAACCTTCTCACTCCACAATGCTTTACTAATGGGGAAAAAAATATTTCTTTGCTTCCAACTTTTACAAATTTATTTCAGTCCTTTAAATAAAGTAAATGTAATCCAAAGTAAAAATAATTCAATTTTGTCTGTGGCTATAATATCTCTTATGTGGTATCAAAACCAACTTAATGTAATATCTTCTCTAGAACATTGGATGAAACCATGAGATAGTTTAATTCCTCACCCTTGTCTTCAAATCCCTCCACTCCTCTGCAACCCCCTATCTCTCTGACCTCCTCTCTCCTCAAAACAGTGCCCGTTGCCTTCGTTCCTCCGGGTCTGGCCTCCTCCTCATCCCCCGAGTCCTCCACTCCACCCTCGGGGGCCGTGCCTTCAGCCACTATGCTCTGAGGCTCTGGAACTCCCTTCCCCGCTCCCTTCGCCTCACCCCCTCTCTTCCTATTTTCAGGTCTCTGCTGAAGACCTTTCTTTTCGACCGCGCCTTTGGTCACCTTCCTCCGCCTCCCCCTGGATCGGCCCCGGGATCCATTACTGTGAAGCGCTCTGAGATGCCGTCCGGCGTGGAGGGCGCTATATAAATCCAAGTTGTTGTCGTTGTAAAAATCATTAGTTATTTATACATATGGCTTTTACAATCAAGGATAAATGAAACACATTAAAAGTCTGTTTCTCCCCCTCCAATTAAGTAATACATATTGCATTAATCTGTCGTAATTCAAATAGGGATTCCTTCTGGTAACCTTAAGTGCAGCAGGGTGACGCATGGGAACGCCACAAAACAGAGGTTCCTGCTGGTTGATGGAATTTATAACAGGAACCATATTGAAAAATAATGGGAATTAGACCCCCCTCATCAGCTTTCACTCACAAATAATAATTTCAGGTTTAATACTTTTGAATATTTTATTTTCCAGTGCAGATTCATCATAATTTAACTTTGACACACTGGCCTGTTATTAATAAGTAAATTAGTGAGAGAAAAAAACATATGCTTTTTTTCAATAAAATCAGGTTTATTTACTCTCCAGACTCAACAAGGTGAGTTTTCACAATATAGTCACGGTCAGTAATATTTGAATATTTACTGAAAGTTTAACACACAATTCAGTGACTCCAGAGAGTTGTTAATCATCCAGCTGACACAGAACTGCCACACCACGGTTTACCCAGTGTCTTTGTGGCTTGTCTGATGGAAGCTCTATTGAAAGTACATAATTTGTTGAGTGGCCAGTTGTGGATAAGGTACCTCTGCGAGCACTGGTTTTGTAGACTGGACATAAGTATATGTTTTGATGCAGAAATTCTGAACTCTTTCCTGGTTTCAGCCAGATGATGGGCAAACTATCGTACAGAATTTTTGGAAGCGACTCTCCAATAACCATGTTCTCCCTATCCCAGCGAGCTCCTTCCAAAAATAGGCCTTTGACATAGGCTCCGTCTTTTACTTTTTCATTCATGTCATTTTCTTCTTTCATGACCTAGGAAGCACAACAATGTTAGACATCAATAGCAGTAGAAAATTCATTGGATTCCATCTTTGGCTGGAAGATGGTGGCAGTGCTCTCATGCACTTTACGCTGTTGCTCGGGGCAAATCCTCAACTGTCCAGTACCTTAGGGAAGTGCTCCAGATGTGAAAAGCGTTGTATTAATGTAATTTGTTGTTATTGCCCACCAAGAAGCTCACAGGGAATTCCTAGTACCTGCTATCCGTTCCAGGCCTCAAACCTGTGTTTGTCAGATGTCAAATGGACAACTAATGACTATCCTCCGGGGGGGGAGAGGTAAGTGGAGTCTCCTTGGAGCTAGACTGGCTCTAAGGTGACCATGCTTGGCAATGGAATGTTGGAATCAAGTCAACCCTCAGGCTGAGCCAGGCAAGTCCACAGTACTCCATGGTATTGCTGATGACAGTTCAGCCAGCCGGCACATCGGAGGATTTGGAGGGGCAGATGAGTCATTGGGGGCAGGGATTCTTCCCACTCAGCTCCTGTTAAGGCAATGTTACACTAAAACATTTTCAATACATGTGTCAACGGTTTGACTTCAGTTCAATGACCCATCTTAATATATAAACATTCTGCCATGACAACAAATGTAGGCAATCATTCTTACCTCAAATTCAAATCCAATATGATCAATAGGTATAGTGTATTTTCTTGCATAATTCTGTGAAACACCAGTCAAGAAAGACTGAGTGAAGTAAAATCCAGATATCCAAAATACATTTGGTGGTCCATGGTCTATCCAGTCCTACATAGAAATTTCATCATTAGAATGGCATTGCACTAAATAGCTCAATAATTGCATGCATATTCCCTATTTTATTTAAAACTACAGTACCTGAAAAATCTGCAACCTCTGCAGTAAGTCTGACACATAACTGCCCAGCGGTTTGAGTGATGGATAGGACTTGGCTGCCCACATTGATGGAACCTTCCCCATCAGCATACTCTCAAACACATTCTCCAGTTCAGAAGACATTACCACAAGCCCTTTGATAGCTTTACCAATGTTTAGAAGGCTGGTGCGTGCAACTTCGGTGAGCCTGGGAGAAAGAGCGTAGAGTGTATTCCAAAGAAGAAAGTGCTGCAGCATTCCAAAAGGTTTTTATAACAGAACATTTTAACATAAAGTCTTCACAACAGATATTGTTACTTCAGATTTAATCTGTCCATGATAGTGTTATAATTTTAACGCCTGGTTTGTCCCACATTCTATGATGTGAACATTTGAACCAACTAAAGAAATAATCGAGGCTGCCGGCTCTGTTTTCTACAGTGTTAACGCAGAAGACTTGCTTGTATTTAATCTCAAATGATCTCAACACGAGTAATTACACAATGCTGCACCTTGACATTCTGCATCAATCCACTTGTTAATTCCACATGTCCTGCTACTAAGATCACCTATAGGAGATGGTTTCAGCAGTACATTGTATCCCATGCTGTGGCATTACTTGGGCTCCATTCAGAAACTCTTATTCGTTTATAATAATGTGACCATTTGTAATACTATTTAAAGAACTAGTTGTGCAATCTGATATCAGGCATCTTGCTCCTAATGTCTTCACTGTTGGAAGTGATATCACTGGGTTTATTGTACTGAGTTACATGTGAGCTCAGAATAAGGAACAGTCTGAGTGAGGCACAGTATGCTGGTACACTACTGTGAAATGTTGGAATAATGCAGCTTTATGTATTGCTGATCAGATCCAACTCAAATAAATTGTTGGGAGTTTTCTTTTCACCAACAGTATTGGTCTTTGAACTAGAGTTAATCCTACTATTTTTTCCAGAGGACAGAAAAGTTATTGAAAAACTAAATTCTTGGAATATTTGTTTTGGGATAGCTTATTAAATATTTTTTTCTGGGGAAAAAAAGCAAATAGTAGGCTTTATTCAAAAGCCAATCTGTTTGGCACTGGTCCAAGCAGTTACACAATCAAATGCAACAAAATTGAAATTTGCACTATAATAGCTCAGAAGTTTTAGTCGGAAACAATAAGCACTGCCTTGGTTGTGGTAATTGCAGCTTTACGTTTCAGACATTTGGGGTTCTGAAGGCTTATTTCAGACAGAAAGATCAATTACTACACATACCTGTTAAATCGAATAAGTTCCTGTCTGAGAACTGTGTTCATGGATTCCTCATACACCACTGGATACTTTTTGATCACCAGTTCCAAGTTGAAATCATTTGGTAGTTTAGACAAGATGTCTACAGCAATATCTCTAACAGCGTCCTGAAATGATTAGACAATGTTCAAGGGAAGCTGGATTTCGATTGGATTGTTTGATATTCACAATATAAACTATGTAGTTTCACNAAAAAGGGAACAGGTGAAAAACAAAAAAAGCAAAGAGGGGCGGTAGGGTAAACGTTCTGGAAGGTTGAGAGCGGATGGGGCTAAAGGGCCTTCTTCAATCCACTTGTTAATTCCACGTGTCCTGCTACCAAGAGATCTTAGGGGGATCTTATTGAAACATATACGATTCTTAAAGGGCTGATAAAGTAGACACTGAGGGTCTGTTTCCCCTGGTAGGAGAATCTATAACCAGGGGTCACAGTCTGAAAATTAAGGGTCAGCCTTTTAGAACAGAGTTGAGGAAACATTTCTTCACTCAGAGGGTAGTGAATTTATGGAATTCACTACCCCAGAAGGCTGTAGATGCTCTTCAAGGCTGAGACTGATAGATTTTTAAAAAACAGAAGGATTAGGGGATATGGGGATAGGGCAGGTAATTAGAGTTAGGTCTGAAGATCAGCCATGATCTTATCGAATGGCGGGGCAGGCTCAAGGGGCCGAATGGCCTACTCCTGGTCCTCATTCTTATGTTCAAACCATTCTTGTGAACTTGTGACTAGTTGCACTCAATGGCCTGTTACTTAGGCTGTACAGCACCATAAGTAACAAGTGCTCAAACGCAAACAATCCCAAACATGTACCTTACATCTTTACATGTACGCATCTTACTTGGGAAGATTTCCCAGCGCCGCCGGCCTGCCTGGGAAGAGTTAGTAAAACTCCCTCAAACAGCTGATTTGTCTCCTGGTTATCTTTTGTGATGTCGGCATTTTCATGAAGTCCGAAGACTTCCGGATGAGATATGACTGGTAGGTTTCGCAAGTGATCAATGTAGGACTGTATATNAAAAAAATCCAAAGGAATCTTAATACATATGCAAAAAAAGGAGTTAGAGATATAAGTGAAATAAATTGAAAGGAAAAAGGATATTTAACAATCTGTTTAATATTTTCCAGCTATCTGATAACCTAATGGATTAGTGTAACATCCAGTCTGTGGCACTAAACTAGTGTAGACATGCAGTTCACATGTTTGATTCCTGGTTGTAGGAACTCTGCTGATTTTAGCCAGGCCAGGAACTTGAACACTTAATTGTTTTAAAGAGATGCATCTCCATGGCTGGAGAATTTGCCACTGAATGAAACTAGATCATTCTTACTTATCTCCTGGAAGTCAGTTTCAGGCAACATTGACAAGACATTCCTTCAACATCGGCAAAACAACAACAACAAAATTACATTTGTATAGCCCCTTTCACGTTCGGGTGGGGGGGGGGTGGGGAGGTACAGCCCAAAGCCACATTTCGTGATTTTTAACCACAGATTTGGAGCTACAGAAAGTGCTACTAAGATTGCAGGACGTGTTTTGTTGCAGTGGCTGGACAAGCTGACCAGCACTTTGATTTTGAAAGTAAGATGGTGCTTTTTCAGTATTTAACAGAAAGTTTACCTGATAAGAACCATGAAGCGGGACAAAGTATTCAGGGCCAGGAGCAAGCTTATAAAGGTCTTCTTCTATTATGTCTTTGTTGTAAATAATGGTTAGAAGGGACAAAAGCAAGACTCTGTCTTTATCATCCGTCACTCTGCCACCATAGTTACATTCACCTTTAGGAATCAAGACACACACAAATTACACACAGCATTCACAGCAATTGGTAGTTTCTTCCAAAATGTGTTTTCAACTGAGTAGATGGTTGAAAACATCACCTAAACTTCAGTTTCAACTGAGCTGTCAAAAGTGACCACATTACCTGTTAAGTAAATTAAAGCATCCAGTGGTACTTCTTCATATTCATTCAAAAACATTTGGATCTGCCTCATGCTTATTCGCAGATCAGACTCATTAAATTCATAAGGGATATTCCAACCTGCCGAAATTCCAAAGATATGAAAATATTGATCGTAATAAGCCATTAAATAACAATAAGTTAAATATTTACATCAACATCTAGTTTTAACACCCAACTCAACCAAATCCCTTATCAATAAATTTGTCACTTCCCACCTTGATTATTCCAATGCCCTTCCTTGCCAATCCCCAGGGCCACTATTCCTAAAATCCAATTAATTCAAAACTCCACCACCTGTATTCTCAACTGCACCAAATTGCGCATCCCCATCACCCTACGACTTGCCTGGCTTCACTGGCTCCGTTTGCAAATGGATCAATTTCCGGATCATCGCACTCACCTACAAGTCACTTCATTCCCTGGCAGCCCTGAACATCTCTTAACGCGCTTTCACAGCAGCCCTCTACCTGCCCCCTTATGCTCAGCCGGCTCCGAGATGCTACCCTGCATGAAGGGCGCTACATAAATGCTTGTTGTATTTTTTCTGATCTCTGATCTACAAATCAAAATTCCACACAAAATATATAGAACTTATGATGCTCTTCCTACGGGAAAGTTTATAAACACTAGTAGACAATATGATATGAAAAATAGTAGATAATATAATGGAACAAAATGAAACAATCTCATCTGAAAGCTCACCGAGTGCACCAAAGTTCCTCCTCTCTTGGACGAGAGCATGAAAGAAACAAAGCCCGAAGAGAAGCTTTTGCCAGGCTTCTGGTTTGTCACAGCTGCTGAAGAAGGTAAGGTCCGAGATTGGGTCATTGAGATATGAACGGAGCATGTTCGCCCTGAGACCCTTCGGAGGTTCGTTGGTCATCTTTATTCCGTTCTGGAGGATGCTGACAGGAAACTTATCCGATGGGTAACTCGTCAGCCACAACCTAGGAAGACGGGTTTTGACAGCAAAATAATATATCGTTTTTATAAAGTAGTTGCCTCAGCCTGCCAGTGGTCAAGCTGTACATCTCTCACCCCCTTCATCCCAATGGAACACTCATTGGCAATTGATGTCACTGAAACCCTGCTTTCTGGAACTCACTCCCAATATCCCACTCACTTAATGCCACCCCTCTCCCCCCACCCCTTTATCACAGAGGGCAACAATGTCTGCAAATGAGGCAAAATTCTTCAGGTCGAAACTCAATGGTAGAAGTACCAATTAACACATCTGATTATTGAGCATGTCTGAAGAACTGACAGATCTGGGGCTATAAATACTTATCAAAACAAAGAATGAATCTGCATATTGTTGGATTAATATATTGCAATCACCATTAACTTCTACCGTATCAGAACTACCTGATCAGAAAGAGATCAGATAAACGCTCAAAAAATGTCTTGGAACATTGTAGAAAACCTTTCCTGGATCAATGAAAATTCCTGAAAACATTATTTTCACCTACACAATCACAGTTACTCTTTCTTTGTAATAAAATCCTGTGAAGAGCATTGAGGCATTTTGGTGTCTATTATCAAATGTAAGGAATATCGTAAATATTTAACAGAATTAGAAAAAGTGTGGACCTGAAGGCAGGTTTGGTGTTTTCTGGGATTATTACTTCCTCGCAGATTTTCTCCAGAGCAGGCATCCAACTCGTTGCAAGATGGCAATTCTGTAACACAACCCACGTTCCCGCTTTAAGAGCATACTCGATCATTTTTCCTGCAATAGGTCCCTGGCCCTGACCAAGCGAGATTGTTTGAGTGTTTCCACCACCCATCCCAAGATCATCTGCAAACTTCAGCAAGCCTGTGAGCATGGCAGAAAGCAACGAGAAGTGGATTGCAAGAAGTATACACAGTAATGAATAGAAATTGACAGCACGGAGGAAGGCTATTCGGCCCATTGGGTATGTGCTGGCTCCTTTAAGAACCTTTCCTCATATCGCTTTAGCTTACTCCTTATTTATCTAGTTATAATTTCACACACTCCCGCATTAAAAGCCAGGATTTATTAAGCTTTTTTTAAAAAAAAACAGATCAAATAGTACTTTTAAAAAAAAAACTGAACAGCAGGCAGAAGTACGCCACTTTCCAACAAAATTTGGATAACATTAATAAATTAACAATTTATATTTTAAATAATTTAATTAATAAATACTAAAAAATATATTTAAAACATTTTATTTAGTTAGGTTCATATTAGAGTGTTTGTAACATGTTTAAACTAAAAGTTTGAGCAACCTTGGCTAATTTGAAAGCAGTGATCAATACGTTACTTCAACAAAACTGTAATTGTATTAAGTTGTTACAAACGGTAGTTATCACCGATAACAGTTATCTAATATTGTATATTGCCTGAGATTATTGCACGGGAACAAATTAATAGACAAAACTAAAATAGTTTCTAGTCTCAATTCTATAGCCCTCATCCTATAGTGCTATTCTTAACAATAAAATTTAATGGTATCAATGATTAAATATTCAGGTGAGCACTTTACCTGCCATGGGATCGGCACCAGGTGACAGGATGAATATTAAAGGAGCGCAGCAATGGGAATCCACATAGCTGCCTCCGAGGTCAAATGTTGGGGGTTCGATATACGTACTGCCCATTTCATTAGAAATGAAATCTTGCATCGCTGGGATAATCTTGTCGGGTCTGAAGCACCTCAGAACCACCAAGTGGTCCATTCCAGTTAAAAAGTTCCACTCATCTGGCAGATTCTCTTCATGAGGTTTTGCCGAGTCATAAATTTCTTTCCAACTTTGTATATTTTCCTGTACGTGCTCCATAAAACCCTTCAGGTTTTTCATGTTGCTCGCCCGGACAATCTCGGACCAGGATTTGTCCGATAGCCATTCGGGAGCGGGATTTGGATGTGGATTATCAAGAGCCACGCCACCAGTTAGCAGGAAGTGCCACAAATCTTCGTCAATGTTCCCTTTGCCCTTCATTATCCCCACATTGAGAAGCAGTGAAAACAGCAGCTTATCCTTTTCGAACAGAGAGCGGCAGACATTGTTATAGATGCTCAATGTGAAGTGGTCTATGATGCCCACAATCCTTTCTTCCAAGATTTCACTTTTCACACTGTTTGCAATGGACACTATGTACAAGTTAATGAACCAAGTCAACGAGTATTGATACATTGGTTCAATATTAGCTAATTCGGAGATGCAAAAGAAGACAATAGATGAGTGGACAGCGACAGGCTTGTAACCCAATCGAGTGGCATCTATTTCTTTCTCTGTGGCAGTCGCAATCTTTTGCTTTTCAGATATTTCTTCTGAGAGCAATTTGGAAGAGGACAACACTTTGATGGCAGTTTCGTCTTCTAAGATATTTCCCTGGGACATTGATAAGACTTCCAGAATTTTGTCCTCTATTTCCTTGAGTTGCTTTTTGTTCGCTGCGCTCTCTAAGATCAAAAGATTCTTCTTTTCTTCCAGTTCCGGCTTTTCTTTGGCGGCCACAATTCCCAGCAGTTGATCCTCGAGACCCAGTGGCGTGATCATGAAGTTCAAGAGGCAAACTTTTACTGCCACCTCAGGGAGATAGTGCGGGTTCCTCAAACGAGTGGTTATGTAGAATTTGAAGTCATGCGAGTACTCAATAATGTTTTCCCCCAACCGCATGCATTCTACTCCCTGGTGTTTGAATGTCTGCTTCAGTAGTATAGGCTCAAGCATTGCATCAAGCTCCTCACCAACATTTTCCAGTAAGACAGGGGTGCCAAACTGAATAGAGTTTTCTAAAATCCTCACATAGTTACTGTCAGAGAGTTTTATTACTCCAAGCCGGTTGGTTTTCTCCATATTTTTGACCCACTTGTTTGCCTGACCTTGAGGATCAATCATCAAAGGCCATCTCCGAGATTGGGATGTAATGATCCCATTGTCAATGGAGAAAGAGTCAATGGGCAATCCCGCAATCTGCCAAGCACGGATCTTCACGGGGTCTCCTAATGTGTGATTCAAGGAGAAAAAGTCGGAGCAAGGGATCTTTTTCTCCTTACACAACATGTGCCACTCGTCTTGACACTCAATACGGTAATCGACAGTGAACGCTCCCAGATAGGCTACGGTGCTCGATGATAGAAGCACGTCTCCAGTTAGGTCTCTGTAAATCAGTTCGAGATTATGGGCAGCTTCAGTCCATCTAGACTTTTCTCCGCCAAGCCCACCTATCAGCTTTTCGGCACGCACCAGCTTCTGTGAACAAAGCTCTATGCTGTTTTCTAAGTCCTTTTTTTTGCTATTCATCACGTCAAACTCGTCATTTAGCTTCTGCAGTTTGTCTTCCACCTCCTTCAGCTCCCCTCGTTTAATGTTCAGCTTGTCCATCTGGATAGCAAGCTCTGCTTCTGCTAACCTCAGGCGCTCACGTTTTGGGCTGACCACCTTGATTACCCGTTCATACACTTCCATGGCTCGGACCCACTTACACAGCCCTTCGCAAGCGGACGATACATTTTTGATCACGGCGGGCTGAAAATCCGGATGATCTATAAACTTTTCTCGAATCCGCTTCATGACTGCAGATGGAATATTATCCTTGTCATAAGTCTTTAGGCTTTCAAGGAACTTCAAGTCACCAAGGACCTTTTTAGATGGGCCCCAGTAGTCTTCAATCATTTTGCCTGTGTGAAAAAAGTCAGGGCTTGAAAAACATACTTTCGAATTTTAGCCTTCATGTAAGTAATTTTTTAAGTCCTTCTACTGCTAAATACCAATCAATATATAAATATATTATTTATATCATCAAAGTAAAAGTATTATCTAGAAGACTCCCTCCCAATCCCCCAGTGGATCCAATTTAAGATTTTTGTCTTCACTTTCAAATCGCTCCACAGCTTCGCCTCGCTCTGTAGCCTTTTACTACTTTATTGCCTCGGCTTCTCCCTCGACTCAGCGCATACCAGCCTGCTTCCCGTCCCCCGCCCAATCTGCTCCGCCATCAGTAGGAAAGCTTTCAACCATCCTGCTCTCACCTCCATCCTGGAGTATCTCTGCTTCACCCCTTCCCTCCTGCAGAAATCAAGTGCTATCGGCTGTCCTCCTGACGTAGAAGGCAGGCGCTACACAAGTGTAAATTGTATTGTCTTAAGCTCTATATAATATATGTACATATATAGACCATCACACCTTCAGTGAAGAAAAAGTGCTGTTGGACTCTTAAGGTCAAATATGCAAAGGCTTTGTTTTAGCTTTATTTTAATGTTGAATCGTGTGATGAATTGTTAATGTGATCTAATGAATAACTAAATACTACACCTGAGCCACTTGGATCTGGTTTTCTCTCTGGTTTTACTCCTTTCATTACACAGATACTTTCCATCACCAGCTTGATTGGGCCTGGCGGGTTTTGCATGGTCTTCACTACAGTGATGTCAGCAGGTTTCAAGGTGTCCAGCGCTCCTACAGCAGCCTCCAGTGCTGGCATGGCTTCAGCCAGGTCACCCTCACATTCATCCTGCAACACACATCCCACAAATACAAACAGGGCCTCAAACTCACCAAGAAGAGCCCGTTTCCAATAAAATATCTACAAAGCTGCATCCGACACAGGCTTGACAGCATACACAGGAGTTCCATTTCACCCACAAAACATACAGTCAACGACAACAACTTTCGTTTATATAGCGTCCTTCAATCCGGACGGTGTCTCGGAGCGCTTAATTCATTTTACATCAATTCACTTTACAGTAAACCCTGTGAAGGGTTTTTGAGATGGTCTCGAAGCCATGATAAGGCACTGGCTAAAGTTACATTTCAGATTTACAGGTGCTTCGAGAGATGCAGTGAACATAAACTCACCACGATTCACAGCAGTTTAATATCAAAACATACCTTTTCTGCTACAAACAGCCAGTGCTTATTTCTAGTTACTGACTCTGAGTGTTCGTACCTTGATTTCTTTGGCGGCAGCTGCAGCCTCGTTCGCTATTTGTTCATCTCCCGACACAAGTTCTTTCTTGGCATCGACTTCAACTGTTTCATCTTCAATTTTTACCATCATCCTGTCGGTCTCGGCAGACGTTTTAATGAGCTCTGGCTGCAAGTCCGTCAGCTCCTTCTGCATTACAGACACCTGTGGTGGATAGAAGACACGTAATTAGTAGTAATAATAAAAATAATATTAATACTTGCATTTGATATAGCGCCTTAGCACGTTGTTGAGACGTCTCAAAGAGCTTCACAGAATATATTGTAAAGTGGATTGACTGGGTATTTTGTGGGCAAAACCCGGCAGCCAATGCACACAGCAGTGTCCCACAAACAGCCGTGGATTGAGTGACCAATTTTTTTTTTGGGGTGGAAGAGGGATTATTAGCCCGAAAAGCAATCCGCCAATCAACTAACAACCGGATTTTCAGGAATTTTAATACTTCCTAATAGTATCAGAAATCACCTAAAAGGACTGATATATCCAAATTTAGGTTGGTGCTGTGGTGCGAAATAACAATACGAGATTAAAAAAAGTTTTACTTTTTGTTTGTAAAAGGCATGAAGTCTTGTGATTCTCAAGGGTTTCTCTAAATGAAAGGACATCTGAAAAGTTGCCATCATGATTCTATTGCGTCTACAGGGTTTAAACATCTCAGAGTAACATCTTATTAGCTGTAAGTTTTAAACTCTTCCTTTGATACAATCTCCTGTGAATGATCTCCCACAAAATACAGTCCAACCACTTTACAATATATTTTGTAAAGCACTTTGCGACATATCCATGACGTCATAAGTCGCTATATCAAATGAAAGGATTATTATTATTATCTTCTCCTACATATAGTTTTCAACAGTAATAAATTTGTGCAGAAAACACACCTGTGAAGATGCGAACTGCAGCTTTTCAAGACCCACAAGGTACCGGTTTTTCATCAGTTCAACTTCATGTCTCTTCACGGTAATCAGATGTTTGAAAGTCATAATTAACTCCAGATAGGAGGTCGGTGTCACATAGTTAGGTCTCCGCAAAGTAGAAAAATACTTTTCTGAAAGCTTCCTTGCACTCATTTGAAAATACTTGCACAATGAAACAACTCTGCACAGACAAAACAACAGTTGACAGGGACATCCTTAAAATTCTTGATTATACTGTTATTTCCTACTTGTTTCACATGACCTGCCTGACACCCAGATCAGGTTGGACATTAAAAATCCCATGGCAATACAATACAGAATTACATTCGTATAGTGCCTTTCACATCGGGAGGACTCTTTGAAAACAGAAGGGAATTTTGTCCGGTATCCCGACCAACAATTCCCCCAGATAAATTTGGTCATTAACTTCATAGCTGTTTGTGGGACAGTGCTGTGCGTAAATTGACTGCCGCGATCACCTACAAATACGCAGTCACTACACTTTACAGTAAATCCTGTGAAGCACTTTGAGATGTTTCAATGATGTGATAAGACGCCAAATCATACAAAAGCTTTTTTTTGTACATTTAAACAAAAAATACACAGCAATCAAAAACATGTGAAGGGCACTGTATAAATTGCAAGCTGTTGTTGTTGTAAAGTAGGTCAGATTTGATCCAGTTTATAGGTTGAACAAATTAATGATTTTGTACAGAAGAAAGATACACTGTAAAAGGGATACAAACAGCAGATCGAACAGGATCTATGGCAATGAAGCTTTGAAACTTTGGGGGAGAAAACTTACTCTTTCCTGACATCGTACTCCAAGTCTACATCTTCCAAAAATTTATATGCCACCATTTCTAAAGCATCTCTTGGCCAGTCTTGGAACCAGTCAATGGTGCAGCAATTTATAAGCGACGGAAACATTCGTAAACGATTCCGAAAGGCATCTCCGATTGGACTCATGGCTGCAAAATAAGGTACCGGGAAAGGTTAGGACTTTGGTGCAACAGAAGCACAACCGAAACAATTGGTTTTGGAAACCAAATCCATATTATCTAAATATGGGCAATCCATCTGCATTGCTACCTGTTCCCCCATCTGCATCCCCACCTTCCCGGCTGTGAGGACAAAAGAGATTGCATTTAATCTCAACAGTCCAGCATGTATAATAGCCCTTTCCCACCCATTAATCTCGAATTAATCTCCACTAATGTGGACGCTGATTTTTTTTCTTTTGCAGCAGCAATGATTGGATTCCATGGCACTGTTTGCCCAGTTTTCTTCGTACAGATTGGAGTAAGGTGCCCTGCCACCTTAAGACCTGACTCCCTTTGTGGCTAGTTGTGGGCCGTTACTGTCCACAAATTGGCTGCCACGTTCAGCTACAAAATACCCTGTGATGACACACCACAGTAAATCTTGTAAAACACTTTGAAACATTTCAATGACGTGATAAGGTACTATTTCAATTGCAAACGTTATTTTAGGTTGTTTATTCAGCAGCCTAAATTGTTTATTTATTTGGGTTATTTATGTAATGTTATATTGTGTGGTCATGAAGCAAGTCACGTTAGCGTTGGACGCTTACTGGAATAGCCAGGCATAAATCTTAATGAGTCGTCACCAAGTTACCTGCGGACGTGGATTAATTCTATGATTTGAGACTAGAGGTATAAGGTTTAGCAAGAGTTTTTTTTGGCAAGATTAGCAGTAAGCCTTACCTAACACAATGTGCAGATTAGTTCGTACTTTTTCAATGAAGAAATTATACAGTGCAAGTGGACTGGCTTCAATTCTCTTCCCTTCTGCTCTGGCCACGCCTTGCATCTTTTCGAGAATCTCTGCCTTCTCGTCGGCTGGGAAGATGTTTGGGATGTCTCCTGTGTTCAGCAGCATGTTGATGTCTTCCACGTAGGATTCATCTTTGATCTGACTGTCGCTGAACAGAAAGACGGTGGGTTTGGACTCCACGCCGGTCTTTATCATGATGCGTTTGAGATCGTCGCGCCATTCGTTCTTGCCGTAGCTCTTCGTGATCTCAATCTGGAAGAGGTTGAAGTCGTTCATGAAGGTGGCCAGTTTCGAAGCGCTCTGCCTGCCCGTGCCACCGATGCCAACCAGAAGCAGGTGACCATTGTCCTGCTTAAGCACTCGGCATATTCGGGAGACGTGTTCGATGGCAAACTTAAACATGACCAAGGACATTGGAGTTCTGCTAACATTGTTGAACTCGGACAGGTAGAATTCCATGATCGATGTAAGTTGCTTTAGGTCCATAATCTCGTCGTAGGCCTTCACGTTAGCATCTGGGTTCAGGTAATCTCCGAAGAACAGGCTGCGAATATTTTCATCGGTCACTTTCCCTGATGGAGTCAAATGGCTTAAAACCTACAGCATAATAGGATATAAACAGATTATATAAGGAGTTTGTTGGTTGACTTTCCCCTGTCCTTCAAAAAAAACTAACTAAAATGTTTCTCCTGTGAGTAACTGCATTACATGATCTGCTGTGGAATTACACCCATTAGAATAGTTTAATCTTAGTGGGATGGTATTGGGAGTTTATCACAACTATCCTTAACATGTCCAGGAGAAGAAAATAATTCAGTCTCTCCTGATTGTTATTCAGCGATCCCCTGCTGTAAGTGCACACGTATGGAAAGATAAGTGAAGGCAAGTTCTGGCCTGATTGCAATGGTTAAATAAGAAGAGTGAGCTTTGAGCAACAATGAGATACTCAAAGATCTTCAGCACTGAAAACGAAACATACATTTCAGAGACATTTCAAAGGAGACATTATAGAGGTATTTAGGATGATAAATGGGATTGAGAAAATAAACCCAAAATAATATTTTAAGATGTGCCTTAGACAAGAATAAGAGGGTACAGCTTCAGCTAGTAAAGGGGAGTATCAGGACAGACACCAGGAAGTATTTCTTTACACAGATAGTAGTTAATGACTAGAACGGATTACCGGAAATATAAATCTGGCTTCAAATCACTGGAATTGAACACGCATCATTGGCTGACTGATACATGGGCTGGAGTAAAAACTGCCTTTCTGATTTACCTTTTACAAAAAAAAACAACTTTTCATTGAGTGAGGAATAAAACGTACCTTGTCCACAGATTGTTTGAAGCAACTCGATGTGGTTTCTTTAATTATTTGGAAGAAGACTTCTCGGTCCTGCTCCTCAATCAACCGGTCATAAAAGACTCTGTAAACTTCATGAATCCAGAGACGGATTAGTTTCTCTCCCTCCTAGCAAAGGAAAATATTCATAGCGTGTAACTCTGGCAGTTTGCAAATGTAATGCTGTGCGTAGAGATGCTGTCCTGGTCAATATCACTCCTTCATCCACGTTCAAAAAGTAAGAGCCCCTGAAGCCTTGGGTAGTGGGTTAAGCAGAAGAGAATGTCCCACAAACAGCTATGAAGTGAATGACCAAGTTTATCTGAGGGATTGTTAGTTAGAATCCTGGGAGAAACTTCCTTCTCATTTCAAACAGTGCCATAAGATCTTTAACGTCCACCTGAACAGGCAGATATCCTGCGAACATTTTATGTCTTATCCAAAGGATGGAACCTTAAACAAATCTTGCCAGTTAATTTATTATCGGCGTTTTCTTTCTCGCCCTGCCCCCCCACTCCCTGCCCGGCCACCCCCCCAACCACACACACACACACACACACACACACTTTTCCAAAGATGCAAACTTTTTTTTATACAATAGCTCAAGGCTACTTCAAATAGAACACACAATGTGTTTGACATTCAAAATGCTCTCAGAGATCTCCATCACCCACCTGAAGATGGGTTCCCGGACAGAGCAGCACCCCTCTGATGACTCGAGAGAAATCTCGCAGATTGAACACATAATGGGATTTGGAAGGAGTTGGGAGGAAATTGTCCATAGCAGCCTTGTAAACCGACATGGTAGCTTGCACCAGTATCTTACCCAATCTAAGACACAGAACAATTTAGAACAGCTACATGAAACCAGCATTTCATCCACAAAATATACAGTCAATTCACTTTGAGGTATATTCTGTGAAGCGCTTTGGGACGTCTCAACGATGTGATAAGTCCTGGAGTGGAGTCCTGTAGCTCAGTAGTTAGAGCACTCGCTTTGCAAGTGAGAGACCTGAGTTCAATTCCAGGCAGAGGGCGAAACCTTGGGCAAGTTTCCTTACTCCACACAGAGCCTAATAATAATCCCTCCAAAACAAAAAATAATAAATTGGTCATTTTCAATCTACGACTGTTTGTGGGACACTGCTGTGCGCAATTGGCTGCCGCGTTCGCCCACAAATATACAGTCAACTCACTTTACAGTATGTTCTATGAAGCGCTTTGGGACGTCCTCCCGACGTGAAAAGCGCTATATCAAATGCAAGGATTATTATTATAAGGGCCCGACATCAAATGCAAGAATTATTATTATTTTTGTTATCTAATTGGTGATGACCCCAAAACAAGGTATTAGCTCCCCAGAAGAATGTCATTTTGATTCGCTTTGACTAGAAGGTGTAGAACTTACCGGATAAAGGTGGCATCAAACCCTTGGTTAAAGTGCCAGTCTGTGATGGAAGTAAAGATCTTTACCATCGTATCATCGTCAAATGAATCGATGGAGATTATGTTCAGATGGCGAGTGAAGCGGCCTGTCAATCAAAACAGAAGAGACACTGGCAGAACTTTGAGATGAATCGAGAAACAGCAATTTGCGTCTGATATCACTGAGGGGTTTACCTGTGTCCATACAGATGACAGTGTGGTAATTTACGCAGTGTTGGACATAGAAATATGTACTTAAATCCATTATTAAATAAGAACAGGTTCAACAACATCTCACGTCGTTGAGATGTCCCAAAGCGCTTCGCAGAATATATTCACGCGACATCGTAGAGGTGGGGAATGAGAAGGGCATTTAAATGTAAGAGGACCTTAAGCTACAAGAGTGAAGTTAATTGATTGGGTCTGACTTGCAAATAAAATGCCTACAATGTTTGTTTGTTTTTTTTCTTAAAAGCAGAACCCTCCCGCTGCTACGACCTACAATAACTCTTCACTATCATTATCTCACCGATTTCCGAATCGAAAGGGTTTGCAATCCGACTTACCAGTTATGTCATTCCTGCCACCACCAGGCGGCCCCATTGCTGACAGGAACAACACATCCACAATGTGAAGCTTTGATGTGTCTTTCCTATCGTACCAGTGGCCCTGGTCCAGCCACTGTCGAAGGAGCTCGATCGGTGGCTGCGCTCCATAGATCTCTTTTGCAGGCATGTTCAGATCGTCTAGAAAGAACACACATCGAAACACTTCAGCAGAAGTTTCACTTTTTGCACAATATAAAATGGCGCTCCGGGACGCTACCCCTGGGGTGAAGGGCGCTATATAAATGCAAGTTGTCGTTGCTGTTGAAATTATAAAGATTGCTTTGCAATTTAAAAGCCGCCAACAAACACAAACTGCTAAAATCTATTGTTCTCGGATGGCACGTTAGGCTAACAAAAATTAGATGTCTTTTATTCTCTGCCAGTGACATTTAAGTCTTTTTGGTTTTACAGATTCTGCTCCATTGTTTTTTTTAAAAAAAGTTTAGTTCAGTGAGCACAAAACACGGGAGCGCGGAGGCAAGTGAACCGCAGTTTTAAATGCATTATTAGATAACAACAAGTTCACAGACGTAGGTTTTTTTTTTAAACAGCTTCACCAAAACTGTTTGTTGGAAGAAAAGTTCTAAATCGATAAATCAATAATAAAAATATATTTTGCCCACAAAATTCACTTTACAGTCAATTCGCTCTACAGTGTATTCTGTGAAGCACTTTGCGATGTCTCAGCGACATGATCAAATGGCACCATATGAAATGTAAGGTTAATTATCTTACTATTAAATCTCCTACCTACAAACACAATGGATTCCTTTCCCAAAGGTGGGCCATAGATTCCCTTCCTTCTCCTGTCCAGCTTGGACATGATAATGTCCTGGGTTTGATTTGCGGACGTTCTGGCAGAGAGATTGATACAGTTGGGAATATACTTCTCTTTGGGCAGGAGCATGAGGAATTTGTTCGTCATGGCAGATTTTCCTGTGCCAGTGGGGCCCACAAACAGCATAGATATTTTGTGTTTTACGTAGGTGTTTAAGAAGAAACTCTGCCTAGCTGTTTCCATGGTCGGGATAATGAGATCTGAAACCTGTCAATTCAAAAGGGACAAAAATCAAGATTCTTGCAAGCAATATATTGTAAAATTGTAATACATTATTTAAAAAAAATTAAAACCAAAGCACCTGGCTTGCCTGTGTTGTTTTATTCCTTTATAATTGAATTCTATAATTCATATGCTACACATTCATTCTGTGTAATAATTGGAGAAGTCACCAGTATTAGAAGGAACACGAATTAACACCAATAAATACGCCATTGTTAACTCAGCCCAAAGGATGAAGCTTTTTCGCTGAGGTCTCAGGTTTGACAGGAAAGTATTATGTTGTGGAAGCCCTTTTGATTTTTAAAAGTGTATGTTAAGACTTGCTCTTCAGTGTCTAGTTATTAAAGGAATTTATAGCGAGCTCTCGCCTTCATTAAAGTTGTCGGACGAGACAAAGAAAGTCGGTCAGGCACAGAGGCAAGCTGCTAGCAGCAATCGAGTGAATGCTCCTAGAAATAATCAGCTGCAGGTAACTCCATCCAAGGAGAAAGGCTGCTGGACTGGACAGGCTCAAGAGACCCACTGTCTGAACAGATATTGTCCAAGCAGAGATTGGGAGTAATGAATTGATTGTTATTGATTGTCTTTGAACAGATTGACTTGAACGTGATAGTGGATTATTGGAAAAGTGGCAAACAAACCAAACATAAAGCGTTTAGTGGACGTGCAGAAAGTCAAAATACTAGTCGACTTGAAGGTCAAAAATCCTAAATACAATCAGCTGCACGTTTGGATCCATGATGTGCATTGACTGCAATCTTCATTACAAATTGCTAAAGATTCTTGCAGCAATATTTTGTTGTGGCAACCTCAGGGAAATCAGCCTCCGGCAAAAACAAAAGCTCCTAGACTCGAAAGACGGTCTATTATTCCATGACAGTTTCCTTCACCTTTGCATTGGTGGGGATGGCCTCCGATTCCTTGCTGATGTAATCAGTCCACGTGTTCCACTGCCCGCTGGCTTGCTTGTGGAAATAATAGTCGTAGACACTCCCTGTTTAAAGGCCACGAGAAACAGAAACAATGGCTGTAAAAACAATGCAACCCACAACTGGATTGGGTGAGAAATGCAGTAACAGTGCATCGTTTAGCACTGCTTCTAACCCGACCTTCCCAAACCCGGTGTGTTGAGGAATTTCGCAAGCGTTTAATTGACAGTGAAGATGTTCTTCAATTCAACAAGCAACTAGAAGACACAATGAATGCTGCGGCTTAAAAAAAAATTGAATTGTTCATTGATTTTAAACCAAGGCGATCTGTGTTATTTCCCATTTAACTTCAGCTGCGTAGTACCGCCTACACAATATACAGTCACTACATGCTTAGAGTAAATCCTGTGAAGTGCTTTGAGACGTCCTTCCGACGTGAAAGGCGCTGTGTCACACCCGGTGATTGTTAGCGCTGGTATTTCATTTCAATCTGACCTCTTTCGGGAAAGATGTTGTTCTTGGTAAGTTTCACGCTCTTTGGCCGGGGATTATTGTCGTCCATCCCCAAAATCAGGTTACGGTAGAAAACGTCAAATTTCTTGCGACTGTCCCCGGTGATTGTTGAGGCCACAGCCCACACCATAACAAAGAGGAACAGACCCTGCAGCCACAGGGTAATCTGCTGGCTCGACATGCTCTCCTTCTCCTCCTTTCCCGATTCAGCGATTTCATCTGTGGAGGAGCAGCAAAAACCGCACAGCGAGGCATTTTGGTCAACAACTCGGTTACCGGGAAACGACACGAACAAGTCAACGACCCGGACTGAGAGCATTTTTAAACAGTGTAAGCTTGAACTTGGAGTCTGATCTCCAATCAGGCTCTGGAGAGAGGAGCCAGCCCACCTTACCCATTAAGCTGGTGTAAAGACGCATCATCGTGTAGGCGAGGTGGATGGGAGATGTCTTCACAAAGAACTTGCAATTTAGTCGGATGAATTCCAAGCAAGGTGCCATCAGCCAGTGGAACATGTCGTTGATCTAAAAACAGAGAAGCCAAACAGCCATTTGCACCCGGTGGAATTGTTAAATGCAACACATTCCATGCTGAGCTTCTTGGAAATTTTCAGCCATCTTCATTCTTTTGAAGATTCTTAAATAATAATCCTCCCATTCGATACGGCGCCTTATCCCGTCGTCGAGACGTCTCAAAGCACTTCACAAAATAAACTGAGAAGTGATCTGACTGTATATTTTGTGGGCGAAACGTGGCATGCCACAAACAGTTGTGGATTGAGTGACCAAATTATTTGAAGGGAATAATACCCCCGGAAACAGGTGTGGGCTCCCAGGCAGCTGCGTGAAGTTCTTTGAGACGTCATCCCGATTTGAAAGGCGTGATGTAAATGTAAATTGTTGTTCCCTCCCGGGCTATTTTAAACAATTAGTGAGGATTTTGCAGATTTTCAACATTTAGGTCTGCTTTAAGCACATTGCATATTTCCAGTAACTTTTTAAAAAATCCACACGCACACATTCACACAAACACACACACACACTGACACTCGGTTCACTGGTCTAAATGGTAACTATTTTTACACTGTACAGATTTACCAGTTCTTTGTGTTCAGGGGTGAGAGACTGTGGTAAAGTGTCCATGTACGAATTCTTCAGAGGTAACCAACCCAACTGGTGGGGCTCCATGTAAATCATGCCACATCTGTTTGCATAAAGAGAAAAGTCAAACACTTGACCAAGAATGGCTGCAAAAAAAAAAAAAGCTGTGCTGAAACATTCAACAGTCGTGAACCCCATTACCTGCTGACAGTGGCGGGAGAGGCCTGCTCCAGGTCAGCCGGCTCAAAGATTAAACTCATTTTGGAACTCATCTGGATAATCTCACCGCTCATCAGGCATAACTGGAAGAGGAAGAAGGAAAACAGCACAAAACCACTGGCAAAAAGTATAGCGAGGCAAATGTCTTGTCCTGCAATTTAACGCATAAAATGTGATTATAAAATAACTCTTGCCCTTATTTTTTATGACTGGTGGAAAGTGAAGAGAGTCAGATGTAATGGAATTGTCTTTATCTGTTCAAATTGGCAAATAATTATTTTAGGTCAGTCATTAAGGCAAAATAAGTAGGAAAAGCTATTGCACGTACTTTCTTGTTATCGTCCAGCACGGTGTTCATATTTTCGATCCAGACAGCGTCGACGGGTCCGTCAAATATAATCCACTTGCGCTTCTCAGAGACAGACACCGCCTGTTCACGGAAGGTGGTGGCGAGGACTCCGTCTGTCCACTCGTGGCTTACAGGGTCAAAGAAGCCGTACAGCTGCCCCATGGTGATAGACTTGGGATTTATTACCCGATATTGAACCGCAAACTCCTCCATTAGCCCACCTAAAAGATAAACACAGGAAGAGCTGAGCTATGCCTAAATGTATCTTCATAATAAAATAATAATAATCCTTGTGTTTGGTATAGAGTCGGTAAGATGTCTCAAAGTGCTTCACAGGATTCGGTGTGAAATGGAGTGACTGTGCAGCTGAGGGCAAACGTGGCAGCACAATTGCGCACAGCAATTTCCCACAAACGGCCATGAAACAAATTACCTTTTTTTTTATTTGTGGGGGGATTGTTTGTCAGGTCACCAGGAGAGAGAAACTCCCCTCTCTTTTTTTAATAGTACCGTGGGATCTTTAACATCCTCCTGAACAGGCGAGGCCTCGGTTTAACGTCTCATCCGAAGGATGGCACCTCCGACAATGCAAACCACCCCCCCCCACCCCCTCACTGCTTTGGAGCATAAGTTAAGACTGTGTGAGTTCAAGTCCCGACGTGGGATTTGAACCCACAACCTTCTGACTCAGGGGTTGCAAGGATGGAAGAGGTTGCAGAAAGTCGGAAAATCACTTTCACACACCTCCCAGAACCTGGTGGGGCCAACACAGTTGGTCACACCACAGCTAGGAAGCTATCACACTGTTTATATAGCTAGACTGGTTAGGTCGCAGTGATGAGCAATTACCTGCAAACAGATCACCGAGGGCTCCAGCCAAAACTTTGTAGGCAGAGGATTTACCACTCAATGGATCCCCGACGATCATAAATCCATGACGCACCATCATCATCTCATAAATCTGAGGAAGCAAAACCAAACAGAGCCTTCAATTAACCTGAACAGGAGCCTTCCAATCAAACAACCGAAGACCAAACATGAGATCGCTGGTGTAACTAACAACAAGAGAGTTTTAGATCCATCTATAGTCAGACAAGCCATGATGGACAAGCTGAGGGATGAGTGTTGAAGAATTAGAAGNTTTTTTTAATATAAGAAACCAAACTCCGACCTGGTTATTTTTACCGTGTCACGAGATGCCACTCGCTTCCCAGTGTTTCAACCACGATTAGACGTATCATTAGCAAACCCTCGCTGGAATGTCACGCAGGGGGTTTGTTCAGGGTCCTGCTCGGTGTTGGACCCTCTGACTGCACTGCCATTGTTCGGGGACCAGCAAAGTCAGAAAGAATAGACATCTGCCTGGTGTGTGCCTTTATTAACAGAAGCACAACAGTAAACACTGCTGTACAACACTCTGGGACATGAGGTCAGGTGAATCTACCCCTCGGGCTACAAGACCCTAATCCATGTATTTATGACTTTCGGGCTTGACTCCACCAACACTCTGCTCGTTGGACTATCCAATCCTTCCCTATAGAGCTGCAGACTACACAGAACACTGTAGCCGTGTCCTCGTGTCCTCTCCCACATTAGGTTCAGTGAGTATCTATCACCCCATTCTCTCCCCACCTCCTTGCCCGGCTCCACTGACTCCCCTTTCCCCAGTAGCTCGAGTTCAAGATCCTCATCCTCACCTTCAATTCCCTCTCCATAGTCTAGAATCTAATAACCTAACACAGCTGGGAAGAAAGATCAGTACTCGTTAAAACATCAACTAGTGCTCCAGAGTTTTGCTTATTGTAAATTACAAGCAAATAGACCGGTGCTCAATGTGGAATAGACAGTGTGGAGCAACTGCACAGTGACCTGAATGATCTTCCCGATAAACCACGGAACAGGTTGAAGCTTCAACTTCTTGATATTTGCATTCAGAGCCTCGAGGAAGACCTCATAATCTGGTTCGGGCAGCACCACACCAGGGAACAGGTCAGATATGATGCCCTAAAACCAAAGGGATAAAAGAGGGGAGGTGAGAAGAAATTTTTTCACGCAGCGAGTGAAAAATCTGGAACGCATTGCCTGAAAGGACGGTCGAGGCCGATTCAATAACAACTTTTAAAAATGCGGTGGACGGGTATTTGAGGAGGGGGGGTTTGCGGGGTGATGGGGAAAGGGCTGGGGAGTGGGATTGACGTTACATTGCTCTTTTCAAAGAGCCGGCACAGACTCGATGGGCCGAATGGCCTCTTTTTGTGCTGTACGATTCTATGATTCTATTCTATGATAACGTTCGCGGCTCCAACTAGAAAGGTGTTCCGTCTTGCGTTGGATAATTCATTTGAATCGTCCGTAAGGTAACATCCGTCGCACATTATGCTCAGCGGCCTCTCAGCTGACGTGGTTTTCCTCTATAAACAGACTTGCAATTTATGCAGCGTCCTTCACACCGCCCAGGGTCGCGGAGCACTGACCCACACTGTACCTGAAACAGAGGCACATCCTGGGCCAAAAACTTGGCCAAGTTGACGTCCAACAGGGCTCGCAGCAACAAGACGCTCTCGTTCTCTTGCTGGTACTTCAGCTTCAGGTTGCCGGCTGCAGTCAGGACGGATTTGACCGCTCGCATTCCATAGTCGTAGTGATGCTGCGATGAGAGCTGCTCCGAGCACAGCCGGTAGGTAGCTACAATCTTCTGGGCAAGGCTGGGCCGAGGAGGAAAGAAGTAGCGGGGGAGGAGGTTGGGGGTGGGGGGGGGGGAGGAAAGAGAGAGAAATAGTTTGCTTCAGAACTTTTGTTTTACCTTGCACAAAAATAATGATTTTTAATGTTTACTTCAAGCTCGGATTGTGTACAAAACTACCAGAGGTTAATACTAATAATATAATAATAATCCTTGCATTTGATATAGCGCTTTTCACGTCTTCTCGACGTCTCAAAGCGCTTCACAGAATAGACTGTAAAGTGAATTGACTGTATATTCGTGGGTGAAACGCGGCAGCCAATTGCGCACAGCAATGTCCCACAAACAGTCGTGGATTGAAAATGACCAATTTATTATTGTTTTGGAGGGATTATTATTGGGTGTGTGGAGTAAGGAAACTTGCTCAAGGTTTCGCCCTGTGCCTGGAATTGAACCCAGGTGTCTCGCTTGCAAGGCGAGTGCTCTAACCACTGAGCTACAGGACTCCACAGCGGTTTTATTTAAACCTCCACATGTTTAAATAAAAGAAGCCGATTCAGTTGGTAATAATAATAATCATTATAATAATAACCTTGCATTTGATATATCACCTTATCATATCATTGAGATGTCTCAAAGCACTCACCAGAATATATTATTTATTGGGGTCAGAGTGTTACTTCAAATGAATGTTCCAGGATCTTACCCACTCTCCAGCCATTAACCTTCAAGTGTAGGTCAGGACTGTGCTATATAACTTGTTAGCTACAGAGTTCTGGATGATCTGCAGCTTGTGAAGGGAAGAGTTGGGAGGCCGACAAGGAGGGAGTTTCCGTAGTCGAGCCTTGAGGTGACGAATATGAGGGTTTTGGCGGCCAGAGGGGTGAGGCAGTGGCGGAGTCGGGTAATGTTGCGGAGGTGAGGGAAGGCAGAACAGCTCAGGGCACGGATATGGGGGGGTGGAGAAAGGACAGTTGAGGGTCGAACAAGACCCTCAGGCGAGGAAATGCGGACGTAATCGTTTTGGTGCTGTGCCTGGGGTGCGGAGGGAAGAAGACCAGATATTAAGAGTGGAGATGTGAGGATGGATGTTTTGCTTTAAGGTTTCCTCAGTTGTTTACTACCAACAGTTGTTTACTTACAACATCAGTGATGCGCTGAGAAGATGACAGATCACTCTTGAACATTTCATTCCTAGTTACTACACTTTACAGTATATTGCGTGAAGTGCTTGAGACATTCTCCGTAATCAAAGGAACTGTATCAAATGTAAGGATTATTATGGCGATATTTCATTTCATTTGTGCAAATTTCAGGCACAATGGCAGTGGTCCTCCAGTTAAAGGTTTTATAAATACATATAAATATCTTAATTCTATTAAAAAACATATCTTGCAGATAAATAAAGTATCACATTTTATAGATAAAGAATTGAATTTTTTTTAAAAAAAGATAGAAACAGCAGAACATTCTTAAGTAACAATTCTTAATAGGTTGTCCTTTACCTTCGGGAGTCTATAAATCCCATTGAGTAAAGAGAAATTTCACCGATCAGAGCGTAGTCTGGCACCATCATAGCGACTGTCCGGAACAGAGCCTTTGGAAAACATAGGCAAAGGCACGTGAGACAAGAAAGACCTCAGCCCTCAAAGACGGTACTGAACTCAATAGATAGAATAGGACATTGGCATTCACCATGACTCCAATGGAGTAAGAATAGTCTTTTGACCCTTTGAGGTTCTGTCCTATTACTGTTTCCCAAAAGCTGCTTTAATGTAGATGATATTAAGGCAGGTACAGCAATCCTCGTGTGTGGGGTTGAAGGGAATCATTTGGACATACAGGGCTTTAAAACAGAAGGTCTGAACCCTCAGATGATCACCAGCCTGCTATCCAAACATTTTTTTGTGATTAACACGGTCAAACTATCATCGGGTTAATCTGAAAACGCATGATCCAAATGGGGCATTTGTCAAGCACGAGCATGTTTAACAAGATTTATCATAAGTCACATTTAATATTTTATACTGAAGTTCCCAAACTTAATTTAACTATCATTTTCTTCAACCTACTGCAGCTGTTATACCAATACACATGGGACGAAAGATTTAAGTCTTTACCTTCAAATTGTCGGGGAGTTCAGCTCTGCCAGCATAGCCGGGATTCATGGTAATAAAGACTGAACATGTGGGGTTTAAAGCAAGCTCCGTGCCCTCAAAATTGAATCTCTTGAGTTTGCGAAGAATAGCTTGTTGAATGCTGAGAATCTGTTGTGCAACTACAGACAGCACCTCAACCTGTGGAGATAATTCACCCTCAGCCAAAAGTCAACAGAGCTAACACTGGCAGTCAGAAACTGCGAGAATAATAAATGACTGCAACTAAATGACAGGCGTGGAGCTTGGTTTGGGCGGGCAGCTATAATAATTATTAATATAAACAATTCTTGCATTTGATGAAGCGCCTTATCGCACGGAAACACCTCAAGGAGTATCCGGGATGTGGGTCTGTACTGGCCACCAGTTGTCCAGAAAACCACCAACAATAACTGTCTGGACTCACGTTATATTGGTCCATGGCTATAACATTAGCGAGATAGCAAAGCACCGAAGAGTTTGGAGCTTTTCAATATTCAATGAAACTTTGAGGAGTTTGTACAGTTCGGGCCTCGGCATCCACTGTTTTATTACCTCGATTCTGTTGAACTCGTCAAAGCAAGCCCAAGCTCCCGCTTGTGCCAGGCCTTTGAAAAATTTCCCCATGGCTTTATAATCGAGCCCATCTGAGCAGTTGAAAACGACGCACTGTGAAGAGAGAGAGAGAGGAGAGAGAGAGAGAGAGCGAGAGGGAAAACATAAACGTTTTAAAAAAAAGTTCACAACTCAACACTCTCTCACTGCAGACGGCGCCCGCCCTTTGGAACTCCAGCGCCCATAGTTCCTTCGCCTTGCCCCCTCCCTTACCTCCTTCAAGGCCTGACTCAAGACCTTCCTCTTCAACCGTGCCTTCGGTCACCCTCCTATCCCTATCCGCTCTGCCCTCCACCCCTCCCGATCCCAACCCCAAGCTCGGGAGCACATCCTTGACTGTCCAGCGAAAGATTTCAAGTGAGTAATTACCTGCTTGGCTACAGCTTTTGCCAAATCTTTTGTTGTTTCTGTTTTGCCAGTTCCTGCGGGACCCTCTGGGGCACCCCCGAGACTTAACTTTAAGGCCCCCATCAAGGTCCTAGATACAGTACAGAAAATAATTAAGCAAACCAGCCGACTCAGGCTAAAGGTCCTTTCGTACCGAAATGTCAGCGATTCTTTAAAATTACCCAGTGAAATTGTAAAATTACACCAGCAATCTGCAGAGTGGTGGAAAGTACTGGCTAACACTCCCCCATGTGAAATTGGTCATTCACTTCACGGCTGTTTGTAGGGCATTGGCTGTGCGCAAATCAACTGCCGTGTATGTCTAAGAATGCACCGTCTCTTCACTTTCTAGTCTATCCCGTGAAGGGCTAGGAGGCATCCGCGCAATGTGAAAGGTGCTGTACCAAATGCAAGGATTATTATTGGTATTAATTCTCATTCCCAGCTGAGCCTCAGAGGAGCCTTGAAGGACAGCTGTGTCAAAATCCTTCCAACATCTCTATAGCAGTTGCCATATGGTCAGCTATGCAATTGTATTATTGCTACTGGTAAAACACTGGCTTTAGTTTCAATCAGAAGAAGACTTGCACCTCGGCTTAGCCTGTAAGACCACCTATCATACCTGTAGCATCTATCAGTGAGAGGCGTAATGACAAGCCGTGCAGAATTGCCCAAATACTCATAGCCATATTTCAGCTCTGTTGTGATCATGCGCACAGACACATCGTTCTCCTCCCAGTAATATCTCAGCTGGGAAATCCACTGGAAATCGTTCAGGTTTGAGATGTGTTCCTCTTTGAGGAGAGCCACCACGTCACGAGCTGCAGGGATAGAACACATGAGGGACTAGTTTGGCTGAATGGGTGATTTCCGTGCCTTATCGCTCTATGGATCGCTCTATGTTAGAGGAGCCCTTCAAAACAGATCAGATCCCAAGATTGGTTTGGATGAAGAAGACTCTTCGACCTGTTTGATCTTGACACATTTGTACGCATTCGCCTCAATTACCCGCTGGGTAAAGGAACATTTCACTGTGTCAGTCCTGCAACTCTAAATTAATGTCCTTTTGTTCTACTGTGTCGGTGCATTGTAAAATGTGGCTCAGGTTTACTTTCTCAATCCCATTTAAAATGTTCTACACATCTACAAGGTCCGCTAGACTGAAGAGCCCTAGTTTATTCAACTGTTGCTCATGGCTTGTTCCTCTAACACTGGGGTTCATCCTTGCTGCTCTCCTCTGCTCTGCCTTTAGCAGCCAGTAGAACACTGTAAATTTCTTTGTTAACCTTGAGAGGACACAGACTATTAGTTACCGTGTACGTCAATAACAGTAAGTGCTCCGAGAGTCAGCCGTGCTCCACCGGACAGCTTCCCTCGCACCAGCTCCACGATGTCACTGATCTGTTCGTTGCTTTTCTTCAGATAGTCCTTCAAAAATGGCCATCAGAGGGTTAATTAACGGCGCTGCAAATCGATCAATGACTTTTTTCCCACCCAAAAATCCCCCCCCCACCTTTCCCTTTATATATAAAAAAAATTCCAATCACGGAGGTTGGATTGCTGCTCACAGGAGAGAGAAAGAGAGATGTCTGTGTAGTCCAGCAGCAATGTTAAATGGGTAATAATGGGAACCTATTGCTATGACAATACTGTAAAAATAATACACCCACTACACTTTACATTTAATCCTATGAAGCGCTTTGAGACATCTTCCTGCTGTGAAAGGCGCTATATCTCAAACGCAAGGACTATTATTATTATTAAAGCGATCGATTTTGCTTTTACACTTCAGAACGATGCTGAGCACCAGGTGCGAGGATGCTCTGGGATGTCGGAGCTTACTGTTAGCTTCCCGTCCCTGATCGCTTCGGAGACCTCACTGGTCCAGTAGATTGTAGACACACAGATCACCACCTGTCCAGGCCAATGGAGAACCCATTTCTTACGATGAACCTGTCAAATGCCAACAACGTCACACACATCGAACAAGTCATTCACAATCACCAACAGCAAAGCGTTTGGGGGCAGCAATCACTGAAGCTGCTCTCTACTAAGATTTTTTAGGCACCAGGAAAAAGAAAAAGAATAACCACAAGGGCATCAAGAAACTGGAGTTCTTTCAAGTTCTATGGAACCATTTAGCAGAAAAGATCTGATGGCACTATTGCTGGCCAACAATCCATCAAGTGGCCATTACTTCATTGCTGTTTGTGGGACATTGCTGTGCACAAATTGCCTGTCACATTCGCCCACAAAACACGCACAGTCACTTCACTTTAATGTGTTTTAGCTGGGTAGACTGCAGCAGTATGCTCTGGGCTCCCCAAGTCTTGGCCTTTGCCAACCTACCCCTAATAGTTTCCGGAATTAGGTAAGCAGGATGGGATGTGCCGTCCAAGGAGAGAGTGCGCATTGCTTTCCAATAAACATCTCTGGAATTTCCACGTGTAGATGGGATGCATGATACTCTCGGTTTGATTTAGATACTCTTAGGGATGCTCTTGGGTTTCTGCATGTATCGGACACCTGAGTTTAACCGAAGAAACAAAATAAAGGGATATGTTGTGAAGCGCTTTGGGATGTCTTCCCAACCTGGAAGGCGCTATATCAAATATAAGTATTATTAATATTCGCTATAATAAAGGAAAATCCAAGGTTCGAGCCAGGCTGCAAAAAGCAATATTGTTCGAGGAATTCACGTCAACTTTCTTCCCCTCACGTCCATAAGAGGAAACGTTATTTGCGAGCACGGATGCTTTGGTGTTGTGACAATGCACGGGCTGATAGGCTTAATGCTGAATTCCTGTTACCTGAACATAATTCCCCACACCTTGCTGAAGGACGTGCTTCACACTGTCAAGCATCATCCCCTCAACCTGCAGCAGCCATTTTTCCACCATCCCCTGCAAACAGAGAAACCACAAGTAACATTCCCTTAAAATGTTCTGACAGGATTTGAGGTATTGTTATGTTGGTTTGACAATGAACCAATTTCCCCCCCAACCCCCAACAACAGCAACAAATATAGCTCCCTTCATGCATCCCATCTACACGTAGGTACGGTCGCAAGGAAGGTCTTGTGATAGCTGTTTAGGTAAGACATCTTTGCGTACCTTTGCTCTTGCTGGAAAGATTTTCTTAACAAACGGTACAGTTTCCTTCTCGGAGCTGATCATGCCCGTTATCTCGAGCTGATCAGTGAACTCAAGCTTTGCTATTCCTTCAAAGCACTTTTTCAGATGGGGCTGAACTCGAAGCGGGTCCTTGGTTTCCGAGAGAATCTCCAACAGCTCATCGTTGGACAAGAAGAAGAACCTTTGGAGAGATGCGAGTTCGTGAGCATGAGCGAGCCAAGTGAAGGAGCGGCAAGCTATGGTGATTATTTATTCAGATCTCATTGAATTCATTGTAACTTTTCTCCCCTCAACTCAATTGCTCCTTTCATGCTCCACAACAACAACTTGCACTTATATAGCACTCTCCACTCAGGGTAGCTTCTCAGAGCGCTTAACAGTGGCGGAGCTTGACTCCGAGCCGGGTGGGGGAGATGTGGCTGTAAGCACAGTCGAAGAGGAAGGTTTTCAGGTGGGACTTGAAAAAGGGGAGGGAGGGGGCAAGGCGGAGGGATTGAGGGAGAGTGTTCCAGAGTTTTGGGACGTCATGGCGGAAGGCACGACCTCCGATGGTGGGGCGGAGGTTGCGAGGGACAAGCAGGAGGCCGGTGTCAGTCGAGCGGAGGTGCCGGGTGGTGGATTGGGAAGTGAGGAGGTTGAAGAGGTAGGGAGGGGCCAGAGAGTGAAGGGATTTGAACTTGAGTTCTCTAACCCCAAAGGTCAAAATGAAGCTCCTATAAAGGACTCCTGATATAATAATAATAATAACTTTTTTCAGATCATTTTTAAAACATTCTGACTCAAGATAGATGCCTGAAAGTACATTTAGCACATTCTAAAAAATGTCAGGCAACTGTTACCTTGGGAAATAAAGTCTTTTCTTCTCCAGGTATAAATTGAGTCCTTTCTGGATCTCGTCTAAAAGTACGTTCGACTCCTGAAGCCTTTCAAACATGTTTGGCTGATCTGTCGCTACCAAAACCCGTGTATCTTTCACCTTCGTCAAAATATACACAACGGTAAATGGTCACAAAGGTAGGGCACATCACTGAACAAATTGATTGAAAAATAAAACAACAGTACATAGTTGAATATACAGTTAATTAAGTCAATGAAGCCTCTCACTTACCGCTTCTGTCATGATATCTTTCCAGTACCTGTCCACAATGCCAAACTTCCGACCTTCGTCGGGCATCTGAGCGATGATGTCCTCAGAGCTGAAGATCGGCTCCAGGTACAGCCAGGTGGCCTGGCACTTTAACCAGGAATCTAAAATGTTCTGCATCATGGTGATTTTCACCTCCCATTGCTAGATTATACACAGCAGAAACAAATCAGAATATTGCTTTTGACTCTCGCTTTATGGAACGACTGGTTGAATGGGCTTCGATTTGGTACCTACATTTACTGGTGCATTTTGCCTCCATTCCCTGGAAAACCATTCCGAGTCCCTCCGACTGGTTCCCTCTCTCACCTTTCACAATCCATCTCAAGATCTTCCTCTTAACCGTGCCTTTGGTCATCGTTCCCCTTTGTATACCTCCTAACCCCCTGCCCATCCCCTCCCCCTGAGCCAGTTACCCATGTAAGACACTATAGTAATGTAAATTTGTCTGCGACCTCCTAACCCCCTACCAACCTATTCACTCCCTCCGCTCAGCGGGCTCCGGCCTGCTTCATGCCCCCACCTCGCCCGCCCTACAATTGGCAGGCGGGCTTTCTGCCACTCTGCCCCACCCTCTGGAACTCCATCCCGCAGTCCATCCACCTTGCCCCCTCCCTTGCCTCCTTCAAGACCCATCTCAAGACCCTCCTTTTCAATCGTGCCTTCGGTCACCCTCCCCGATCTCAACTGCCCAGCCCGAAACACTGATTGTCCAGCGCCTTGGAACATCTCAACGACGTGATAAGGTGCTATATCAAATGCAAGATTATTATTATTATAATTATTATTATCCTCCCAACGTGAAAGGCTCTATACAAATGTAATTTTGTTGTTCTTGTATTGTTAGGCCTGAGTGATTACGGTGATGGCTTTGTTCATGTGGTTTGCTCTTACCTTACACTCTACTTCAATTGCTTTGATGAACGGGGATCCACACATAGTCTGTGTTTTGATGATATGATCATCCAGTAGCATTTGGATATCATCTACCGCAGACAGAATGCTGATGTTCTGAAAACAGAAGGTTGTGTTACAGCATTTTACCGACGGATGGGGGAGGGATTCAGTGAAGCTCGAGGGATTTATTCAAGCCAGGTGAAGGCAATGGTTTTTGACCTGCAGGTATTCGGACAGGATTCTTTTCAACATTCTTTTCCCAGTTGGCTGGTGTGTGAATTGGAGACATCTGCACCAGTGCACTGTGTTAATGTACATTATTGGGGCAGAGCAGAGAGAGATTTGCTCTATCTGGCCTCTGCTCTGTCCATTAACATTGGATGTCACAGATGGAAATACATTTCATCCTCCAACACAGACATCTCCCGTACTTTGTAGATAAAAAAGGATAATTGTTTCAGTTCCATTGGCTTTGCGTACTCACAGTCTCTCGGTATTTGGTGAAATTGAAGGTGAGGTCCACCCATTCGGACTTCATCTTTTCAAGAGATTTCTCCAGCGAATACTCTTTGGTTGCTGCTACTCCAATCTCCTCCAGTCTAAACACAAGAGGCTTCAGTTATTTGACTATTTTAGCAAGCAGTGGAGAACAAATTAAAATTTAAGACCTTCCTTTTCGACCGTGCCTTCGGTCATCTTCCCTCCTGAAGTGAAAGGCTCTGTGCAAATGCAATCTGTTATTGTTAAACATTCACAGAATCAGTTACCGCTCTAAGGAAACATGATTGTTTCTTCTTCAGGCTTATGTGTTTGAACGGGGACACTTAAATAACGAAGGGGTTATGGTAGTGTAGCTTTGATCACCGTCTGAATGAAGGCTCAAAGTAGGTGGCACAGTGAAGAGACATGACGGGAGCCCAGCCCACTGCCCCACGTAGCATCAGCCAAAGACCACTCTGCATGTGATGAGTTTCATATCATCACCAACTGATCCCCTGACTGGCAGAGTCCATTTGAACTGCATTCACAGAGGACCTCAACGTAGTCCCCAGTTACACCCTCTCAGACAGGGAACAGAGAGAAGGAAGGAAGAAAGTATCTTACAATTGAAGAGGGAGTCTCAATCACCCCTCCCACACACCATTCACACACTCACCCACAAAAACACACACCCACCCTCAAACACACCCTCCCACGCACACACACCCCCACACACACCTCAAACACACACACCTCAAACACACACACAGCCTCCCCAAACACACGCACACGCCCCAAATACACGCACATGCCCCAAACACATGCACACGCCCCAAATATGGCAAAGAACTGTATTAATTGCTCACTGTGCGTTGAAGTTGGCAAATCCAATTTCCAACATGTCCATCAAGGTGGTGTTTGCAGTAGGCTTGACGTCTTGCCCAACAACGACGCTGATCTGAAAATAAATTCATCGTTCAGCAAGGATATACAGCCACGCCAATTCACAATCCACCATCAGCATCGATGCTGATGACCAGACAGCATCGATGCAGCTGAATCATTCATACAACCAAACCCTGACAGCTAAAAGGCTGAAATAATGATAGATCACTGAACTGGAAAGATTTTTCAGACCTTGAAGGCAAATTATGTGGAAAATAGGTGCAAGATTGGGTGTCCGGGTAAAGAGGAAAACTCGTATTCCTGCCACCACTTGTGTTTAAAGAGCTTTACCTGTTCCCAGTGTCGTTCCTTGATCCCAGGATTGCAGATGGTAGAGAGAATTGGTAAGTGTGGCTTAAATTTCTCAATTTTAAGTTTAGCATTCTCTGCTACCCGTTTGGGCCCAGCCTGGTCAGCGAATGTCTTTGTCAGTTTATACATTGTTCTCCACATTGTGGCCACCTCTTCGGTAATTTCTTCGGCGTTTAAGTTTTGAAATGGTCCTGGGAAACAGTGAGGACGGTTATATCAGCAGGAAATGGTTCAAATGATCAAAACTACTCCAGTCATCGGTATCAATGAAAGCTATCATTTCAGTCAATTTTCTTTTACCTGATTGGTGTGTTTCTGGTAAAATGAAGACTCCACTTATTCCTTTGTTTGTAATAAGTGGGCCGAGGGGGGAGAATATTGCACGGTGTGTTTTCACAGGCTTTGGTTTGAGGCAATTTTATTTCCCCGTTGTGAAACTCACCATTCAGCCACATTTCTGATTTGGTGTAGAAGTTATATGCTGTCTTCCACAGCTGATCATAAGGTTGCTTGTTGCTGATGGTGGTCAGGAGCATAGGGAAATGGGTCAGCTGGTGCTCCAGCAGCTCCTCCTCTCGATTGATGGCCTGTAGAAACACAAAGCAAACTTCATGATGGATGCAATCACTCCTTTGGGCAAGTGACTGCCTGGGTCTGGTTAAGATCTCTGGATTAAAGACAAGCATCGCACTGAAGTTCGTAAACTTTAAAGTGCATCGCTGGCTGAGTAATCGGAGCAAAACTGCAACAACAACTTGCATTTATATAGCGCCCCTCACACAGGGTAGCATCCCGGAGTTCTTCCATATAAAGGCAAGTTGATGCTGTATAAAACTATAAGGTGACTGCTGGCTGTGGGCATATTAATCGGACGAACATACCAACACTTTGAAAAGTATACTGGGTATAGAAGGTATTTCAATTCTAGTGGCATGTTGATCGTGTGAAAGCCTTCACATCATCATATAATACAGGTGCCTATCCCAATTGGTATGCAGCAGGTTAAATCCCAACAGTACACCACATGCTGGGTGCCCAAGCATCATCTTGTACCAATCTCTACTAAACTCTCTGGTATTAAGAAAATAGGGTGCTTCCCCTCCCCTCCAGACAGGGAATCTGTAGTCCATACCGGGCAAATGGAAAGCATACATTAATGGAAACCTCAGTGGTTTGGGTTCGAGACTCCTAAGCCCTGTGATGGGTTTCCGTGTGTGTTTTGGTTTCCGCTACTTGACTGATAACAAATATTTGCTGTTGTCATAAGAGTACTTGAGGGTATGGTACTTTGCTATGTGTTGATTCCCCAACGCACTCTACCTGTGAGGTGAGTGCTGCTGAGTGCTTGTGATGTATTTATTATGTTTCGTCAATTAAAGGAGAAACAACAGTATTAATGCCAGGTACCACGGAAACCAAACATTCTCTGGTTCAGAATGCAGAACAAGGACATTTTCAAACACACAGAGTTTCCAAGGACTGGTAAGCAAAACACATCTAGTAAGCCAAAGTTCCACAGTCTGTCATTATCTACATGAAAAAGTTACCAAGGACAAACCTCTAGCTCTTCCAAGGCTGTATCCAGATTCTTAGTCAATTCGCTGAGTTTTTCCACATTGTTCCTCATTTCCTCAGTGGTTACAACTTCTTTTTTCTTGAAGCTATCAACTTCTTTGCTGTACATGACAAGCTTCTTCTCGAATTCTTTGATTCTGAATGCAAAACATCGCCCAATTAATGAATAAGTTCTTTTTCAAATGTCACTTGCAATCCTAGAAATTACTTTAGAGAATTGAAATAAATTCCCTCCCCCCAGGTATTACAGTAATACCCAAAGCAGTGCCACCCAAAGCGATGCATTGTCGGAGATGCCATCCTTCGGAGAAGACATTAAACTGAAGTCTCAGTTCCCTGTTCAGGTGGACATTAAAGATCCCACGACACTATTCAAAAAGAGAAGGGAGTGTCTCTCTACCAGTGTCCCGGCCAACAATCCTCCAAATAAATTTGGTCATTCACTTTGTGACCCTTTTGCAGGATGTTCCTGCGCACAAATTGGCTGCTGTGTTTGTCTGAATAAAGTTTTACATTAAAATATGAAATTGCTTCAAGTACAAGTTAATCAACTGTTGTTAAATGATTTATATGTGTGTCCCTGAGAACAAGGTGGAATATTTGACCTTAGGACAGTTGCTAAGCACAAACACACCACAAGTGCTCTGCTCATGTTCAATTTGTTTTACTGAACGCCTATAAAGTCCGAATTTTGTTTTCAAATCCATCCATCAAGCCTCGTTGTTCGAAAGGCAAGGATCATTTGCAATGCGCTGTTCTGTGCCATTGAAAGGCAAACAATGCTGACGTACAATCGACACAAAAGGCACTGCTAAATGATAGATTAGCTGCTATGTAGAACACTGTGACACCCAACCTCTAAGGGATTAATTTCCATGGAGGGGGAAAATGCAATTAATGTCCTGATTTGTGTGATCTCCACACAAACGTTATGTTAAGAGAGAAATAAACAAAAATAATTGGGTAATCAGGATCTGAGATCACTCCATGTCTGTCCCGCTGCTTTTGTGAATTTCAGGTTGTTATGGTTGACCTTGTGAATTTATTGACAAGTTTCTCTGGTGCCTTTGCACTTCAGAGAGACCAAGAGACAGACAGAAAGACCAAGAGACAGGGAGACAGACAGGGAGACAGACAGGGAGACCGTCTGTCGGGGAGAGGGTGCGGTTTGTGGTTTTACTTTTGACGATTTAACAATAATAATAATCCTTGCATTTGATACAGCGCCTGATCATGTTGTTGAGACATCTCAAAGCCCTTAACAGAATACTGTGTATTGTAAAGTGAATCGGCTGTGTGTTTTGGTGATTGCTCACTGTTTCCTCAGTTCCTCCTCTGCGTGATCCCTCCTGTTCATCAAACGGCTGCGGTGGAAGTCGAGCAGATTGTAGATTTGTTCCGGCCAATGAAACACCTGACTATTCAGCTTGATATCTTCATCTGTGAAAGGTGGGAAACGACCACAACAACAACAACAAATTACATTAGAAAATGACACGTTCTCCCTCCAGTTCTGCCCACAAAAACAGTCAGTTCATTTTACAGTAGATGCTGCGAAGCACTTTGCGACGTCTCTAAGAGGTGATAAGGCGCTGTATCAAACACAAGGCTTATTATCATTTTTATTATTATTGCGCCTTTCACATCTGGAGGACGTCGCAAGGCACTCAGCAGTCCTGCCTTGCCAAGGAATAGACAAGCAAAAATATGTGCGTAGAATCCACAGACACACCAGGAATTTCTGATCATCCACAAAGTCCTGTTTGGTTAATCATGTCAAGATGATCGAAACAAAATCCCTCATTTGTCTCTTCCTTTATTTACGCACATCACAAAATGTACAATATTGCAGACAAGTGAAGTGGACAAATGCCTGTAAGATTTTTAGATAAATGTTGCGGAGAGTGTGTGTGTGTGTGGAGGGCTGGTGGGGGGGTAGTGGGAGCTCAACCACTGAACAGTGAGAATGTAACACAAAATTGTTCTTAATTTGACACTGGGATCAGCAACCTCACTCAAAAGAGGTCATTGTTGGAGCAGTAAAGTAGAACCAAAACGGATTGGAGCACAGAGGAGAGAGCGTCACAGCATCTCTCAACTCCAACTGCACTTGACCTTGTGAGCGCTTAATACACAAAAAGGAAAGCATTGCATTGCACGGTATTCCTAATGCTTTCCTAGAAACAATACGTAAGATGTTCACAACCCCCTAAAGCACACGGGAGCCGAGCGTCTCTGACTTACACACTAGTGTTGCGTAGTCCAGGAGGAAATCCAGTCTCTCTGCCGCTTCATAGATTTCATCTTTCAGCTTGTACACAGTGACCTCGCTGGCTTTCTTCAGGAATTGGTCAAGAATGACCAGCTCTTCTGTGGTCTCTGGTATTTCACTGATACGATTGGCGATCTCGTCATAACGCTGACATATACTGGAAGAGGGCAACAATTGCACGTTATTCTCCAATCTTCCTTTACGCCCGAAAGGCCAGAATCTTTCAGCTCATCGGGTAACAAGTGAGGAGGATTGTTCATACCGACCTGTCCGCTCCCTCTGCTCAGCAGACTCTGGCCTGATGCACGTTTCCCCCGACAGAGCCCGCCTCACCATCAGTAGTCGGGCCTTCAGCCTCTCTGCCCTCACCCTTTGAAATTCCATCCCACTGTCCCTTCGCTTCGCCCCCTCCCTCCCCTCCTTCAAGGCCCATCTCAAGACCCTCCTTTTCGACCGCGCCTGCAGTCATCCTCCTACCTCCACGACCCCTGATCCCAAACCCCATCTTGTGTACAAATCCTTGATTGTCCAGCGCTTTGGGAGAAGTCCTTGTGACGTGAAAGGCAAGACGTTGTACAAATCTAATTCGATGTAGGGACACGAGTGGCATTTGGGACTCACTTTGGACATTTGGGAAGAACAAGGTGAGAATTGTGGAACGCTGCGTGACATTTCTTTGGTAAATGATGTATGGTGCTTTCTTCATTGCAGCAGAGAGCTCAAAAAGGTCGTCTGCAACATCTCGGAAAATTTTTAATTGCTTAAAATAATCTCACTTAGCAAAAGTGTGTTTTTTTTTAATTCATAAATAAAACTCTCCAGCTGTTCCAAGTAGACAGATAAACAGTACTTAATGGATTGCTCTGAGAAAGGACTAGGATAGATATGATGGCCCATAGCACTCAAGCATTCAAATTGAGAGATCTGTTGAGTTATCAGACACCAAGATTATCAAAGTAGCGAGGGGTTTGACGTACCTGTTATTAAGATTACGATTTTCCTCCACCACAGAATGGATTAAACGCTCCTTCAGTTTCTCAGCACGAGAGCAGAGGTCTGCGTTCAGGTTAACAGCGTCAAGGCAAAACATAGCGAGCGGGATGGTAATATGCATTGAAGCTATTTCATTCCTCAGGTTCTGTAAACTCTCGATTTTCTGGCAATGAGAAGAAAAGTGCGGTTGACAAAAAGGTATAGGATTGATTTATTTCAAGAATTTGATTTGATTTTGTTCCCTCTCTCCTCTACATCACACAACAAAAACAGCAAATTACATTTGCATAGCACCTTGCACTTTGGGAGGACATCCCAAGGTGCTGGACAATCAAGCATTTGGACCCAAATGGGAGGGGTGAGGCAAAGGGACTGTGGGATGGAGTTCCAAAGGGTGGGGGTAGAAAGGCTGAAGGCTTGACCAATGGTGGAGCAGGGGACATGGGAGGGGGAAAAAAACATTGGAGCCTGCGTTTCTAATATTAAAGCACTCAAAATTAAAGTCAAGCTGTGTTGCCCAGTTACCCAAAGTAAATCCAACAAGAACCCTACTTGTATGTATGCATTACATCAGGCTACACACAAATCCTGATTGCTAAATTAGTAGTTTTTGGATTTTCCGTGAAAAGCTGCCAATTCCCTCAAAGGCTTTTAAGTAGAAACTGGTACACGCACCTTTACAAATGCTTCCAAGGAATGTTTCTCCTTCAGAAAATTATCAATATCTTGCTCAGCCACATTGTTCAAAAGAGAGTTGTAGATTTTGTACACGTTGAGATATCTACATTGGAACGAAAGGAAGAAAAGGTGTAACAAACAATGGGGTCGAAACTCCAGCGGCTGAGTCCAGAGTGTATACTAACAATAGCTCAGGGAGCACTCCAAATGTTTTTATTTTTAATCAACTGGGTGTCTGACTCGCATGGAAACCCATCACCATGCTTAACAGTCTCCATACCTTCTCCTGAGAGCAGGCTGGGTGACAGTGAACAACTCGGCCATACCCACGTTGCAAAAGATAGGTTCAGTGAGTCTGCCATAAACACTTCCATTGACCTTAGAGCTGGAATAAAATCCAGGACTCCCACAAACTCCCATAGCTTCCAGCTTTTCCCCAGGGGTAAAATTATTATTATCTATTGTTAAACATCACTGGAGAATTGCAGGTACAGGTTTACAGCCACAACAACAGCAACAACAAAATCATACTTGTATAGCGCCTTTCACATCGGGAGGACTTCCCAAGGCGCTGGACAGACAGAGTTTCGGACCCGAGCAGGGTGGAGGGCAGGGGGGTAAGCAGGGAGATCCAAAGCACGGTCAGAGAGAAGGGACTTGAGATGGGTCTTGAAGGAAAGTGTACCCTCTATAACTAAGAGCAGGCTTACTTTTGAGGACCGATGGTATTTACATGAAACGTTTCCAAGGCTTTGTTGACAAAATCACTGACAAGAAATTCCTCTGCTCTTACTGTACGAAGTACAAGTTTTTCACCCGGAATTTCTGGGAAGAGTTCACATTCCACCTGTTGGGAAAGAGGAAAACGCCATGTGACTCACCAATAATTTATTGATGCTTTTGAATACGTCAATTATTTCCGATTGGAAAACAGTGTGTTGCAGTTTATGAGAGGCCACGTGCTTCCTTTGGGAGAGGGGTGAAGCCCCTCTTTTAACTGCAGGACACACATTTCAGCCAGGGCTGCTCTCATGAACTTGATTGTAACTATACAGATCAGCTTAGCAGTGTAAGATGTTCGAATGGAGACAACCAACACAGTGGTGTAATAAACCAAGGTTTAGAGCATCACAAATATAATCTTACAGCAGAGACCCGAGTACATATTCTCTCTGCCGGTGAATTTCACAAAATCTACAGGCATTTCGCTTTACAGTATATTCTGTGAAGCGCTTTGAGGCGTCTCAAAGACGTGATAAGGTGCTATATCAAATGCAAGGATTATTATTATTATATTAAGACCCACACGGACCAGTTGGGCCAAATTATTGATAACAACCCATCCGTATAAACTCTGTGGAAACCCTCAGACAATAAATGCTAAAAGCTGGTGCGTCCAGAACGATTCGCCACTGATAGGAGCAGCTGGATTCCTAACCTCTTTGGACGCAAGATATCAGTTCACATACCCTGGGGATTCCCTCAGCGTTGGTTAGGATTTCCATGAAGGCTCTTTTGATCAGATCCCAGCATTCGTTCAGGTTTGGTTCAAAGACAATTTTCGGTTCCTCCACTCTCAGTTTGATGATCATGATTTGGGGAAAGACGTATAGTAGTTCGTTGTATTCCTTTCCAAAATCATTCCCGGTCTATTCCAATCAATAGCAGCAAATTATATCACATTATATCACAGACTATGCCAAGTGTGCACACCGATATGCATTTATTCAGAATTAGCGTCAATATCACATTGATATAAGAGAAGTTGTTTGATGAAAAAAGTCGATTTCACTTTCAAAACTATCAAAACGCAGCAACTATTATTGGAATTTGAACGTATTGTATCATGTGGACTGAATAGAACTATAGCATTTCTATGGGGGAGGGGGGGGTCGTTTCCACTAAAGGATATAAATAGACTTTGATTCAAATAGAGTGACTGAGTGGATGCATACCTTGAGGAAGAAGGGAATAGAGGGCCATAGGAGAGGGGTATATGAAGGGTGGGAATTCATGTGGAATATGATAATAATAATAATTTGGTCACTCAATCTGCATCTGTTTGTGAGACACCGTTGTGTGCGATTGGCTGCTGTGGTTCGCCCACAAAATCTACAGTCAATTCGCTTTACATATATTCTGTGAATCGCTTTGAGACATCTCGAAGACGTGATAAGGCTCTGTATCGAATGCAGGATTATTATTGTTATTATATTAACACCCGAATGGATTAGTTGGGCCGAATGGTTTGTCTCCGTGCCATGTCGCTCTTTGCAATTCTAGCTGTTTTTGCAAAGCATCTGTAGCCTACCTTGTGCACTGAGAAAAACGAGAGGAGATCCTGCAGAGAGCTGATCACGGCCTCCCTGAGTTGCAGGGACATGAGAGAGGCGGCGCACGCAAAGAACTCTCTGACTTGCTGAGTAGAATCGCAGTCGTTCAGAGGCACCAGATGCATCCAGTTTTCTTTATGGGCGAGGAAAACAGAAGCACAGGCTGGTAGCCACCTACGGATATAAATGGATGGTTTCTTGGAGAAGCGACAACAAATTACGTTTACACAGCGCATTTCACATCGGGAGAACGTCCCCAGGCACTGGACAGGCAGGGATTTCGACCCGAGCTGGGGTTTGGGATCAGAAGGGTTGGAGAGCAGGTTGGGTGGTAGGGGTAGGAGGGTGACCGAAGGTGCAGTTGAAGAGGAGGATCTTGAGATGGGCCTTGACTATAACATGTACGCAATATTGACATGAAGAAAGGGGCTGAATGGCCTCCAACTGCTGTACATTTGTAAAAAAAAATTCTGGTTCTAGGAGCTTTCTTCGTATGAAGTGAAAAGAGAGACATTCACTGATCTCATGGCTCAACTAAAGTGTGAAATAATCAATGCTCCATTTATGCTGCAGATATACTTTATATCCTGTGAAACGCTTTGAGACGTCTCGATGATGTGATAATGCGCCGTATCAAAATGCAAGGATTATTATTACTATTATTATTATAAAATCTACTCTATCCTCAGCCAAAAAGTTAACTTATTGATTTGAACGACTTTGCTCTGATCCTATTTGATCACTAAAAGTTAAATCATTACAGGTAAAATGCGCCATGAAATATAAAGCTGTTTGTGAACATTTTCATCCACGTTAGTGTTGTTATGACTTTCTGACCTGTCTTGAAAGATATTTCGAGCCTCCAAACACTGATTTTGAATAAGGGTTTCAAACTCCTCAGGAAGCAGCGGCAGACTGGCCACACGCAATTCATCGAGTTGAATAAAACGCACGTTACTAAACCTGAACAAAGCAAATGGTTTGGTTATTAGTTACCGCTACAGATTGTTGCTTCTCAGAAATCTAACGGCAGAAAGCCACGCCAAACTTCAGAACAAAGCTCAGCCATGCTTATTACTTCGTGTCAATTGTTTTAAATTAACTCTTAGAATTTCATCCCAGCATTAAAAATAAGCATTAAAATCAGGCTTCAAATCAAACATGATTAAGAAGTCAAACCTGAGTCTCGTCAGGAGGGAAAGACCAGCAAATATGCAGAAAGTATGGGATCCTTGCAAGGGATTAATGTACATTACTGCACTTTTGAACAGGACCGATTTGTGAAGGTTATTGTGGTTTTACATCCAAATGATTGTTTTAGGACAAATGACACTTAAACTGTAGCTACAGTTGTGATGTATAGACAAGGTGGCGTAAACAACAAAATGCACAAATGAGTACTAGTCGGCCCTAGACGGAGAAACAAATGAATCCATCACAAAATCTTGCGAAAAATATTCTGGTAATAAAACTTTGGTTAGCATTTATTAAATTTTTTTTGTTAAATATAAAGGCAGGTGAAATAGGAATAGCCCAAATGATTATGGTGCTACTTTACTGGAATAATGTATTTCCATATCATTCTGGGACCCTTCTAATGATATGTAATCCTTTAAAAATACAGGATTGTGTATTCACGCTTAAAATTGGTCTCTACTAGATTGTCTTACTGTGAAAACCAGAGATCCTGTAGGTAAAGCATTGTTGGATTGATACTGAAGAGATGATATCCGTTCCATGTCTTAGCTTCATTGTAGGTTTGGTGCCAAGGGACTGGGGCACGAATTATTCTACGAGGGAAAGAGCGAGGGATGCAACAAACAAAAAGCCTCATTCTTTCAGAAGGATCCTTTAGGATGTAGTCAACTAAAAACAAAAGGATATTACAGTGAAAACGTAAGTAAACTTCACGCAGTTGTGGAAAACCTTTGTAAATGGATTCAAAGTGACCAGTTAAAAGATAACATTGGAATAAAGATCTATCTGGTTCCTTCTCCATTAACTAATGCAACAAAAACCACAAAGTTACATTTTTAAAGCAACTTTCACGTCAGGAGAATGTCCAAATTAATAATTTACATGCATATTCTTACCAATGCTTTTCCTAAGGCTGTAAACGTAATCATTGTGAATTTCTTCAATCAACTCAGTACGCAATTCCTGCAAGGAAGCCACAGTTTTCAGTTCGTTCGATAAAAGTTTTTGTATTCGATTGATCTGTTCTGGGTCTTGTGGTTCCAGCATGTGATTTTGGATTCCGTGTTCAATGTAATGAAGGTATCTCTGCAGAACAGAAGAAAAAAAAAGTTAACTCTCTGATGTAACACACATTACTGGGTGTATGTAAAATGTCACATCAGCAAATACCTAGAAACATAGAAATTAGCAGCACAGGAGAAGGCCATTATGTCTGTGTTGGCTCCTTTAAGAGCAACCTTTCAGGCTCTTTAACCTGTCCTTTCTCCAAACCCCTATTGGTAATTTCTTGTAAGTTATTTATCTAGTTCCCTTTTGAAAGCCAATATGGAGTCTGCCTCAAACATTCGTAACTAATCTGTGTGAAACAAATTCTCCTAACCTCCCCATTTGCTCATTTACCAAATATCTTAAATTGATGCTCTCTATCACTGATTCACAGACCATCTCCTCTCCATACACACGGGGAGAAATGTAACACTCTTAACTGTGTCTAATATTTGGATATTCTTAAGAAATATCATTGCAATCTTCAAGTGAGTCAAGAAAGTTGGTTTTATCCTATACCAAATTAATGATGACATTATTGGCTCTCGATCATTCTGCACCTTTTCACTTGTCTTAAAAAGTTTTCTGCAGATGCAATCCCAAAATGGGGCTATATTTGCAGGGAATATTTCTGGGGTAACACCTTCCTCAAGGTGACAGTTTGACACTGCTTCAGTTCTGGGCACCACACTTTAGGAAGGATGTCAAGGCATTGGAGAGGGTGCAAAGGAGATTTACCAGGATGGTACCAGGAATGCAGAGGCGAGAGAAGCTAGGATTTTTCTCCTTGGAGCAGAGAAGGTTATGAGGAGGCTTAACAGAAGTTTTCAAAATTATGAGGGGATAACCCGAGGACACCGATTTAAAACAGTTGTTAAAAGAAACAGAGGGGAGGTGAGGAGAAATGTTTTCACACAACGAGTTGTTCGGATCTGGAATACATTATCTGAAAGGCTGGTGGAAGTCAAATCTTTCAGGGTATTAACACGCTAGAATGCTGAAGCAACTTAAGACTGTTTTATAGGTGAGTTGGGAAACGTGCAACCTCATAATCTCTTCGAGAGGGGCTTCCTTTTATTTCTTCGATCTCTTCTTCCTGTTCGATGATTATATTCATCTGCTCCATTGGGGTCATTGGTCGACTTCTATGAAAATCTACTCCAAGTTCTCCCACATCACATCCATAGCCAGCGGATTGATCCATCAAATTAGTGAAATGAATAACAGCTTTAGAGTCCTCCATCGAACTGGAAACAGAATGGAAGAGACATTTCAGGAGTACTTTTGTATTTTTAGGCAGAACTTGACCTGAAGTTGATTTTCTCAGAAAGATACTGAATGCACTGCAGCTTACAGTATTACAGGAACGCATTTGATGAAGATCTACCTAATTTCAGATGGAATGAAACTCGTCAGAATAACAACAACAACTTGCACTTATATAGCGCCCTCCACGCAGGATAGCGACTCAGAGCGCTTAACAGTGGCGGAGCCTGACTTTAAGCCGGGGAGGGGGTTTGGCGCGGAGGTGACCATAAGCACGGTCGAAGAGCAAGCTTTTCAGGCAGGACTGCATTGGGTCTTTCCTGCCCTTCCCTTATCTCATCTTGTCCTCACACGAACACAAAGTCAATCGTTTGCTGTATTAACTACTTAAACGCCTCTCTCACCAGAGGCCTTGGCTCTTTGTCTAGGTTCTTCCATATATAAAACAGGAAGAATTAGCGGAGGCTTCACATTACCTGCTTTGGAATGATACCTTTCTTGGTCTCATTCTTCGCTTTTTCGGAGCGGGTGGAGAAGATGTCTCTCTCACTGAGTGAGGCAGTTAAGGCTGTTTCCAAAAAGAAAGCCAAATGATCACCTGCAGGTACACTGTAGTAAATCATCTTTTCGTTAAAGGTTACACTTCATTCGCTGGGGATAAGCCACATTTTCCAACCAAACCGTGTTGTTCCCCCCCACCACCCCCTACAACATTGTAATAACCAAAATCACATCAGTCCTGTCCCCCCGCTCGGCAACATTAAGTACAACGCCTTCAAGAGAAAGCAGACGTCTACATTTCCTCACGTCTTCCATTCAAAAGATACGGGGTTGATTCTGAGGTATGCAGGACGAAATCACTTTGGGTTCCTTAGGAATCGAGAATTTCTTTTGTAAATCTTTTATTTTCATGTTGTTTGCCGACGGCGTGTAGTTGTTGGCGATTGATTCGCTTGGGCTTCTGAAATAGCGTTGCTCTTTGTATGGAATTGCCAAGGGCCATGAAATGTCTTGCATTATGGGAGGAACTTGGCTGTTTTGAAGGACAATCTGAAAAGTAATAAGCTACGGTTACAGGACAAGCCACACCAACTCTACTTCAAGACGGAGGTGATAGATAAATATTTGTTGAGTCAGGGTATTAAGGGACACGGAGCAAGGGTGGGTAATTGGACTTGAGGTACAAATCAGCCAAGATCTTACAGAATGGCGGAACAGACTTGAGGGGCTGAATGGCCTCCTCCTGTTTCTATGTTTCACCAAACATTTAAAGTTAAAAATGAAGGTCACCAACTAACATGTGCTTAGTTACTATAGATCGTCTGACCATATAGAAGCGTGTTCAGGATAACATCCAGGGTTATTTCTAATGAGGAAATGCTCACAAATGTATCACACAGTTTAATCAATTAATATTTTCTCGTGATCCATTCAGTCTTCAGTATTATAGAAAAAACCCTTTGGGATCCTTTGTATTAAACCTTGAACCAGGCAAATTCTGCAGTAATATAGTAAGAAATGACCACACTAACGTGACATGTTTGACTGTTCGTTTAGTGAGTGTGTATCCCATCAAAGTCAGGCCACTGCTAACCAATCTGGAGGCCAAGTCATTACTCTTTAACAACAGGCTTAGGGAAAAACTACACTTCATTAAACAACAAGGTGAGCATTTTCTAATGATTTCTAACTCCAACTATTTCAAAAACAGAATTAAACAAATGTACAGTTTTTAGGATTTTTTTGTTTTCTTATTCTTGGAGCAGACCAGATTTATTAAGTGTTGTATCTTGACAATGAAAATCCACCTTCAGCACTCAAGTCTCTCTAAAGAAGGAATAAAGTTATTGCCACAAATGCTGTAAATACAAGTATCTGCTTACTTCTCTGCATACCAAGCACTGAATATTTGAGCATGTATTCACAAACTCAGACTCCAGATAACACTTTCCTGGACCCAGAGATTTCTCATCAGCTACTATTCGACAAACATCTGCCTTCAGTGTGGTGGAAGGACCTAAATAAGATAATGTGCAATGTGCCAGCCACCTTGATGTTCTTGGTGACAATTCAGTGTTGGTTATTCAACCAGAAACAATCCACTTTGATTGCTGTTACATTACGTGAGCTTTCGTTGTTTTAATTAGATTTTTGCATTGAATCATCTGTAAAAGAACATCCCAAAGAGTGTATGTCGCAAATGGAATAGTAGAGACTGGGAATAAATTTAGGGATAAATGAGACGGTGGCAAAAAGATAGTCTTTGCCTTATTAACCAGTAGTTTGAAGTCCGAAGCAATTCACCCTGGTAAGACACTACTCTTTAGATGAGTGATAGAGCATTAGATTTTTGAAGATCTTTTACTGGGAACTGACCTCTCTGTCATGTAGCAATGGGAGTCATACCTTTGGAACTAGTATTGTAATTACATGCTTGTAATTCCAAAAATAATGTTACCTGATACAGAACTGAAGCTCCTTCAATGAAATCTGGAGGCAGAGGTGGTAAACCAGGTATCCCTCTGGTATAACTACTGGGGAGTATATGATCATCCTGTAGCTAAAGTTAATAACATAGATTTATTTGATCTCAACAATTCCACGGCAAAGGGCATTCATTCATCTGTGTACTTCGTAAATCGACTCTAGCATTTAGGATTCACAAAAGAGAATTTTCGTTAACGGGTCTGCCTGAGTTCCAGTTATTGGTAAATTTTGGGAATGAAAATGGCCAATAATAAAATGTCTCAGTGATGGATTTTACAAAAGGTGACTTTAAAGCACGGAATCCCCTTTATAAATTGCCACAAATTCATTATGTTGCTTCAGAATTATGAATCATTGCTACATGTTCCTCACAAGTTTATTTGTCTTTTATCCTCCTGTAGAGCATATGTAAAGACAAGACTCAGAGAGAGAAAGGAGTATGTGTTTGTGTGGAGAGAGGCTAACTCCTGTTTGACCTCTACTTGACAGTAACATTCACAGAACTTCTAATGAAAGCAAAACAAACAGGGCAATATGCCCCCCATTACTGTCCTCAACCCACTAGCAAAATTGTTGGTTGGTTCTCGCTGGTCAACACCAACAAACAACATGTAATGTACCAATGATAAGCAACAATGGTTGCAGTTACCATCTTCATGGGCTATTCCACCTTGGGCTTTTGAGTGAGCGATGGTTCGCCTGGCGTGACTCACCCAGAGAGGGTTAATTGGAAGCAGTTGTGTCATTTCCAAACACCTGGGAGCCATAATGTTAATGACATTCACTAGAAAATGATCAGAGGCAGAGCAGACAGAACCCTGTGCACAGCCAAACTCCTGGCTTCTTCCTCATCAGGAACAGTGCAATTAACTCCCACACAAAGCACCGACCATTCACTGACAAAGAATTCAGAAAGAGATGGGTTTGCGAAAAAGTAATCTGCAGGCCACTTTACTCATTTAATTCCATTTTCCTAACAAAATAATTGATATAAGGAAAAATAGAGAACGCCCAACGATAGTTTCGATCACTGTCCATTTTTTATTCTCCCCCACTTACTAACCCACATTCAACATAATGTTTAACATGAAAATCCAAAAGCTTTCCTTTGAGCCTAAACCACAAGAATCTACAGTTTGCACTGCATTGCCTTACTCAACAGGAGGAATAATAGTCCTTGCATTTGAATACGTGCGCCGCGCAGATAAAAGCATTGCAACCCAAATTCACTGCTTTAGAGAATTCAGTATGCAACTCATTCCAAGCCAAGTGGACCAGGAATATTCCATACACAAGAGGGTAGAAAACCAAGAGAAGATGGAGTGGAAAGGACCAGGTAGGACAGTAGCCCCAATAGCAATTAATAGCCCCATATCAACATCAATGACAACTCTACCAAGGTGATGAGCAGCCTGATGAGACTTGTTAGCACAGTGACAACACCAGACAGGGAGACAGACTGGCCAAAAACAGTACCCAGTCCTAAATGTGGTTTAATTCACAGACAATATATGGAAACTCCACAGCTTTGTCCTGGGAAGGGAGAAATCACCCTATTCTAATTTCTATTTTCTAATTATATTCTAATTTCTAATAATATTATATTCTAATTTCTATTCTGTTTCCCCCATGACACTTTTTTTTTCCAAAGTGGTTTGAATCTTTTGTTTTAAAAAAAACCACAGGTTTTTTGCTCTATCGAACAAGTCAACACTTAATTAATTTTTTACCACGTAAATGGGTTCGGTGGATGAATGCAGTTTTTAAGGTGCTTTAGGTGACTAAATATTGATAGAACAAACAAAATAAAAATATATAACAAGTATTAATACAACAACCAACCAGGTAATGGGTTCTGCAGATGAATGCAGAATTTACAAGACTTCACTAAAGTTTTCTCTGCCAGAAAAAAAAAACTTTTTTGTGTGTAACTCGTTCAAACAGTAAAAAACTGAAACCAAACGTTGAAGGTGACCCAAGAAATTCACACACACACACACACAAAGAGAAAGAAAAACACCAGGTGGAGCATTGCCCATCACCACCTCTGCCCCAGCACTGAATTGCTATGGTTTGGTTTCAATCAATTAACTGTTTTTTTTTTGGTCCCAGATTTCCAACTCAAGAGTTAATTTCGGATCTCACGAGTGGGTTAATTAAGCATTGGTTTCCTACCTTGCGTTCTTCCATCCTTGCTCTTTAATGCAAACGTCTCAGCAAAAAAAAAAAATCCTCAGCACCCAGGGGTGCAGTCTGCACACCAACACTGGGTGATGGGGTTGGGGTTGGGCTTTGGAGACCCACCAAACCCAACAATAGCTACTTGTTTCGTCACAGAAAGTCACAGTCACAGGTACCTCCTCACTTACACCCCCCTCAAACCACCCCCACCCCCCCACCCCCAAAAAAAAAAAAATTCTCTTTCTGTTCACATCTCAAACTTTCTATATGGAGGGTTGAGAAAAAAAAGTTGGGGGTTTATCAATATTCCTTTGCAACTGGGGGAGTTTGCCTGGAATAAAGCAGTGGGTGGGGTGGGGTTGGGGGGGGGGCAAAGAGTTGGGGGGTGGGTTTAGGTTCAATCTAATCTCAAACTTGTGCCAGTGAGGGGTGCCCACCCTTGTCAAGGGGGTGGGGAGGGGGGGGGGAGGGAGAAGCCTGGCTGGTAAGATGGTGACTTAAATGTATTGCATCCAGACTCAGTGTTGCCCAGAGCTACAGCGTTCCCTGTTGCTAAGATCTCCAGCTGACAACACTCAAATGATCTGAGCTCAAAAGTGGTCGGATCCAGTGTCGGAAAACACGTCCAACATGTTCCTTGGCCAACACTCTTGTTAGACACTGATAGTCCAACTTACCCCCACCCCTCCCCACACTCCCCCCACCCACCCAGTTACCTGGTTACAAAAGTGCCCTGTTCAGCCCCACCACTAATTGTTTTTTAAAAAATAAAGGAAATTGTTCTTGGAAAAACCGCTCCGAAGGTATTCTTATTGATGTCAGTTAATGTTACCGACCTCTTTTTATTCGACCGGAGCGGTCCTTTAAATTCCGGTTAAGTCTTCTGCCTGCGGGTTGGCCGGGTATTGCTCCGCGGTTTGGTTTTCACAAGGATTGTCGATTAGTTTTTTCTGGTTTTTGTTTTTAAAAAAAAACCAAAATGAATTGTTTTAACGGTTCGTAGCTCGGAGGGAAAGGAGGCGAGGCGGAGAGAAATAGGACATGGAATGCGGTGTCTGTCGGCTGGGCTGAGACTTGCAGAATGCTGCCAACTGAGGGGTGTGGGGTGTGTGGGTGGTCTAGTGTCCCCACTCCTTCAATGACCTCTGCTGGAAAGTGCCCACGTGTGCTACTGTACACGATTACATAAGGCGCAGTGCTGTACTGCGTAAGTTCTTTTCCATTTCCGTTGAATTACAGAATCGTAGAATCTTACAGCTCAAAAAAGGAGGCCACACGGCCCATCACGCCTGTGCCAGCTCTATCCAACTAGTCCCACTCCCCCCTCTCTCGCTTACCCCACAGACCTGCAGAATTTTCCTTTTCAAGTGCCTATCTGATTCCCTTTCGAAAGCTATTATAGAATCTGCTCCCCCCGCCCTTTCAGGCAGTGCATTCCAGATTGTAACTAACTCTGGGTAAAAAAAAACTTTCTCCTCGTCTCCCCTCTGGTTCTTTTGCCAATTATCTTAAATCTATGTCCTTTGGTTACCGACTCACCCGCTGGAGGAACAGTTTCTCTCTATTTACTCTGTCAAAACCTCCCCTATTCGGACTGTATTTTTTTTTGCTGGAACAGAGGAGATTGAGGTAGAACATCAAGGGTAATTTACTTCTAATCGTTGAAGTCATATTTCATTGAGAAATCCAGGTGAAAGGTTAAGATTATGCTGCAGGGGACCCAAGGTGAAAAATTAACAGGAAAGGAAATGAGAATGAACATAATAACAGCAGTTGCATTTGATATACCACCTTGAAACGCCCCGAAGCACTTCACAGGATTTACTGTAAAGCGTAGTGACTGCAAAAAACATAAAAGTGAAAAATAAATAACTAAATAATAATTTGGTCACTCAACCAGAGACTCTTTGTGGGACACTGCTGTGCACAATTTGGCTTCTGCGTCTCGCCCATAAAATATACAGTCAATTCAGTTTAAAGTATATTCCGTGAAGAGGTTTGAGACGGCTTGAAGACGAAATAAGGTGCTACAACAACAACAACAACAAAATTACATTTGTGCAGCGCCTTTCACATCGGGAGAACATCCCAAGGTGCTGGACAATCAGCGTTTCCGACCTGAGCTGGGGGCCTGGATCGGGGAAGGAGGCAAGGGAGGGGGCGAGGAGGAGGGACTGCGGGTTGGAGTTTCAGAGGGTGGGGGCAGAGTGGCAGAAGGCCCACACGCCAATGGTGGGGCGGAGTGTGCATCCTTGGATGGTGGTGCTGCCAGTGCCTGAGGTGTAGAGTCAGGAGGGCCTTGGTCTTGTTGACTTTCAACTGCAGAAACTGTGGATGATGTCACCAAGAGGGAGCATATAGATATTGAAGAGGAGGTCAGAGCCCTGAGGACCGCCGGAAGAGACGGTGCGGGGGCTAAAGGAGAAGTTGTTTGTGGAGATGAAGTGGAGATGGTGTGAGAGGTAGGATCTGAACCATTCCAGGATAGAACCATGAAGGTTGAGATGAGAGGGAGAGCGGTGGATGAGGATAGAGTGGTCAACTGTGTCGAAAGCAGCAGAGAGGTCAAGGAGGATGAGGAGGCAGAGATAGCCCTGGTCGCAGATGGACAAAATGTCATGTGTCACTTTAACCAGAGCGGTTTCTGTGCTGTGGGCATCACTGATTGGAGGGGTTCATAAATGGAGTGGAGGGGAGGAAGGAGCGAAGCTGGGAAGCAACAACTCGTTCCAGGACCTTGGAGAGGAAGGGGAGGTTGGAAATGGGATGGGTTTGTTTGAAAGCAGGGATGGGTCCAGGAAAGTTTTTTTAAGGATAGGACTGATGACAGGCGTTTTTAGAGGGGTGGGAATGGTGCCAGTGAACAGGGAGGGGTTTATGCCGTCTATGAGTATGGGGGCAGGGAGGTGGAGCTGGGAGGTAAGGAGAGGGGTAGGGATGGGGATGAGGGAGCAGGTGATTGGTTTCATGTGGGTTATGGTGGTGATGAGAGAGGAGGGGGAGACAGGATCAAAGATGTGGAGGGAGGGATGGGTAGGGGCCGGGGTGTGAGGGGGAGATGGGTGGGGGGGGGGGGAGTGGTCAGAAAGGCAGAGGCAGCTGAGCGGATCCCCTCGACTTTGGTTTCGAGGAAGTCCAGCATCTCCTCGCAGTTGGCATTGGAGGAGAGGATGCAAGGATTAGTATTATAAATTTAATTTTGTTGTTATTATTGTGTCTGTAAACCAGAGTACAAATCTCCTGCAATAGTACCTCCCATTAAACATTAAACATAATTCGGACACTGCTCAGAGGTACGCATCATATTGCCATGTTTTATGCATAAGTAGACAGGTCATGCAAAACCCATCAACCCGCAGTGCATAGAGAAGGCATACGATAGGAGGTATTAAAAGCAGTTAAACCTTAAAAGTGTCAGATTGCTTTTTCGGGGGTAATAGACCCTTCAAAGGTTTTTTTAAAATATTCATTTGGTCACTTCAATCCACGACTGTTTGTGGGACGCTGCTGTGTGCAATTGGCTGTCGCATTTCGCCTACAAACATACAGTCAATTCACTTTACAGTGTATCCTGTGAAGCACTTTGAGACGTCTCAATGACGTGACAAGGCACTATATCAAATGCAAGGATTATTATTACTATTAATAATAGTAAATCATTATTATTAATAATAATAAAAGTGTACGTCTCATCAAATTCATACACCACTTTCCTTCTCGCTGCAAATTATGGGATACTCCAGGTGCCATTCCTCCTCCTACATTCATCATTGTTCCATGTTAAACCTTTAATAAATAAACAAACAAACAAACAAACAAATAAAGGGTGGTGAAAACACACAGGTTAAGTAAATTCAGTAACAAGGAGAAATTATTTCTATTAATATTCTATAGGAGAAATTATTTCTCCTTTGATGTGTTGGATACTTTGAAACTTAGTTCGTTCCATGTTTTCCTGTAGTCTGGGGGAGGGCAGTGGTGGAGGGTGGGGGGGGGGGGAATTGCTGAGCATCCCCCCCTTTTCTCTCTCTTAGTTTGTAAGAAATTGGTGAATGCAAAATTGTATTGACTCATGCATGTACCTTCTGGATGATTTTGATCAGCTGTGTGTGCTGTTTCCCAGTTAGTGGTTGGTGTCAGTGGTTGGTGTTAGTGTTGGTGCTGCTCTGAGCCACTTGTGTGCCAAGCTCCTACCTGAAGGAGGGACCAAGGGTAACCCCCCTTCACTTGCTGCCTCCCTCCCTCCTCCAAAGGCAGGAGAGATGCTCCCTCCAGTTGCAGTGTAGAGACTGTCAAGCGATCCCACCATGGTCCAGCCTTTCCCAGACCCAGCCTCACCTCCTCTCTGCATGTGGATGCCCTGCGTTTTGCTACTGCTGTGTCTGGTGGCTTCTCCTGGACAGGTAAGGAGCAACCCTCACCCAGGTGGGGCTTGTGTGGGCAGCCTGTGGACCCTCCAAAACAAGTCCAGGTAGAGAGAGAGAGAGAGAGAGAAGAGAGAGAGAGGCAATGGCTTTCAACTTTCAGTTTTAAGTAGCTTAGGTTGGAATCTGATCCCATTCAGGGATATAACTACAATATGACTCTAATATAGAAATACATATAATGTGTAAATATATATATATTAAGTGTGTTTTAAAGTGAGTAAAGTCAACACTTCTTAAGATATCATCTATAGTCTTTTTATCTAGATGTAATCTAGATATATGATCTATAGATATACCAAATGCAAGGATTATTATTATTATTATTAAAACGTTGCAAGTCATTGCAAAGCTTTGCAAGTTTTTATAATTATTATTAAAACCTTGCAAGTTTCAATGCCTTTCTTTGGTCAGCTGGACGCAAGCGTCTCCAAACTAATTTCCAGAGTTTCACGTGTTTGCGAAATGATCGGAACCCATCGTTAGGAACAGAGTAGCTGAGCAACTGGATAAATATCACACAAATCAGAATGGTTTGGCAAAAGGGACAACGTTTCTCAGAAATCGAGTTGTTTGACAGAATCACTGTCTAGTTACGAGGAGCACTGGTCAAACCACAGTTGGAATATTATGTTCAACTTCTCCCTCTGGTAGAGGGATCCAAAATGGGGGAAGAGCGCGGCAGTCTTAAAGTTAGAACTCGGACGGTTAGACGTGAGATTAGAAAACATTTTATTCACACAGAGGCTGGTGAGAGTACGATAGATACTTGCTCCGAACGTTGTATAAACAAATCATTCGAGGTGTTTAAAGGAGAGATAATAATACTAATCCTTGCATTTGATATAGCATCATATTACATCGCCAATGTTAACCTGAGGTCAGCCTGTTCAGGTGGATATTATAGATTTTATGATACTATTCGAAAAGAGAAATGAGTTTCTCTCAGTGTCCTGGCCAGATTAATTGGTTATTCACCTCAACAACACAACGTGCATTTACATAGCGCCCGTCGTGCAGGACTGCGCCTCGTGGGTGTTTATTGGGACCTGGCTGTGTGCAAAATTGGCCGCTGCATTTGCTGACAAAATACACATCCATTACATTTGACAGCAATTTCCTGTGAAGCAATTGGATTTGTTTCAACTTTATAGGCCATCTATCAAAGGATTATTATTTCCTTATGCTATGATATGATATATACTCTCTCCAGTCTGGACAGTGCCCCAGTCTCTGTGGGTCCTGGTGTGGTCAGCCCTTGCCTTGTCCTGCCATGTTCTGTCCTTGGAGGCAGCCTGAAGTTTGTCCTGCGGTTTGGGGCATATCAGCAGTTATAATGTGAGCACACTGTAAAAGCACCCTCATATAGATAAGCTGAACGTCTTTGGGTACTGACAATATTGACATTCTTTTCTTATAGTTGGCACGAGATCACGTCAGTTTGCCTGAAATTCCCAGTCTGAGCATTTTTACCAAAGATTAGCAGTAGTTGCAGCTCACATTAGGAGCCAGTCCTTGCTGCCCTTGCCCTTGTCCTGGCAGGAGGTCCCACCTGCTCCTGGTCACCTTTCCATCAGCCCCACTGACACACGGTTGATGACCTTTTTATCCGAAAATGTACGGGAGCCAGTGTTTAATAAGCTGGAGCTGGTGTTTAACAAGCCTGGCTTACAGGAAAGTTATTGCGCTGCTCAGCAACAGGTGCGTATTCAGGTATCTGTCCCCTCCCCCTCTCCCCCCAGCGAGAGGGAGTTACACACAGTGGTTGACAGCCCGGCCACCAGTGTTGGGTCAGAGGGAGCAAGGGAAGTGCAGTCGGCCCGTGTTTATGAAGCCGGGTGTAAGAGGAGATTGCAGGGGTGGGGCAAGGACATGGAGGTCAGCATGAGGATCTTGAAATCAATCAGCTGGGAAATGGTGAGCCGTTGAAGCCTTGCGAGGACAAGAGTGTGCTCAGGTGGTGGGCTAGCGAGTGGGAGGGGATAACGGCTGTAAAGTTCTGAATGAGCTGGCGCTTGTCAAGAGCAGAGTTAGAGTGAGGCCGGCAAGGGGAGCAGTGAAGAAGATCAAGTTTAAGTGGTGAGGAGGCAGGAATGAGGTTTAAGACAGAAGGGTTGAGAACGCAGCAGAGCTAGGTTTTTCCAGTGGAGGGAACACAACGGCCTCCAGTCAAAGACCTGATATACAGTTTGAGAGTGAGATAACGGTTAAACAAAATGGTAAGATTACACATGGCCTCAGTGAGCTGGAGTGATGTTAATGAGGCCAGAAACAAGGAGGGGGTGGTAGAGCCAGGCAAGAAGGCTTTGGTCTTGTTGACTATTGGGTGTATGAAGTTAAAGTCCATCCAAGTCTTGGTTTGATAGAATCAGGACAGCAGTGGTCCTCAAATCGATGGTGGGGGCAGTGAAGTATAGTTGGGTTCAGTGTACATGTGGAAGTTGACCCCATGCGTGAAAGAGACTTAGGGGTACTGTTTAACTCATCCCTTGTCAAAACAGTGTAAAAAAGAAGTAAACAAGGTAAAGAGCATACAGAGTTAGACTGCCAAATCAGTTGAGTTCACATCCCCAAAGGTCATGATCGAGCTACGTAATGCTCTGGTAAGGTCGTACCTGAAATATTGTGCATCATTTTGTTTGCTATGTCGTGTTGGGTTAGTCTAGTTCCTACAGGTATCACAGAGAAGATGATCCCCAGTGATATGACAATTCAATTTGAGGAACAATTACTTTCATATATTCCAGGGTAGAAATTCCAAGGCAGGGAGAGAAAATGTTCAGAGTGCAAGAGCGGACAGTGCACTTACGGTGGTAGTTAATGAAGTCCATCAAAGCAATCCGAGATACTACCCCACTAAATATAAATACAAATTATTGTATCTTTCTGGGCTGGACCTTTGAAGAAATAACAAAACTGTTGTGAGACCCCGCACTGTGAAGCGCTTCGGGACGCTACCCCACGTGAAGGGAGCTATATAAAATGCAAGTTGTTGTTGTTGAACTGGTGGACACGAGGAACTCGGTACAGGTGTTGCCTGGGTTTGGGGCCAGGCTCAGAGCCTGCACTCGGAAACCAGATTTCAGGAAAGGTAGTGAAGACACAGCAAACCATCCAGATACAACAAGTGACTTGGGCAATGCTGGTTATTTTGAGTGGTCTGCCTGCCAGCTCTGAATGTAATTAACATTTTATAGGATTTTATGTGGATTAGGGGCTGGAGTTGTTTAAACATAGGCTTGGTCTCCTGATTGAATTGATGGTGAACTCTGAGCCAATGTTCCCTATAAGCAAAACCAACCCTATGGAGCAAGTTACAGCGAGTTTAACTAATAAAATGGTTTGGTTAGTTGCTACTGTATATACAATGAGGTAACCCCAGGAGTTAGTTACAGACTGGAGTCTAAACTGGGTGTTTAGATGGTTTATATATAAATATAGAATAACAGATTCTGAGTGTAAGTTACGGGTTGGAATCTAATCAAGGGATTCAGGAGGACACACGCACCCACCCACCCACCCACCCATCCATCCACACACCCACGCACACAGTGATTATGGGATCTTATTGTGCATAAAATAGCTGCCATATTTAACTATAATAAAACAGTCATTAGGTTTGATAGCAAGTTCTATCTTCTTTCAGGCTGCGTCGTTTTCACTCTACGAGGACACTGTCCGAAAGTGGTGGCAATATCGCAATGAGTGCTTCCAAAAGATCACATCTGAGCCATATCCACTGACAGGTAACAAACACTGACAGCGTGCAACCCGGGAACATTAACTAACACACTAACTGGCAGGTAAAGCAAAATAGTCCTTACATGGATGGCAAACTAGATGGACCTTGGACTTTTTTCGTCTAGCATTTCTTATGTTTTTATTTGATATAAGGCTTATCAAGTCATCGAAACTTCTCAATGTACTTCACAGTATTTTACCGTAAAGCCTAGTGACTGTCTGTAGTCAACTCTGACTAACATACTTACTATCAGGCAACACTGACCAATACACTCGCTTTTTAATACAGTAAATTTGTCATTCACTTCATGGCTGTCTGTTAGACGTTACTGAGTGCAATTTGGTATCAGGTCTGCCCACAAATACACAGTCACTACACTTGGCAACGATTACCCGTGAAGTGCTTTGAGACATTTTGATTTTATAAGCGCTCTATCAAATAATATAGAATAGAGGCTGCACTCCCAGAGAGAAGGAAGGTAAAATCTTAACTCCAAATCGAGAGAGAGAAACGGGAGCTGCCTACGTGAAACTGCAGTGAATGTGTTTGAACTGCACTTGAACTACACTTGTGTGGCAACTGATTAACTTATCTGTAAGAATTAAAGAAATTTTTATTTGAACAACATTTTACAGCCCGAGACACATTATTGATATTTCCGCTTTTAACAGACTAAGAAGAATACCGCCACAACATTTGTACTTACGGGAATTAGTGCACAACCCATAGGCTCATAGAGGAGCCATGTTTGGGTGCAACTAAAAAGAACTAGACTGGGTAGAAATGAAGCAACCACTGAGGGCATTAGATAAGTTCAACTCACCACAAAAATATATCTCCTGTGGCGCAGATAAATGTAAGAATTACTTTTTATATCATGTAATAACAAACCGTCTCTAATTCAGCCCGTCCTAAACTTGGTGTTTCCTTTTGCTCAGGAGTGTTCTGCAATCGTACATTTGACATGTACATTTGCTGGCCGGATGGTTTTCCTGGAACAACAGTGAATGTTTCGTGTCCATGGTACCTTCCTTGGCAGAGTCGAGGTAACACACAATTTGATTCAATCCGTATCCCCAGTCACTGGTCTCCATCTCCAAGTCTTGTTAATGGGTCAGCACAGCTGTGTCACTGAGTAAAGTCTATGCTCTTGGTTCCAGTTAGGGATCGCTACGCTTTCCGGTATTGCAGTGACAATGGGAGCTGGCTGCTGGATTTGGTCTCACAGGGGCCTTGGGCTGACAGCTCGCAGTGTGCTGAAGATGATGCCTTTCTACATCAGCAGGTAAGCAGATAGACAGGGCCTGGGACGGACACGTTTCTCGAGCCTCAGGTGACATGTACCTTTGTCTACAGGTTGTAAGGCACAGTATCCAGCGCAAGCTACGCTTTGTGTACACAGCAGGCTACACACTTTCCCTCATCTCACTCGTGGCAGCAAACCTCACACTCATCTCATTGCGGTAAGTTTTTCTACTTTTCTCTATAGCACATTAGGTTCTGTTCTAGCACAGCGCGGGTCAGCTGGCTGTAGGGTGAAAGGGCAGAATTGAGGGCCAAAAGTTAACCACAGGGTAAAAGCTGATCAGTTTCTCTTGTCGCACAGGAAGCTCCGATGCACAAGAAACTACATCCACGTGAACCTCTTCAGCTCGTTCATCTTGCGGGCCATCTCGGTGTTGCTGAAAGACAGCTTCACTGACAGCCCTGACTCTGAGAGCGTCCCGACAGAAGGCACGCACAGCACTGGCTCCGACACGGTGAGGAAGTCCATGCTTTTCATTGCCTCGGGCCCAATACTGTGGACGCAGGGGGAAGAGTTACAGTTAGCGCCTCTGATCTGGGCTGAACTGCACTGCCTCAGCTGAAGGGCTACAGTATATTATACTAAGAGCATCTGTAATACGGGCAGAGAGAGAGCGCATTCCATTCCAACAATCTAGCTCTGGGATTTCCATGTGTAGGGTGGGATGCATGGATATCTCAGCTTGGTTTGGATACTCTTAAACACGGTGATGGGTTCCCGCATGGGTCAGACACCCGACTAACCCCCCCCCCAAAAATGCATTGTTTCATGCAGGAAGCATCTGTAAAACACTGTGTTATTCTGGGAGGATCTAACAGTTATATGATACCTGGAGTATCTGTAATACAGTGTGTTATACTGGGAGAGTTTATAATGGGCTCCATTATACCACTATTACTACTAATAATAATCCTTGCATTTGATATATTTGATATAATGATATAACGATTTCACAGAATATACCGTAAAGTGTATTTTTCAGCATAAATGAAACATTGATTATTTCGCACTTTAGTTGCGCCGTGAGATCAATGTACTGTAAAGTGAATTGACTGTATATTTTGTGGGCGAAACGCCCATACCCAATTGCGCACAGGGAGTATCTGTAATATAGTGTGTGGTACAGGGAGAGTGTAAAACAGTGTGTTATATGGAGAGCTGCGAGGCACTTTGGAGAGGAAGATTGTGTATCTGCTCATGTATCTTGTTGCTGCAGGTTCCTTGTCGGGCTGCACAGCTGCTATTGCATTACTCCGTGGCCAGTTCCTGGTACTGGCTGCTGGTGGAGGGAATCTTCCTCTACACCCTCCTCGTCCTCTCAGTCTTCTCACCAACCAAGAGTTACAGACTTTACCTGATGATAGGCTGGGGTATGGCAGAAGGAATCAGTGTCATAACCCCTCCCCCCTTCTCACACCTTCCCCTTCAATCCCTATATCCTCCCCGTCATACAACTTACAACTATATAGCGCTTTTCACGCAGGGTAGTGTCCCAGAGTGCTTGCCTTTCCCCTTCCCTTCCCGTCAATACTCTGGACCTGTATAAATAATATTAATAATAGGCTTGTATTTCACATAGCACCTTATCATGTCGTTGAGCCATCTCAAAGCGCTTCACAGCAAAGTGGATTCACTGTGTATTTTATGGGCGAAACACAGCAGCCAATTGCGCACAGCAGTGTCCCACAATCAGCCGTGGATTGAGTGACTAAGATTTTTGGGGGTCTTATTACCCCCCACCCCCGGAAAGCAATCTGCCAATCAACTAACAACCGGGTTCCATAATACCTTCCCACCAATATTGTCTCACTGGTCACCGTGAGTGTCCTGTTGCCATTGACGGGATGACTGAGGAATGTTGAGACCTGTTTATAACTCTCTCCACTGTTTACAGGGCTGCCCCTGGCCCCTCTCATACCCTGGACGCTTGTCAAGTACTTTCAGGAAAACAGTGGGTAAGTGCACAACGTTGCAATCCCATTGGTGTCTGAGCCCATGTGTCATGTCCCATAACCGTCTACTCTCTAAACACACTGAACAATCTTTATTCACCGAGTGTAGCTCAATCTCCTGGGACAATTTTAAAATTCTCTCATCTACACTGCAGTATTTTGTTTGTGTGAAAACAATGAAAAGGGTCACATCTTTTCAGAACAGATTCTTGTCGAGGGTGGACCTTTCTGAAGTTCTTCTTCACAGCGGGATGAGAACAGAGGAATTTCAGTGCCCATCTCTAGGGTCGAGTTCTGTGCCCACCTTACGAATAGTGCCACCGTTTAGGATTCCCGCTGATTGACAAGGACGATATGGTCACTTGGCATCTGCTTACAAACGCTGCCCTGAGATACTGTACAACAATAAAAATAAGTTGCATTAATGCTGTACGTCTGCTTGATGCTGTGCCTGGTCAAGCCAACGTCAGAGTGTGTTTGTGTTTGTGCAGGTGCTGGAGGCAGAACAGCAACATGGGATTCTGGTGGATACTCCGAGCGCCACTCCTGCTGGTGATCTGTGTATGTAACTAACAACAACAACTTGCATTTATATAGCGCCCTCACACGTGGTACCGTCCTAGAGCTCCTTAACTAACTGAGCACTGAAACTAACGCTCTGACCACTGCGAGGAACAGTGACTGACCAGCACATTGAACAAAACACTCATTACTTAGCTGCTGACACAGAGACTAGAGAGCAGCTCACACCCACACACCTAGACTCAAACTCACGCCATCCCACTCACACTCTCATTACCACACATGCTAACACTCTCACACTCAAATGATAACGACACTCACAAACTCTTACCCAACTGCACCGACACACACACTCACGTTCATACACGTTCTTACAACGCAGCCCCAATTATAGACTATCAGTGTACCACATTTGTACATAAGATGGTGTCAGAGTGGACAGTGACCTGATGGCGGTGATTTGCTGCCGGTCAGACAATGGGGACTTAAATCAAACCCCACCCCGTGTTCTTAAAGAGATGTTCAAACTGCGGGACTTGCTAGATGGCAATGGTCTTTGCCTGTCCTACTCCCTCTGTTGTAACCACCAATTCTCATCTTTCCTTCAGATAAATGTCGCAATATTTGTCCGAATAATGATGCTTCTGATCTCGAAGATGAGATCTCACCAGATGCAGAATACAGACTTCAGATATCGGTGAGCAAGCTTTAAATAATATAATAAATATTTTGCACTATACTTAGAGATTAGTATCTAGGGTATACCCCAGGGATCCCAACCCAGGAACAGAATGGCTTAGGTACAAAGTAAAGCTCTTCTTGTTTAGGCACAGTATGGGTTAAAGACAGGGTAATAACTCCCTCTACACTGTCCCATATAGCACTCAGTTCAGCTACTGTATTGATAGTTATAGTGCCCCACCCTGTTCTGTCCTGTTGTTTCTTCTATTGTTTGACTTTACAGGCTAACGAAATCCACACTCATTTTAATTCCCATGTTGGGAGTGCACGAGATTGTCTTGGCTTTGGTGACGGATGAGATGGCAGAGGGAACATTACGATACTTGAAGCTCTCTGTCGAGCTCTTCTTTGGCTCTGTCCAGGTTCAAACTTTATTGCACACTTTCTCAGTGGGGTTTACTATTGCTCAGATTCAGAGGGTGAAACACTCGGATGACTGAGTGAGATACCAGGAGGATTTCAGTATCTGACACACAGCAAAACATCACTGTGCTTAAGAATCTCCAAAACAAATTACCGAGAGTTCAACGTCTGCATGCTTAACAGTCCTCACTGTCCAATATTGCCTCACCTCTGAGTGCACTGAAGCACACAAGGCTAACAGACATTGTGTGCAAATTGGCTGTCCACATTCGCTAACGAAACAATCTCTACACACTACAGAAAATTCCTGTGAATCCTCCCGACGTGAAAGGCGCTAAATCAAATGTAAGGATTATTGGGTAATTTTAATGTCAGGGCTCATTCATCAACCTGTCCTCACTGTGCCATCCTCATCCCTTTGTTTTTTGCCTTTTAGGGTTTCTTGGTGGCTGTTCTTTACTGCTTCATCAACAGAGAGGTAAGTGGGCAGCAGGTCAATTCCTTTAGCCCATCAGAAATAACTTGAGCCAGGGGAAATGAGCAAAGGGGGGGGGGGGGGGGAAGAGAGGATGGGAGGTGTCCAACAGATCTCATCTAGACACAGCAGCGAGGCTATAGTGTTAGAGCTGGTATACCTCATGTTCACTGTGGACTGGTTTCTCTATCTCTGGTCTGTAAAGTGCTCCGAGACACTGCTCAGCATGAAGGGCGCTATATAAATGCAAGTTGTTGTTGTTATTATAGGTGGTTTCTTTTTCTATGCCCAGAGAATAACAATTTGCCTTCTTTCACACACTTAGGTACAGAATGAAGTGTGCAAGGAGCTATTCCAGTGGAAGGTGGCAAAATGCCTGAGCTGGAAGCGTAACAGCCCTGTCACTAACTCCAACTGCTGCCAGCAAAAAGGCACGAGGAGCCACGATGAGCCTGGAGCCCGTGAGGAGCTGGACTCCCCCTGTACCGATGAGGCGTTTCTCAGCATGGCCAGCTCCAGCTGTGAACTGGAGCTCTGCCACCAGACCCCCAACACCTTGCTCCAAGTCTCTGCAGTTTAGGTGTTCTACTCCCACATACACCCCTCCTCTCCATGTGCTGGGCTCGGTCTCTGCCCTGTCTGTCATACTCACCCTCTCTTCTTTCATCTTAGGAACGCAGAACTGGGAGCAGTAAAACCCGTGAGAAATAAACCACTTACCTGCATAAGTCACCACCTGCTTGTGGCAATCCTTAGCGTTCTTCAACTACCACAAGGAGTAGGTGAGGTGAAAAGCATAGATGCATTTCAGGGGAAGCTAAACAAGTACATGAGGCAGAAAGCAATAGAAGGTTATGCTGATGGGCTTAGTTGAGGAAGGGCAGGAAGAGGCTCACGTGGAGCATAGACCAGTTGGGCCAAATGGCCTGTTTCTGTGTTGTATATAATCTATGTAATTATGAATCAACCTATCTACATGTTATTACTGTTAAAATGTTTGGGTTGAATAACTATTAGTATAAAATACTGCAGAACTATTTATAGCATTTCTCCTACAATTTGTGGAGATCTTTTGATACTTTTATTTTCTAATTCCAGAGATGATTTACTTTGATTTTTATTTGTTTTAATCCTGTGTAATGTTATGTTGAGCTGTATTCACTGTTTGGCTCTTAAAATCTATCAATTGCTCCAAATAAATTTAACATTATTATTATTATATAACATTGATTGAAAGGCAACTAAAAACTTTCCTGGAGGATTGTTGGCCAGGACACTGGGATAAACGGCCTTCTGTTTTTCAATAGTGTCACAGGATCTTAAAACGTATAATAATCTTTGCATTTGGTATAGCGACTTATCACGTCGTCGAGACATTTCAAAGCGCTTCACAGATTGTATTGGGAAGTGAATTGATTATATTTTGTGGACGAAACGTCCATCTGTAGTACATCCAGACAAACATCTCCACCAAAGGACAGCACCCCTGACAATGCACATTCCCCCAGTGCTGCACTGAATAATTTAGACTGCAATGCAAGCTCAAAGCCCAGTGTGGAGACCTAAACCCTCAACCTTTAGACCCTCACGTTCCTAAACTCTCCAAAGAACCATCTCTCACCGCTCAGCAGGAGACTCACTCCACTTGAGATCATGAGTGTTGTGCCAAGGAAACAAGACATGTAGTTTTGAAAAAGCGCCACATAAAGGCTGACGCCCTGCTCATAAACCGAAAGGCAACGGAGGCGTGGGCCGGTGTGGCAATGGACTAGAATGACAATTAGACCATAAGGGTGGCATTCCTTCCTCAACTGAATCAATGCACTGGACGAAACTGCAAAGCAGACAGTCGGAGACAAGCACACAAACTGCATCGCTTGGTTTATTTACGAAACAGGTAAATTCCGACTTGGCAAGCCAGAAATTGCTGGTAACACGAGCCCTTGTACTGTACTTCAGCCGAGGGAAATGGCAGCAGTGGGCTTAACAGAGGGTCGGAGGTGGAAGGTGGGAATGTACCAGCTGCTCCGTGGGCCTGTGCCTGACGTTTAACAGGAGGTCCTGTTATTTGCGCATTCTCTGTGCTACATTCGGAAAGTACCTCTGTACCTCCAGTGACAATCACAAGCCAGACGGGGTGGTGGCCCTTTAAGGCATGTGTTTAGAGACACTGTGCAACCTCACCGGCCTAACGCCCAGCACACAGCGGGCCTGCCCGCCGTTCACAAGCCACCTCCTCTCCAGGGAATCCCAGCTAGTCCGTTTCTTTTCCATTCATAGCAGCGCTGAGTCGAGCGAGCCGTCAGTCAGTCCAATGCCATGCAGCTACTTCACCCTCTGGGTCACATAAATAGTTCATTTCTCACTTCACACTTCACGAGGAGTTCTCGATGTTGGCCAGGAATTGCTTTGCCCACCACTCCTCCAAATCAATGGGGACAAAACCTGTCCAAAAATAAAACAAGCACAGAGTTAAAACGGTAAACCATGGAAAAGCACAACATCCTCTACACTGTCCCTTCCAGCACTTACAAGTCAGGTACAGCAATGTTAGATAAAACAAAACCCCATGATGTTTAACATGGACACTTCTTCATCAAGGCACAGACTCGATTACTTTACACAGAACACACTGATCCTGTGGAAAAAGGTTATTCAAGGAGGTGGTGAAGGCAGATTGTGTCCATATGCTCGATCGGACAACGGAGGGAATTAGACAGCAATTTGGTGAAAGAACCAATTGAGTGGGGGTATTAAAGTGGATTCTTCTTTTGTGTTGATAGCAAACACGGACAGATTGGTCTGGTCTTAAAACACTCTGTGTTGTTGCTTCTCAAGCTTTGCACCTCTGACTGCTGGGTCACACAAGGAGGCCTGGCTGTGGGCTGGAGGCTGGCACAATGTTCTCACACATCACGTGCAGCTTTTGCTCATTATAACGCTCCCGAAGTTTGCTCAACAACAAAATTGTGACTATCCTGCCTTTTGGCTCCATGGTGCCTGGCAAAGGGAGCAAAGCAGAGCTCTGTGCCTCAGTGATCGGATAACCAAACCAGGTACCTCTGCAGCACTTCAGGCTTCTGGATTTGGACATTAAAGGACAGTTTCCCCACCCCCCAAACTGAACCAATCATCTTTATACCTGAGGAACCAAACCTGGGAATCACTGCAATGAAGTCCCATAATCTGTCACAAGGAGATGCTCATGTTGTCCTCTGAGAGACTCGCTCGCTACTTACCCTTGAGGCTGGGGTTGGGCGTGTTCTCGACATACTGCACAGTACCGTGCCTGCTGTCTGGACCCTCACTCGCTCCCAGCTCCTCCTCCACCTGCTGCCACGCTGCAAGAGTAACCAGAAGCGATCGCCCATCAGTACAGCTACACAGTCTTGCTCGTGGGGTGTACAGGTGCAATGCAGGGCACAGACAGGCTGGTTAGTATTCGTCACTCTTAAAATTATGCAATTTGTTTGGTTGGTAAAAGAACAACGCAATGCTAACTCAGAGTTCAACCCAGGCCAGAAAGATCTGGTTTGTGCAAATATATGCGGTACTGCCCCATTTACTCTTCCAATTGCGCCACTCACACAGACTCCTTCATTCCAAATGCAGTTTCAACCCTGATCTCTCTACTGATGCCATGTGTCCTGAATGCCTCTGCTCAGAAATCTGGACCAGAAATGTGGAGCTTTCTTTTCTCAATTACTAGAGCACGTTGTGACCAGTGAAAATAAACAAGCTCTCTGTTCTCAGAAACTTTTAACAGTTTTCTGAACTGAACTACATTTTTCTGAGCTTTTTTTTTGATAAAGAAGGTTCTTTGGCTCATTATTTTAGAATATGCATCCTACCATCTACCCATTAAAAATTCAAACGGTTTCTTAAACAAGTCGAGAATCCAGCCTATACCATCCACCTCTCCTGGTAACCCACTCAAGTTGTTCATTACACTCCATGTAAAGAAATACTTTGTGGTGTCTACTAAAATTGACCGTCGCACTCCTGAATATATACCCACCTGCCTCGCGTATTCCAACAATACTTTTCAGGATTTCCTTTCACTATCCCAATTTAGCTCTTAGGTTCCCGCTGAGATGTCTCATCTCGAAAGCAAAGGAGTGCTAGGTTATCTGCTCATTTCTCATAGCTCAATGCCTCCCACACTGGGGATTATCACACTGTTTTTCTCAGCTGCTGTATGCGAACACTAAGTTGTGAACTGCCCTGATTTGCTTTTCATTTAGTTGGGATTCCACTCTGCAGACATAGTTGCTGGAACCAGTTCCATGTAAATGATCAGAGTTCTGCATCCTCCATTTCTGGATTCTCCCTGGATGTTCCCCAATTACTGTCTGAAAGAACCCCTGGCAATGCTGTTTCCCTGCCACATGAATAGCTGCCTTTTGGCTCTCACGGTGGTGTGAGGCTACCTCCCAGACTTCCAAGTTGCAGGAAAAACTACCACGAGACTTCCGCAATGGGCAGCCCAACAGATGAGTCAAAGTGGTTAATGATTAAAGTACTAAATACACAATATCTGCTAACAGCGGCCATCTGAAGGTTACAAACAGACTAGAGAAAACTGCATTTCAAAACAGACAACACCAAACCTCCCAAATACATTGCAACCAAGAGTAGAATCTATCCAGATGTTGGCAACCAACTATCATCCTTAGTTATTGCTGCCTCGCTCACATGGCTTGGACACGGCGAGTGACAAGTCAACATACATCTCTAGGTCGCTTTCTCCTTCCACCTCAACCTCTTTGCCTATAAAAACTGGCATACATATGTGGAACTCTGTCAAATTTGGATACTCCTACCATTTCCCACCTCCACCCACTACCTTTCCCCTCAGGCCACCGAGACCCTACTCCGCACATCCATCACATCCATGTTAGATTACGCCAATTCCCTGCTCACCGGGTACCCACCTCTTCCCTTCGTAAACTGCAGACTATCCACAACTCTGTACCGGACCCTGCAAGCATATCCCCCCCATCCTCACCTGGCTACACACGCTCCACATCTCCCAGCAGATCAAGTTCAAGGTCCTCACCCTAACTATTAAACCCTTCCACGATCTTACCCCACCTGACCTCTTTGACCGCCCCCACCCCCACCCCCTCAAACCCTCCAAACCTGCTGCTCCCTCCGCTCGGTGGGCACCCACCTCCTTCGCGTCCCCCCTCAACCCACCCCACCCCACCCGCGCCCCCCCTCAGGAGTCAGCGTTTCAGCCCAACCGCTCCCGCTCTCTGGAACTCCATCCTGGAGTCCCTTCGACTGGTCCCTCTCATCTCCGTCAAGGTTCTGCCCTAAGACCTTCCTCTTTGACCGCACTTTCGGCCATCTTCCCCTACCCTGGGGCCCCCCCACCCAATCCCCCCACCCCATCCCCCCCTGCCCTGGGGCCCCCCCATAACTTGTGTTGTCTCTGAGCCTCACCCCCGACCCATCTACACCTCCCTCAAGGTCACTTGGGCCCCAAAGCAGTCGCTTTTACGACGACTGTACCGAGCGCGGAACCCACGCGACTCTTCGCCCTCTCTCTCTCTCTCTCGGCTGCCCCGGGGCCCGGGGCCTTGGGCCTGGGCCGCCGCCTCTTACCTTCGTAAACAAACCGGACGTTTTCCTCGTGCGCCTGAGTGGGCACCTCCTCCTCCTCCCGAGGCTCGCGGCCCCCGAGGCTCTGCACCCGCTTCCCGTTCACTCTGCTGAACACCAGCTTCGGCACCGGCCGACTGAGCGGGACACAGAGAGGGGAGTGGGGGGGTCAGGGACACTCACTGCGCCTGCGCCAACTGCCAAACGCCGACCCCGTGCGCGCGCGCGCGCGCGGAAGGGCTCAGAGCTCGCGTTGCCCCGCCCCTGAAGGTCACAGCCCCCCCCCACCCGCCCTTGAACGGCGCTAATCCCGCCCCCGAAGGTCACGAGCACACCCGTTCCGCCCGCCCCCATCCTCATCCCCACCACCACCGCCCCGCCTCTGAAGGTCACAGCGCCCCGCCCCCTGGAGATGACAGAGCGCCGCCCCCCCCTAACCCCAACCGCCTCCTCTCCTCCTCCTCCTCCTCCAGCCACGCGCCTGAAGGTCACCGTCACCCAGAGAGCGCGCGCGCACTTCTCGCTCACGCCGCCGCCTGTAACCTTCCTCAAGGCCGCCCGCCCGGCACTCACCTTCCCGCCGGCCAGGGCCCCGGCTTCTGCTTGAGCTCGCACCCCGACTTGGCTTCCACCTGCTGGGAGGGACCTGCGGGGTAGAGAGAGGTAGAGAGGGGGAGAGAGACATTGAGTTGAGAGGCCCCGCTGCTGGGGGGGGGAGGGGGGGGGAGAGAGACTGAGGGAGAGGGGGAGAGCCCCGGGGGGTAAGCGGCACTCACCGGTCCTGCGCTGGGTGGCCAGTCTGCTGGGCCCCCGGGTGATGGTGTACATCCCTCGGCCTGTCTGAGCCCGCGCCCCCCGCTCCTCACTCCCGCCACACTGACTGACTGACTGACTGAGACAGCGATGCCCAGACCTTCCTCCACACCTCCCCCCACCCCCCGCCACACACACACCCCCCCCACACCCCCCCCCCCCGAGACACTCCTCCACACTCACCACACACACACACAGCCCCTCCCACCCCCGAGACACTCCCCCCCCCCCTGAGACACTCCTCCACACTCACACACACACACACAGCCCCTCCCACCCCCCGAGACACTCCCCCCCCCCCACACCCCCCCCGAGACACTCCTCCACACTCACACACACACAGCCCCTCCCACCCCCCGAGACACTCCCCCCCCCCCTACACACACACACACACACAGCCCCTCCCACTCCACCCGCCCCGAGACACTCCCCCCCCCCCCCGCAGCCCCTCCCCCAAATACCCCCCATAACAAGCCAACATCACTCCCCCCCCGGACACACACAGGCACCCCTCTGCAACACACACAGATTCCTTCCCCACCCCCCCCCACACACACAACCTCACCCCCACAACACACACACACACAGCCCCATCCCCCCCACACACACTCTTCCCCCCCCCCACACACACACCTCACCCCACAACACACCACCACACAGCCCCACCCCCCAGACACACCTCCTCCCCCCCCCACACACACACATCACCCCAACACACACCCCACCCCACACACAAGTCCCACCCCAGAAATACTCTCCTCCCCCCCCCCCATACACACACACACACACACATCCTGTCCCCAGAGAACAAACATCTCAATGTCCATGTCCACGTGTTAATAGTCCTCAGGGTGACCTCACCAGAAACTAAATGAGAACTTTTCCTTCAGAGAAACAACATAGAAATCTGTCCCGGTCATTCCCGGTGGTTTAAAGTGCCGAATGTTGTACAACCTCAGATCCACAACTTGCCAAGTTTGCAAATGACATTCAAACGAACAAACAAAGGCTTAAATGCTCGTAAATCAAGCTTGGTGTACATTATAATTTCAATAAAACTTAGGCATATATTTACACGTTTTGATCAAATACATTGCCAGATAAGCAAATAAACTGGTAAACTAATTAATGTCGCAGAGAGATGATCTTTAGTTTCTGGGTGTGGTCCACTCAGGCTGAGATGTTGATGCAACCATCCACACCCTTTTGAAAATACCTCATTTGATTTATTTGTAGCACCTTGGGAAGTCCTCCCAAGATTAAAGGCACGAGATAAATGCAATATGTTATTTTTTCAAAGTGATGACCAATATTCTAAATGAGACATTACTTCTAAGATATGGGATCTCTCGTTCAGAATTCAACCCTATTGACCACCTTCGTTCTCCATTGAAAGGTCTATCAATAATAATCTTTGGATTTAATACAGAGCCTTATATTGAGACATATCAAAGCACTTCTCAGAATTTTAGTATGAAGTGTAGTGACTGTTTATTTGGAGACGAATGCAGCCGCCAATTTTTGACCAGCATAATTTGTCCCACAAACAGCCAAGCAGTAATCACTTAGTTTTTAATTTGGAGGATTGTTGGTCAGTATACCTGGGAAAATTCCCATTTTTCACGTCAGGAGGGCAGTGTTCCTGACATGAAAGGTGCTTTACAAATGTAATTTTGTATGGCATATAATGCCATGGGATATTTAACATCCACCTGAACAGGCAGATGGAGCCTTGGTTTAATGTCTCATCCGAAGGATTTCACCTCTTAACAACGTATCACAATCCCAACTCCGCATTGGAGTGAGTGTCAAGACTGAGTTCAAAGTCATGACATGGGTCTTAAACCCATAACTTTCTATTCAGAGGCAATCTGAAGCATACCCAATACCAAACTGCACAAGATAATAATATTAATTAATTGCATTTGCCTTAACACATTTTGGAGATGTCTCAAAGCCGGGTGTCTAAACGTATGTGGAAACCTATCACTGTGCCTAAGAATATCCAAATAAGACAGTTTGATATATGCCGCCTACATATGAAAATTCCTGCATCTGGAATGGAATTTGCATTCTCTGTCCAGAGGGACTCAACCTACTTACCTAATTCCAGAGAGTATTAAGTGCAGGTTGGCAAGAGCCGAGGCTTGAGGACCCCAACACGGGAGCAATGGGGTATTGCTGGAACTTAAACAGCTAAAACTTCACAGCTTGCCATTGAAAACGCTGTTTGACAGGCATCCTGCAGTTTGTCCGGGTAGAAGACCACTCTCCCCGTCGACACGAAACGCGTGAGAACTTTGCCACCATCTTCCTGCCCACAACTCGAGGAGCTGCGGTCGTGGAGGATAGACAGCACCACCACCACCAACAGCAACAACTTGGAATTACATAGCGCCCTCCACGCCGGACGGCGTCTCAGAGCGCTTCACAGTAACGGATCCCGGGGCCGAGCCGGGGGGGGGAGGGGGAGGGGGTGGGAGGAAGGTGACCAAAGGCGCGGTCGAAAAGAAAGGTCTTCAGCAGAGACCTGAAAGTGGGAAGGGAGGGAGGGAGGGAGCGAGACGAAGGGAGCGAGGAAGGCAGTCTCACCGTGGGGAGGAGGCGGCCACTGCAGCTCTGCGGAGGAACATGTGGACAAGTTATTGGAATGGCAATAGCCGGAGGGGGGGATGTGTGTGGGGGGATGTGTGGGGGTGTGGGGGTGTGGGGGGGTACGAGGAGACTAACATCGCTGCAGCCACTGACGTGGAACACCCGGTTGGGTTGCCAGTCTGTCAGGGAGCCCAGGGCTGGGAGCTCTCTGTGTGTGTGTGTGTGTGTATGTGAGACTGCGCGGGAGGGTTTGAATTTCCCGCCCCGCCCTCCCTCACTCTACCCACAATGCTTGGCTCGTTGCTACGGGAAACGGAAGCAGAACAACAGCGGGGCCTGTGCCTGTGTGTCATGGACAGAGAGAGGGATAGGACAGGTCAGAAGAGGGAGGGAGTGAAAGGAGAGAGTGAGTGAGTGAAAGGAGAGAGGGAGTGAGTGAAAGGAGAGAGGGAGAGAGAGGAGTGAGTGAGAGGAGAGAGTGAGTGAGTGAAAGGGGAGAGGACAGAGGGAGTGAGAACAGAGGGAGTGAGAGAGTAGAGAGAGAGTGAGAAAGGAGAGGAGAGAGTGAGAAGGGAGAGGATAGAGGGAGTGAGAGGAGAGAGAGAGAGAGTAAGAGAGGACAGAGAGAGTGAGAGGATAGAAGGAGTGAGACGAGTGAGTGAGTGAGAGAGAGAGAGAGGAGTGAGAGGAAGGAGTGAGAGTGGAGGCTCGGGCCGCCTGGAGAGACAGTGACCGGGAGCCTGAGGACAGGCCGCGGGTCAGCGACCGGCCACCATGTCCTTCCGGGATCTCAGGAGTGAGTATATCTGGTTCACAGTCAGTGTTATTTACAGCCATTGCCGCCCGTGTCCTCAGCCTTGGTTTGGTCAGGTCCTTGTGGTCTGCTTTTTATCTGACCCGCTCCTTACCTTGTGGGCGTCCTGTAGCTCAGCGGTCAGAGCACTCGACTGGCAAGCGAGAGACCTGGGTTCGATTCCCGGCCGGTCAGGGCGAAACCTTGGGCAAGTTTCCTTGCTCCACACACACACGCACACGCACACACACACGCGCCTGATAATAATCCCTCGAGGAAAAAAAAAACCATAATAATTTGGTCGCTTCAATCCACGACTCTTTGCGGGACGCTGCTGTGTGCCATTGGCTGCCGCGATTCCCCCACAAATATGCAGTCAATTCACTTTACAGTATATTCTGTGAAGCGCTTTGAGAAGTCTACAAGATGTGAAAAGCGCTATATCAAATGCAACGGTTATTATTATTATTATTATTATCATCACTATTATGACCTTTCTTAAGTATCCACACTCCTCTCCGGTGGCCGCTCTGGCCTCCCGAGCAACACATCTCACTCTGAGGACATCTCACTCTGTTGTGTGGGAAGACATGAATCGTGTACTCTGGAGCAGGTAACTTGAAAGCAAAAGCACTTTACTCCAGCAACGATCATAGCTCCTAATGGTTCTTCCCCCCCCCACTCAGACTTTACGGAAATGATGAGAGCCCTGGGGTACCATCGGCTGATCTCCATGGAGAATTTCAGGACTCCCAACTTCCCATTAGTAGCAGAAATTCTCGTCTGGCTTGTGAAGAGGTTAGTGTTCATTGATTAAATTGCTGGAAGTGAAGCGAGAACTGAAAGCCTGATATCAATTGTTTTAACTTAACCAGTGAAAAAAATTAAGATGTAAAGTTTGTACAGTGAGTCTTTCTCCAATCATCTGTTTCTTTCTGATTCTTTTGCTGCGTGCAAATTGGCTGTCATATTTGTTTACAAATACACAGTCGCTCTACAGTACTTTGTAGAAATCTTGTAAAGCGCTTTGAAATTTTTCAGTGTGATAAGGTGCTCCATCAAATGAAAGGATTATTTTTATAAGTGGGATTACACCAGATGGGCATATGGAGAAAATACTGAATCGGTCTGTGTTGTAACATTCTGTGCGAGTTAGAAAAAAGACAAGTTGTTTGCAGGTGTCTGTCTGCGAGCTGTGATACTGGGACATACTGGGCTGTCTGCCTCTGAAGAAATCAGTGACTGATGTTATTGAATTTTGTTTCCAGATATGAACCACACACTGATATCCCAACAGATGTGGATATGGAACAGGACCGTGTGTTCTTCATCAAAGCTGTAGCTCAATTCATGGTAAGTGACGCAAAGCAATTCCTGCATCCAGTGTAGGGCAGGTGCCTGGAGAGTACAGGCCTGTCTTTGCAACATTAGCCACTGCACGTCTTAAAGACTTAGCAGATTAGTAAAGGAGAATAGCAATTTGGAAAATAATGTTTTTTTTAAACTTCTCCCAGAGGTTATGAAGCTCCTGTTATTGACTGCACATGATAATTTTTTTTTACACACACACAGCACACAGACGTGGAAGCTTTCCAATTTAAAATATTGTCACAGTTTCTCAGTAATGCTGGTTTATGCTCTACGTTATATTGTTCATTCTCAGGCTACCAAAGCCCACATTAAGCTGAACACTAAGAAGTTGTATCAGGCGGATGGATATTCAGTGAAAGAGTTGCTGAAAATCACCACAGTGTTGTACAATGCAATGAAGACCAAGGGCAGAGATGCAAGTGAGGACACTGAGGAGGACACCAACAAATTTAAATTTGACCTGGGATCCAAGGTGAGCTTCTGCTCATGTAATGATTCTCACGGTAAGAAATTTGTGATGATGGCTAGGCTGTCTGTTGCCAGCCTCCTCCCCTTCATAACCAAACACCAACCCACACACAAATCTGCAGTCATGTTAATGATATTGTACCAAGACTGCAAGAGATCTGGCTGAGCCAGCAGCTGGTTACTTGCTTGTAAATAAGACAAGAAGTGGTAAGGTTTAATGCTATGTATCGTTCCCTCTACAGATTGCGGACTTGAAAACTGCTAGACAGTTGGCCTCTGAGATCACCTCCAAAGGGGCAACAGTATTTGATTTACTGGGAAAGGAGGTAGATTTGAGGGTAAGTAGAGACAATCCGGTTAGATTAAAGGGATAGATGTTGTTCTTTTAGATGAGATGTTAAATTGAGATCCCCTCGACCTGTCCGTGACACAATTTGAAAAGAGAAGGGAGATTCAGGTGGTCGCAAGATATTCATCACATCTGGGTGTGCTCTGGATAGTGTCAAACCCAACTTTAATCCTTAAATCAATAGCCTTGCATGGAATCATGCGGAAACCCATCACCATGCTTAAAGACTATCTAAACCAAACTATTTGAAAGTTACAAGTATGCGTGGCTCAGTTCCACATGTATACAGATAACATCCAACTCTACCTTTCCATCACCACCCTTGATTCCAGAATCACTACTGTTCTGAAGAGCTGCCCTTATGCGGTGGAAAACAGTAGGTAGTTGTCGGTGAGGGAAGAGTCCAACAATAAAGCATGTTGGTGGCAGGGATGGTAAACAGGAACTCCATATTTTGGTTTGATGAAGAGAAATTGCTACTAGGAGCAGGTTAAATGGTTGTGATGTTTTACAGGAGATGAGGACAGCAGCGATAGCTCGGCCTCTCGAAATCAATGAGACGGAGAAGGCACTGAGAGCGGGAATTAAAGGTATTATGGTGAGGAGCTTCTTTCATTCAAAGCTTGTAAAGAAGCGGGAGTTTCTTTCATTTTGTGATAACTGCTGGTCACTATATGTGTATGAGAGCAGTGAGGTACACAGGGGCAGAGGTGGTCCTGTTTGTGGGAGAGCACGTATGGTGAAGTGTTGCTGAGTGTTTGTAAGAGAGATAGCACATATGCAGTGAGATCATGCTGTTTGTGTGCAGGAGAGATAGCACATCTGCAGTGAGGCGATGCTCTGTGTGTGTGAGAGAGAGAGAGCATCCATGCAATGTTGAATCTCTGATATAGGAACAAGTTCAGAAGACAAAGGAGCTCCTGAACAACGTGGCGTCTGATGAGGCCAATCTGGAGGCCAAGATCGAGAAGAAAAAACTGGAGCTGGAGAGAAGCAAGAAGCGGCTGCAGACGCTGCAGAGCGTGAGGTGCATCTAAAAATGTTATCGTGCAATTGTGAAACCCTCCCCCCAATGCTGTTAGGCCTCCACTGCTACCATCTCTGTGACTCTTTTTTTTCCCCCTGTACTCCCTCCCTGCCACCACTACATTAGCCTTTCCCTACCCTCACCTGTGTGACCCCGATATCTCCCTCGCCCATTGCCACGTGGCTTACGCACAGTGTGTTTGATTGCCAGACCTGCCTTCATGGACGAGTACGAGAAGATGGAGGAGGAGCTGCAGCGTCACTACGAGATCTACGTGGAGAAGTTCCGCAATCTCTGCTACCTGGAGCAGCAGCTGGACGACCTGCATCGCATGGAACAGGAGCGGTTTGAGGTACGAGAGGAGCGAGCAGCCCTGCACAGTACAACAACTTGTATTTATATTGCACCCATCACACAGGGTAACGTTCCAGAGCGCTTGGGGTAGGGTAAAGTCCCAGTACCCTCTCCCCCATTATGTCTCTTCCCACCCCCAAGAATTCCTACGCCACCCCACAAGCACATCTACCCACTTGTGCACCAACACATGCATATGCCTGCAGATACCAGATAGTGGAAATCTTGTTGATCTTGCATTTTGACTTCAATCTTACATGGTGTTTTCTGAAAGTTCACGTGTGCAAAACCAACAACATTTCCCCACAAAAAAACATGTGCTCAGTCATTTCAATAAGTTAATTCCATTAGTAAAACTTGCAATTCTGCACTTCTGCCTGTGATCAATTTATTCTTCTCCAGATTTTTTTTATCAGTTTTTTTTCCCCACCAATATTTAATTTCTGTTCCTTAGGAAACCGAAAACACCCTGCGCCTAATGCAAAATAAACTAAAGGAGGAAGAAAAGCGTCTGATGAAGAACCCAGGTAAAGCACAACTGAAATGTCACGCTCTGTGTTTGAGCACCTTTCTACGTGGTCACCATGAATTTTTCTTTTGCTCCGCTCTGAGGACTGCAGTCCAGACTGAGACCGGGTAACTTTGCCAAAGACCGAGGATGGGACCTGGGTCTGTGTGTTTGACACCACCTAACATTGTATTTATACCCGAGCTGAGCATGTGTCAATATAAAATGTCTAATGTTTTGTTAACCAGATATTGAGATGAACTCTCCTCTCTAAAACAGGGAAGGACGATTACTCTGATACGGAAATCCCAGATGATGAAGGATCTGACAGTGACCTGGAGGACAGGCGGCCATTAAAACCAAGGCTCAGTCGGGAGCCACCTATCCAGGGTATGACCATCTTCCCTCCAAACCTAGCGCTGTAACCCAGGAGCCCGCAGCCCCAGCCTGTAAGGAGTTTGATCCCTCAGCCCCAGCTTGTACAGGACACGCTGGTCTCTGTGCACTTCCCCTGATAACTGGATGTAATATGTTGTCAGTAAAGCATTTGCAAAATGCTCTACCCTGTCGTAACCAGGATACTGAAGACTTCAACTTGTTGGCTTACTGTGAAGTTCTCCTCGTTGCCTCTCACTCCTGAATTTTCTTTCTTCTGTTGTGCTAACAGGGAGAGGAGGCGGCCGAATAGTTGGGACAATGCATGGCGGTGACACTGAAGACGAGGTAGAAGACGAGTGCTGCTCACTCTCCCTGCACTTGTCCCATCCATATCTTAGCTTATCATCTTGCTCATGTTGAGAATATGGGAACCCTCCAATCCATCTCTTCCAACATTTTCCTGCACCAGTGACCCTGAGCTGGAGCCCATCAACTTGGACTCCTTTCACTTCTCTGATCCCTCACCAGTTTCCTGACCTCAGCTCCTGCATCACTTGTGCTTCTGTTCTCGGCGCTTTTCGTTTTAATCTCTTTTTTTTTTCTTTTGAAGTGTGTAATTTCTCTCTCTCTGTTGCTCCTGTCATTGCATTACTAAAGCACAAACCTGCTAAACACAAGGGCTCATGGAACAGCAAGCAGGTTGGTTTCTCAGGCAAAGGCTGCACTTTGCTTACTCGCTCGGAACCCATCCTGTAGGGATAGCCTGGGTTTTACATCATTACATTGCTTCACTGATTTAATGTAATTTGTTGTTAATTCCCCAGCAGAACAAGGGGAAGTTCCGTATCTAGGGCCAATCATCTGAACCAACAGTGGCCTGAGGTGGCAGACAGTTTATTTAAAGTAGATTTACAGTAAGCTGACCTCTGCAGTAACAGGGACAAAAAACTAGCAATAAGGCAAATAGGGTTCCATGATTTATAACCGGTTGCATATCAAAGTAGGGAAATTAAGTTGAAATTGAACAGGGCAGTGATTATGAGTATTTTATTTAGTTTTGAGCTCCTCATTGAAGGAAGGCTGGGGAAGGGGCAAGTGCAGATTCACTAGGACGATAATGAGTATGAGACAATATTTGGGTGAAGAGAGGCTGTCTGAATTTTTTTTTACTACTGGAGCAGAGGCAATTGAGAGGGGTTATGGTTAGAGGTAGTTAAGAAGCAGAAGCATGACAGATAAGGGGGAAAACTTTCCTTTATTTGGGGATTTGGTGAAAACATTAGGGGAGAGATTAGTGCCGAGTAAAGCTGGAGCAATAGAATTGTTCAAGAGAAACTGAATAAATACCTGAGCAGCAGCATTACGGGATATGGAGAAAGCTGCAAAATGGATTCATTTAAAAAATAATCTAGAAAAACAGGTAACAGTGGCATAAATAAAGCTGAAAAATATGGAATGAGAAGTGAATCAGAAATTGGATCCATGTTCAGCAGGAGCTAGATACCTAAAAAGGAGAGAAAACCCACATGACAGATCTTCTTTCCCTTTCCCTAGGATGACTCTGATGATAGTGAGATTGATGTGGAGGATGAGGATGAAGATGAAGTTGCTGAAGATGATGACGACAGTGTTGACATCCAGGCAGAGAAAGCACCACGACGAGTGCACAAGCAGGAGCCGCTGGAGGAAAGTGACAATGACTTCTAGTCCTAGAGCAGTTTGGAGTTAGCGTTATGCTAAATAAATTGGTCCTTTGTTTCATGGCTGGTTGTCAGACATTGCTGTGTGCAATTGGGCTGCCATGTTTGCTTACAAATATAGTCACTCCATTTCGCAGTAAAATCCTGTGAAGTACTTTGAGACATCCTCCCATTTGGCACTACACCAAATGCAAGGATTATCATCACACCATCATCTTGTGCAGGGAGTCATGTTTAGGAAGTAAACCAATACCATTTTCTGTGCTTACCATTCCATCCTGTTTGTATCCTGCATGTGTGTTATACAGTCAATGTTTTCACAACTGATCAGAATAACTTCACTGAGTAGGAAGTTCATATTTGCTTTAAATTAAAATTATTTATATTCATTCCAATTTGTACCATGTGGATTTTGTTTTTAAATCAGCTTACACACAGCACTCGATTTTCTCTTGCTTTTCCTCTGAGCCCCACCACCCTGATCAATGCAAAAAAAAACATCAGGCTCATGATGGTTGTTAATCCGCATTTTAATTGCTTCATCACTGGGCATTTCCAGTAGTTACACTACACCACTCATTCCCTGCCCTACACCCAGCTGCCACTTATACAGGTATACATACACTGACTATTCATTTTTAGGGGTGCAATGATGCTTTCACAACTTGGCTCGTACCATAACTGAAAATACTTCTTAAATAACTCAGTATCTTAAGGTTCAGTCCTGGAGTTGCAGGATGTCACCTCAGGAGCCATAGCACTGACACCTCAGGGATTCCCCAAGCTGCTGGTAGCCTGGGGTTTGAAATGATTTCCTGTATAACCAACAAGCACAGGTGTTGAGCAATAGCTCCGGTGAGTGTCATGCCAAAACATTTTTCATATATAAAAACTACTGAAATGAGTTGCTCCTGATCACAACATCTTTGAGGCGAGTTTCTTCAGTCACAAGAACAGTACATTGATAGGACTTGCATTTTAAGACTTTTTCCTTTTTTTTTACATAATTAACAGCATCATCTTCAGTCGGGCAGGAAAGTACATCAACTCAACACCCATAAAGAAATCAGCATTGAGCTACTTTCCTCCCTCACACACAAACGTGAGGCTATATACTGTACTCAGCAGATAAGATTCCATTGGAGATAGCTTTCTATTCCAGCAGAGGTGCCTTTGTTCTATAAAAATAACTATTTCTACTCTGAGAGGATATAAAATTCAAAATGTACACAAGTTTCTTCAGCAGAATTTACAGGCACACACGGCATCCATTCTGGACACGCAGCAGCTACAGACGAACAAGAGACACAACCCCACCCCCTCCCCCATTGATGGGAGTGGGATGTTCGGATAGGGTTGGCCGGGGTGAGGGTTGGTGCAAGTGGAGACTGATCAATTCCTGCAGTCTCAGCTGTGACTGTTGTTGATGGGCACCAAGAACAAGTGCGTGTACAGATTAGGGAGTACCCATCATCTTAAATAGTAATTATCTGGTGACACACCAAGGAATGAAGAATAAAGGGTGGGATTCTATGAGAGAGAAGCTGGGTTGGTACCTATAGAGCAAGCTTGGTTCCTGGGAATGTGAAGTGGACAGGACGAGTTTAATTAAATGTAGATGGCTGGTGACCTGCCCAGAGCATCACGAGGAATTGCCAAGTTTCATAAAACAGCGACTATTAATGCGCCAATAAACGTGCAAGTGTGCTGTGTAATTAGTGTCCATGTGCAAATAGTGTTCTATCCCTGCTAAGGCCGGAGCAGTGCTGGAGATTCACCAGCTCGTGAGCCAAGTCCCAATGTATGAAGACCGAGATTAAACCAAGTTGAGCCTCCCCAGTGGGCATTTGCTTTGGTGAGTCGGGAGAAGAGATAGATAAGGGATCCCAGTACAACACTCAGGTCCAGCACACACGGGAGAGACCCCACACCAAGTGCTCACCAGGGATCTGCTCCAGCAGGGAGGTGGGTGGGGAAGGGAGGATATGGAAGAGAGGGATCCCAGTCCACACTGGAGCTGTGTGGTACTCCTCAGGACCCCGATGACAACAGGTGAAATGGTCAGTGTTGAGCACTACGTGCGTTCCTGCATATGCTTGATCTCCAAGATGGACGGGTTAGTCTCCATGATGGCGACAATGATACGGTCGATATAGTCTTGCAACCGGTAGTTGATCTCTTCTTGTTTGTGAATGGCATCCATCAGCTGGAATTAAACACACAGACAAATCAGGCAAAGCACTTTCCGCCCATACTTCTCCCTCCCAGCTCTGACACTATCCTAGTCATTGGAAGCTTTCACAGGAAGTTGGAAGCTCTCCAAAAAGGAATGAAGCACATTCGCGGACCAGGAGAGTTCCAGCATCCAGCCCCGTCTGTACTGATCTAAGCCTAGGGCAGCAGCCTGCAAGAGACTGTAATCCGCCTCAATTAGAAAGGAAAAAAAATCAGCCAACATTCCTGTCCTCATCCTTTTCAGTGAGCTCCCCATCTCCTCCTGCTGTTAGTTCTGGCCCCGTTGCCTCTTCTTCCCATTTCTGTTGACCGGGCTTCAGTTAGTCTTCTCCCGAAGCCATGGATAACTTCAGGTCAGTGAATGTTTGTGACATACCTCATCTCTGGAGACGGAGCTGATCTCAGACGCCAGTGACTCTGCCATAGATGCAGTAAAGAGGCTCTTTGCTCCTTGGATGCTCAGGTTAATGATCTGCCCATTTAGCTCATCATTCTGTTCCTTCAGAGCTCGATTATCCTGCAAAAGCAAGAGACCGACTCGTCAGAGGAGATCACACAAGGTGGGGAGGAGAGGAAGAGCGAGGGGAATTAAAATGCTGCTCTACCTGTTTGAGCCGTTTGACTTCATGTTCAAGTTCAGCCTCACGGGTTCTAATACCTTGGTACCCGCGGCCTGCACTGTAGCTGCGTCCTCGCTCCACGTCCAGCTTGAAGAGCTGCAAGTGCTCCAGCTGTTTCCTCAAGTCCTCGATCAGCTGGAGAGGAGAATGTGTAAAGGTCATTGTTAGCTCATCATCACTGATACAGAGAACGGATAGAGGTGGAACAACATTGCTGTGGGTATAGCAATGTTGCAGTGCCTATTCTAGGTACATGCAACCGAGCAGCACAATTCACAGTGACAGTAGTGAAAACAGGTAGACATTTGTATGATCACTAGAATAATTCTATTAAAAAAATCAACACTCCCCCCACCATCCCCTACTCTCACACACACACACACACATCATACTGAGCTTTTGGTCCTCTCGGCTAACAGGCATGAGCAATGCAAACCCAGAACTCTGCAGCCCGTGTCATCTCCCGCACCAGGCTCCATGACCCTATCAGCCCCTATGAATCCTCGCCTAACTCCACTGGCTTCCCATCACACAGAGGATACAGTTCAAGATCCTGGTGCTCATCTTCAAAACCCCCCCATGGCCTTGCTCCACCCTACCTCTGCGATCTCCTAACCCCCTTCCAACCTACCAGCTCGCTCAGCTCAGCAGACTCCGGCCGGCTTCATATCCCCCGCCTCGCTCACCCCACCATTGGTGGGCGGGCCTTCTGCCACTCTGCCCTCACCCTCTGGAACTCCATCCCGCAGTCCCTCTGCCTCGCCCCCTCCTTTGCTTCCTTCAAGACCCTCCTCTTCGACCGTGCCTTCGATCACCCTACTTGCCCCCCCCGCCCTCCACCCTCCCCAATTCTGACCCCCAGCTCGGGTCCAAAACACAGACTGACAGCCCCTTGGGATGTCCTCCCGAAGTGAAAGGTGTTACACAAATATAATTTTGTTGTTGTTGTGAATACTCAGTCAAGGCTAGGTTGGAGCTCACCTCCTGAGTGCCTTCCTTTTCCCTCTGGAACAACTGGCATTGGTGCAGCACTTTATCTGATAGTTTCTGGTTGCTTTTCTGCTCCTCGCTCAGTTTCTGTGACACGTCTTCAACCTCATCGAGTAATCTCCGCTTCTCCTGGAACACAAACCCAGTCAGCGAGTACAGGGACGGGGCCTGGCACCCCTCACAGCCAGTGACGCTTACGCATGCCACCAGGATCAAGCTAACTCAGTGGGCTCCTTAAACCCACAGGCAGAGTGGAGAAAGGCACAAATCTGATGGTGGTTAATAGTCAGAAGTTTGCTAACACTACTGAGCGCAGAGCAGCCAATGGGAAAAAGCAAATTTGCTTACCTCCTCAAGCCTCTGAATGTTGGCTCGAAAGCAGGGGATGCAAGCTCGCAGCTCCCCCGTCTCCTCATCCAGAAGCAGAAGCCTGTCAGGGGTAAAAGGCACAATGTAACATCATTCCTCACCACCTGCCCCTGCTTCCACTATCCAACAAGCACAGCGAATCACTGGGAAATTTCATTCCACTCTCCAGCTAATAATAAGCCTTGCATTCGATATGTTGAGACTGACTGAAAGAGCTTCGCAGAGTTTTTAAATAGAGTGTAGTGACTGTATTTGCAAGCAAGCAAAACAGATAATTTGTGTATAACAACATCCCATGCAAACGAGGGCTTTCCTTACCTCGCTTGCAGATTCTCAATCTCAATGTCCCGTTCTCGTTCCACTTTGCTCAAAGCTTCTTTCTGCCTTCGAATTTCATCAACTAACATCTGCTCTGAATGATTTTCCTGCTCCTTGAGTTGCTCCTCCAACGCATTTGCCCTGCAAAGATTCAGACAGCGTAAGCGGGCAGAGTCTGACACCGGAAAGGATTGGGGGAGAGTCCGACAGATAAGCGGGCAAAGTCAGGTGTGAATATAGTCTAATTGAGACAGTAATTAGTTTCATAAGCATTGAACTACAGTGAAGCCTCTGCAGTGCTCAGCCAATTCCAACAGGAGGTTTAGAAGCGCTGTTAACAGGCGTGGCTTTCAGTTGCATTTCTTGTTGCTCAAGATCCTACCTGTGCACCAGCTGTAAATTCTCATGTCTCAGGCGGCTCTGAGCTTCTCTATGGGTGGCGCTGTCCTTCTCCAGCTCAGTCACCCGCTTCTCCAGGAAAGTTACCTGCACAGGAAAAACACAAGGTTATTAACAGTAACAGTTGCATTGAGCCTAAGGAGTGGACACAATCCTGGTAATAGTGTGGGGATGAGAGAAGAGTGATTTGCTCTTGCACAAACCCATGTCGGTGTACGAAGAATGAAATCGTGACACTTATAAATAAAATAAATAATAATCCTTGGATTTGATATAGCACTCTCACGTCTTTGAGACGTCTCAAAGCGCTTCACAGAATGTACTGTAAAGTGAATTGACTGTATGTTTGTGGGCAAAACGTAGCAGCCAATTGCATTGTCCCACAAACAGTCGTGGATTGAGTGACCAAATAATTATTTAAAAAAAATTTTTTTTTAAGGATTATTATCCCCAGGAAAGCGATCCACCAATCGGCTGACAATCAGGTTCCTACTTATTGCTAGGTAAACAGGGGTATGTGGAGCAAGGAAACTTGCCAAACATTTCGCCTTGCTGGGAACAGAACCCAGGTCTCTTGCTTTCAAGTGCTCTAACCACTGAACTACAGGACTCCACAGGACTCTGCGAATGGCACTTGGCGCATTCACAGTGCAGCTGCAAGCTACAGAGTGGGGTAATGTTGCCTGCAGTGCTGGCAGATGCATGATCTGGAGACTCACGAGAGAGCCCATTGGAATATAGTCCCCGCAACACCTCACGCAGACTGTCCTGAGCAATGCTGCACCAGAGTCAATGCCTCATAGTACGAGTGGACCAAGTATGAGATGGTCACTCACTAAGTACATACACTGACGAGTCAAGGATTACACAAACATCTCTCTCCAAGTGTTATATAGTACTTGGACTAACCTTGTCTGTGAGGTCCAATGGAGTGAGATTCTGGAAGTCCTGAGGAAGCTCTTCCATGTTACCGAAGCCGAGTGCACTGCACTGTTGCAGATGCCTGCGATTGCAGAATCGTGTTTTAGTTACAGATAAAGACCAGTTGTACAGCTACTCGTGTTGGGAGATACTCCAGCTCACAGAGGAGCTGTGCCAGGCACCTCCTGCTCCACAATCACGGCTCAAATACAATGTGCCCAGCTTGTGGCTCCAGGCGCTTAGATCTCAGGATCCCAGCAGCTGGAGGCCAGTTAACCCAGTATGTCTTTGCCTTTGTTAGCTTCCCCATCAGAGCTATGTATTCTAATCCAATCCAATGTTCTTTCCCCAAACATTTTCATATTTTATTCTGTCTAATCTTCTTGTGTATTGGCTTCAGCGGTTACTGTGGCAACATTACACATCCTAATAACACATCCTATCGTGTATAAACAACTGCCCAAGTCAATCCCCCCCACATGCTCCACCTCCATCCCACCTTCGGAGCTCCCTCCCCACTTCCTCCACCAGGATTTCCCCTTTGCATCCCCCCACTCCCGTTCCACAACGTCCCCTCCCACTCCAACCCCATAAAGTATCGCAACACAAAGCTGCACCCCCATACAGCCAAACAAAAGCCACATTCCACCAGAAAACAACGTAATCCCCACTCTAGCACAGGCAGTAAACAAAATCTACTCACCGAGCCACCTTCTTGCTACTGAGCTTTTTCAATGGACTAAAAGGGAAAAACAGAATGAAAGTGAGACGCAGGCACCTATAGCCCCATCCTCTATGTCCCCTGTGAACCTTCTTTCCTACCCGCTCCTTCCCCTGTAAACCTACTGACCTACTCCTCCCACTCCATTCCCTGTAAAACACGGTAACAGTGTTTTGTTACCGTGGCCAAACAATGGCCAGTCAGGCCCCAGTTACCTATTCATTTCCAGATGGTTCAGACGTGAGGTCAGATCTTCCAGACGATTGATTTGCTTGTGACATTGACTGCAGTAAAATTCCAGCCTTTCTTCTCCAATAATGTTTTGCAATGTTGAGGCGAAGTTAGTAACACTAAAAAAAAATCAGAGGCAGAGGTTGACTTAGTGAAGCATTAAGCATAAGGCCACACCACATGCAACAACTGAACTAGAAGCAAGTGATGCAAAACTTAAGAGGAAATGCATTTCTTTATGCAGATTGGTGTTAGACTGGCTCAGTTCACAACACTTTTGCCTCTGGTCCAAAGGTTGGGGGTTCAAATCCTCCCAGTGGCCTGGCCAACAATCCGCCAGATAAATTTGTCATTCATATCCTAGCTGTTGTTGGGATTTTGCTGTACATAAATTGACTGCTATATTCACCTAAATACACTTTCAATAATTACTGTAAAGCACTTTGAGATGTTTGTACATTTATAGGCACTATATCAAATGCAAGAATTATTATTCCTAATTGATTATTGAGGTTGGAACAAATAGAATATTCAAAAGGGAACTGAATAAACACCAGAACAATAATACAAAACATTAATGAATATGGAAAGAGAGCTGGCAGTGGGATTAAAATGTGATTTAGAAAAGCCAGTAGTATTGGTTCAGACACAATGAATTGTGCAGCCCCCTTCGTACAGAAAATTTCCATATTTTTATGAACCCAGGGCTGGCTCCGAAGCTAACAGTGGATTCAGAACACAAACCTCCTGCCATTGTCCTTCTAAATCTAAAACTCTACCATTGCCATGTGTAACTCCATGATCCTCATCAAATGGTCCTAAAAACCAGAACCTGTGAAACAAGTTGGCTTAGTACGAAGTGGAGCATGATGAGTCTTTTGTTCATCAAAAAAGGGCAAGAACATTACACTGCAGTCAGACACTTAGGACTCAGGTTTAGGTTATTCAGCCCTAAACTTGCAAGACAGTCGGAGATGCCCATAGTGATAGCAGACACTTTTTGGCTCTTACCTGGGAGCCAGCAGTGCTGAGCACTCCAGGTGCCCGTTCATAGGTGAAGCTCCGTCCTGACAGAGACTACTGGATGCAAAACCAATCTCATCGTTTTCTCCATAATCTTCAAAGTGCTCCCCCGTGCCTTCCAGCGACATGTTGGAGTCCAAAAAGAAATCGTGCTGATGGATCCTTGCAATAAGAAACACCAGAACAAAGTATAAATAACAAAAACAGTATTGAATATTTTAATAAAGGAAGTGCAACTACTTCTGCAATGCTTTTCTTCATTGTTTGAGTTTGAATCTGCATATATGATGCAATACTCACTGTATGCTGTGCAACCATTGCAAATTGTCTTTTAAAGTAATGTCACCCTGCAGCTGGCCTTGTCACCAGAGCACAACCCAGGCTCTCCTCGCTTCTTGACTCAGCAATTATCCTTAAAGCTTGTAAAGTACTAACATAGGATTCCCACACAGTGATGACATGCAGCATGGGATTCGCACACAAAGCTGACATTATTGGGGCTCAGGCCCACTGTTCTCTTTCACCAGAGTTAAGGCTGGCTGAACGATTCCTCACACAAAGATCTCTTTAATGAGCCAAAGCCCAAACAGCTTGGATTGTACAGGTAGCTGAAAGAAAATCCAATCTATGCAAACTTTTAATCTAGAGAATAATTATTAGCACTAGAATAGTCTGTTTTTTCTTTTATATTATAGATGCCTTGTTATAAAGCCCAGGCTCCCTCCCATCAGCTTTCAAACTAGATTTTACTGATTTATGGATTTCGACCCCAAGATCCTTCTGTTCATTGACCCTTCCTGCATGTCCATTTGGAACTTCACTACCTCTATTCTCTCATCCAGAGTGTACTAACTTACACTGTATTAAAGCAAACTGCATCTGCCATTGTTTGGTTGACTCACTTAGGAAGTGTTAATTCCTTCACAATTTACCAGATCAATTTTCAGCAAATGTGGAAATACTCCTCTACATTCCAATATCTAGACAATTTTCATATGGGGCTCCAACTTTATGTAGTTTCACCTCCCCTTGCTCAGTCGAAGGAATTGAGGGTGGAGAAAAGAATGTTCAGTCTGGGTATGGCTCTGTGGGCGGGAGAAAAGAAAGGCTCAGTCCAGTGGGGCGGTTGGTCTGAGATAATCTTGGTCGAGGTCAGAGTCTTGGCTCAGGGGTATCAAACTGTCTGCAGTGGAAGTTAGCTGGGATATTCCCTTACAGGAATAGAAACAGAAGGTAACACTGGAATAAATTACTATCAGCACAGATTGTGGAAACTGAATGCGAAATCCATAATGCACACCACACCAAATGTGACATTTCTATCACTGCTTTTGATTTCACACCGTGTAAGAAAAGAAGTATTGCGTCACAATACAAGAGCAACAATTTTAGCATCACAAATAGCAGACCTGCAGCTCTCAGCAATGAAAGAGCCATTTAATAGGGTCTGAATCACTCATGTCGTTAATGCATCAGAACAGGAGCCATGAGCTGAACAGAGCCGATTAAGCTAAGCTGTCTGTACACAAGCAGAATCAGAGAGTGGGTCCCAGGGATATGTGGGCTGCAGTCAACGGGTGGTCAAGTAGGAATTTCAGCAACGGGTGACCATTTGGCCCATCGAGTTAAACTGGTACAGAGACTGTGCTGCCTGACCACATCCTGTGGTGCATAATCTCAGTGCAGACTCGATTTTAAATAATTTGTGGGAGCAGCTCCAATGGTGTTGTGGTCAGACCTACTGGAGCCTGTTGGCTCAAATCCTGGTTCGTGCTGTTGGCTCGATTCAACCAGGGATGCACCAGGAGTCTAAATTGGCCTTGGCTTTACCAGGATTGGGGAGAGGAAAAATCACAGTGAAGTGGCCTGCCGACACTCACTGCCAAGACTCACACGTGAATACTGCTATTGACGGAGTTCAGTTCCATTGGAACCGCACTCTAGCAACAGTAGGCCAGACCAGGAGCAGAGAAGCATGTCCTGGGAGTGGGGTTTCATNAAAAAATATAAATTAAATGCTTTGTGTGTAGCCTGGAACTAGAAAGATGCCACAAACAATCTTGCTACACCTATGAACTAGGGATTCCAGAACAATGATCCCATCCACGTTGAATTTGGAGAAACAGACAGGAGTCATTGTGAATAGTAATAAAATAATAATCCTTGCATTTGATATACCGCTTTTCACGTCTTCGAGACATCTCAAAGAAATGAGAATCCTAAAATCCAAGCCGATGACCCAGATTCAGGATCAATTAGATACGCTGCATTCTAACGTGGACGATTACTCACGTATTAAATAACCTCACAAGTGACGACCAGCACAGCTTCAGAGGGACAGATCCTGTTTGACCAACTTCAGATTTACAAAGTACCACACAAAAGACTACTTCACAACAGGCATTAACATGTCATTTATTTACCCAGAGGGTAATTAACAACTGGAATGGATTACCAGGAAGGGTGGTTGATGAAACAAAGTCTTGGACTCGTTTTGGCAGGGACTCGTTTTTTTAAAAAAATTGAAACTAAAACTGTGCAAACCATCTAGCTATAGGCAGGCTGCCGAAATACACATCTTCCAATCCCTGCACAAACAGCCTTCGTTCTACTGAATCTGGTACACGTACTCCCCCTTCTACTCTACTCACGTACACACACTCTCCCACTCTACTCGTGCATAGTTATCCACCACAATAGTCAATCCACAGACATTTTTCCCAAATCTGGTTTCATACAAACTCACAATTTAGGCAAAGACCTGCTTCACTTACCAACGTCCCTGCCCAAACCCCCATCTCTTTGTACCCCACAACCAGCGGCACTGCAGGTCACATACCTGTGTAGCACGCGGGCACTGGTCATGTTTAACGGTTGCTGTGCCGTAATCAGGTACAGCACCATGTCCAGGCGCTGAGTGCAGCCAGTCCCTATGCTAAGTGCCTTAGGCTAGCTGTAAGCAGCTTGTGTAGACAGCTGACAGGCCCCGATGCACCCTCCTCTGCTTATAATCTCCTCACACATTAATCTGCTAATGCAGCCTTCTAAATACACCTTCCAGAGAGGGGATTGTGAGGTAGAATTCAATAAGAACAAAACAAAGTTCTCCTTTGAAGTGTAATTTTAATTGGAATTTTTAAACAAACAATTTGTTGAAAACTCTGGGCAGCAACTTAATCAGTGGAATTGTAAGACTGGCAATGACTCTGGAGGGACAGTCATCTACCTTTGCAACTCTTAAAAATTTTGTCACCGACTTTTTAAATTAAAAAAAATCGTACAAATCTCTCATTGTAGAGTGTGTTTGCACATCCAAGATTGCAGTGGCACCAAGGGTTTGTTGATCATACACATTCCAGTGGTCAAAATGCTCCTGATGTACGAAAAAGGGCAGCTCCAGTGCCTGAAAGATCCCACCGTATGTTCATAATATCATGATTGGGCCTTCAGCAAACGACCCTTCAACATGCCATCTTCAATCCAACCCCCAAAGCTCCAGTGTGACATTTTTATTCCATTTGTGGTATCTCTGAGAAAGAGATTAAGTTTAGGGCTGTTCATATTGTGGTCTTCCTGGACTTTCCTAAATCTATTTCACATGCAGTCTCATAGCCAGCAGAGTTGCCTGTATTTTGGGTTTGATTCATGTAGGTGGACAGAGAGAAATTCCACTGACACTCAACCACAGAGAATTTAAGTCTGAGCGGGACTCACACAAGCCTGGAGTAGAGGAATTGGAAACGTTCCAGCGCAACTTACCCACTATCGCCATTAAATGGAAGCCCATTGTCAGTCTCCTGCAGCATGTCTGTGTGTTCTGAGTTCAATGTGGCATCAGTAGCACTGTCCGTTTCCACATCGTCGTGCATTCCAGGGTGCACCAGCGTCCCAGTGTCCTCATCTGTAAACGTCTCGCACTCACTGTAGGTGCTCTCAGAGCCCATGTATGCACTGTCGCTCACCTCATTCGGCTGAAAAACAGAACAGGTAGAAGCATAGATTACTAAACGTCCCAGTGCAGCGCTAGGAAGGCTGAGTTATGGTACAGGAGAGCAGACATTCAACACAGTATAGTATATACAGTTTGTGCTGCAGGGACCAAAGCTAAACTATAGTGTGTGTAACCAGTGCTGGATACAGGAAGTAAAATAGGAGCATATATACTCCATGGTCCAAGCAGAGACTATCGAGCGGGAATAATATCTTTTTCTCCCTCTACTGATTTATAGAATCATACAACAGTAACTTGTATTCATATAGAAAATGTTTGGTGAAATGTCTCAAAGCGCTTCACAGATATCAGAGAATTTAAATATTGGTGAAAGTGACATTTTTAGGAGCATTTTACGGCAGAGAGAGACAAGGAGCAAGTTGAAGGGATTTTAGGAAATCATTTGGAACAGAGAATTCCATATTCCACCCACTCTTGATGTAAAGATTTATTTTTTCTAACCTTTTAATTTCTTTTGTGATTAACTTACAATTCTGCTCTTGTGTTATTGACTCACTGCCCGATGCAAATGAGCTATTACTATCTAACCTTTCAAAATCTTTCATAGTCATGAAACCACCATCAGGCCACCATGTAATCTTCTCAGGATTAAGAGGTGTTCCACACTTACTTTAACCTTGACCCTTCTTGTGTCCCGTTTCCCCTCCTCCCCCCTCAACAGCCTCCATTTCCAACCCCAGCTTAGCAATTGAGGTGAGAGAGCGCTATCAACTAAACTCACCTCTACACACCTACCAATCAGCCAAGTGATTTGAATTTTCTTGGATGCAAATATAAAACAGGAAAGAGAATCAGGAAATCCACTAAATGGCCACCTGAACTGCAAGGACGACCAGACAGGAGTTAAATTAATGAATCAAAGGGAATAAAGATAACAATCTAGAAATAAACTCATATTTAACACTGAATCTAAGCAGTACATCAGTCAATAAGTGCCAGCAACATCCCACAGAGTGAAATGAGTATGGTATTCAAATTAATTTGAAATATTTTGGAATGAATTTGGATCGGAGAAGAATACTGGCCATGTATCACTACATATACAATTACAAGGAAGTAAAAGGATATTCAAACATTAAGGTTCGGTTGAAGCTACTCTTTTGGATTGGTAGCCTGTTGAATCCTTGTGAAGTTTTTTTTAAAAAAGAGAAGCGTTGAAATTTAAGTCTACATACCCACGAATCAGCTCTCTCCTATACAACCTGGACACTCTCAGCCCCCTGAGACGCTACCCTGCGTGGAGGGCTCGAAATAAATGCAAGTTGTTGTTGTTGTTGTTGTTGTGTGACACAGGTTTTCAGCATTGTTATTTCAGGCAGCTGTGTTTAATGCAGCGGGAGATTGTGAGCCAGTCGGGCACTCTTCATCCACTGCAACAAACTACTGTAAACACTGGGAGGAGCCACACTGCACGGTGGGACTGCAACACATTACAAGAACACTAGGCGGAGATATATTACTGCTGTACAGCACCACAGTTCGGTTTCTAGAGATTTCCTGGAGATGCACTGAGAATCACGAGAATCCTGTTTGCATGTAGCCAGCCTACCTCCAGTATTTTCCCTTTCTCGTTTAACAAATAATAATAATAATAATAATCCTTGCATTTGATATAGCGCTTTTCACGTCTTCTAGATGTCTCAGAGCGCTTCACAGAATAGACTGTAAAGTGAATTGACTGTATATTTGTGGGTGACTGCAAATTTCTGCCTTGCTGGGTACAACCTTCTGTGGCCAGATATATGCACAATTATAAATAAAGTCCTTGCATTTGATATAGCATCTTATCACGTCAAGACATCTCAATGAGTCATTAATGCCATTTACCAGGAGACTGCTGAGTCCTCTAATAATGACTTAATGCTGTATACACACCATGCAGCAATACAATTATAATCAAACACTGGTGCATACAATCTTACTGCCCTCTCTCACACACTTACTTCTGTCACGTTCTCGATAATCTGTTCAGAGAATCTAAACCTTCAACTCAACAGTAAGACACATCCTGAATATTATTTGTAACACAGGTCCTGAATATTAGTTGCATAAAATTAGTCTCAACAAATTTGGAATTAAGATTTTTGGGGGCAGAATGAAAATACCTTCCCTTTCCTGAATGGTATATTCAAATGCCTTATATACCCTGCAATCTAACACACAAGCACGATGTGACTGACAAGACTGTGTATGAAAAGCATGGACTGATGCCAACAGAGGTAAATTCTCTTTTTGAAGTGGAGAGAATCTGCTGGTGGTGGGGACTGACAACGCAGGCTGGGGCAGTTGGGCAGATAGGGAAGGCAGAGCAGTGGTGGGGGGAAGAGAGAGAAGGATGAACTGAAATCTAACCAAGCTGTAATATAGCAGGCAGCTTGTTCGGGAACTGAAATCTAAAACCTCAAGTCATTCTGGTCATATAAATCTGCATAAACCATGCGGGTTCATGTGGGCGAGGGGTGGGGTAGAGAGAGGAGGAGGGCGAGCCTGAGCAGATTTTATTGTAGTGGTCTTACCTCAAAACCTGCAAAGTCCTCAAATTCATCGGCACAGGCTGCTACATCCTCCTCATTCCCCAACCCCATGTCGGACGTCTGGCTGTCGGAATCTGTGCGACAAAAGTACAAGAATGAAGCAATGGAGGATACATACTTCTGTATAGTCATAATTATTTAGTTAATGGACATCACTGGGAGTGCTTCATACTAGTCAATAGGTGGCAGTGCAAAGCCAAGCAGGTGTATATGTAGATATAAAGAGAGCGTCCCCATACAATCCAGTGCGGCATTGGGTACAGGTTATACAATAATCCTACCATGGATATCCAAAATGGGAGGATACAGAATTTTAGCCTCAAAATAACGGTTTCTCCCAGTTTCAAGAAGTTGTCTGAATATCTTTCGAGAAATGCATTAGCATAGTAGTATCACTGGCACAGTGTATGTACTCAGGCAACAATGCCCCTAACAACTAAACATTCCCAGGAGCGTGGTTACCTTACATTCATGCTCCGGAACCTTTGGGATAACTTCTTCCCTAAACTACAAGTAGGCCAAGAAAAAAAAAAACAGGTGGGAATCTCCTGGCATCCATTACCACTATTTAAGCAATAGTCTATTACTAAGATCCACAGGACTTTATAGAGGGCTCAATGCTTTGGGCTTGTGCATATTTCATATCTGCTGCGGTCGTGAGCAAAGCCAGATAAGATAAGGGTCTTGGTCAGCTAACTTTTTACAATGCAAGTTTAACAGGTTTAACAGTCACCCTCTCCCAGCTATGACTCGCTCTGTTTTACATTGCAAAAGACAGGATTATAGAGAGGAATTCGCTTAGATAGCCACATTTACAGTAATGTAATGTGGTAGGCAAGCAGCTTCAGGCCATACGAAACCATTGGTGCATGGCGTGACAATGTGTAAATTGTCTTCTACAAAATATGCCACGCTGGCAATTTAGCCATAGCCCACAAGTAGAATTCTGCATGCTTTCTAATGGTGTTAACATATTATATTGCAACAACATTCAGTCTTGCTCCCCAAACCTCAATGTCACCCAATCAGTTACTCATTCAATGGAACAAACACTGATGTGTTAAAACCAAGAACTCGCAGAAGAGAGTAGTGGGGTATTAAGCACGCTGAGACTCTACCCTGTGTGGAAGGCTCTATATAAGGGCAAGTTGTTGCTGTTTATTACCTGAATCCCTACACCCATCGACGCTCCCCATCTCTGTGACCTTCTCCAGCATCAATCTTCTGTTCATCCCTACAATCAGAAACTCCTTCCCCCTCCCAGTCTTTAAAATCCGGAAAACCCAGCTCTTTGATGATATCACCGCTTACCTCCACCCATTCCAGCTCAGTGCCTGGCACAGTCTCGGTAAAATGCTTCGAGGCATTCCCTATATAACATAAGTGGTTGCCCCACATCTACTGAGCACAAACACAAAACTGACCTCCATTCCTTACCAGCTCTCTGTCAAGATGACTGTTTTGAAACACTCAGTTGTTCTACTGTCTCAGAGAGAAAGAGAGAGAATGTCACATCCAAATAACTCACCTTGATTTCAGATCTGATGCTGAATGGACCAAATAATCATCATAATCCAATTTATTAAATTAGAAGTGGGAGAAGGGCTCACAGTCTCTTGNTTTTTTTCACAAAGAAGATTCCTACTTTAACGTAACAGCTTTAAAGCATTCATGGACGTAGGATCAAAAGACATTAAGACAGGAGAAGGCCATTCATCCTATTAAGCAGGTTCTGAAATAAGCCATGACCTACGTACTATAATCTCACTAATCCTACCTACACATCATTTACCTGAATATTCTTTTTAATTCTCCAAGTATCTATAAATCTGTCTTAAATCTTTCAACTGATTTCACATCCATAGCTTTCTGGGGCACTGCATTCTCAAAGCACTTCATAGTATTTACTGTAGAGCATAGCGACTATGAACTTTGTAGACAACTGTATTTAATGCAAATATCAGGCTCTTTACTGTATTGAACTACATTTGTCAGTGATCAGAGCATGTGTTTAGCCTATTGAGCTCATTTTAGAAAATCCTGGCTCCTCTGATTTCACAATTCCACTAAATTTGTGTCATCTGCTAATTTAAAATGTAGTTTTCCAATTATTTAGGTCACATCAAGGGGTCTGTAGTTGCCAAGTACAATTCTGTCACGTTTCATTAACGATGGGAACCAATTGCTTCCAGCATGGGTGAGGTACGTGTGGAAAAATACCCCAGTGAAGGAAAAAGGAGTCAAAGGCTTTTAATCCTCACAGGATGTCTATTCCACCCACCCAACTGAAATAAGTTAATGCATAGAAGGTCAAAGTATAGAAACGTGGGAAACACTGTGCACTAGACTCACCTCCATTGCTTCTGATGGCAGCAATTCCTCGACAGAAATCATCAAAAGCGATCACTCCAAGTCCGGTAGGATCTAGGTATTTGGTCAGTTCTTTTACCTGAAAAAGATCAAGACAGCGTTTTAACATTGATACAAAACGATTGACAATTCTCAACTCTAAGCTGTGGGTCGGGATTGGGGAGGGTGGAGGGCAGGGGTGGGAGGAAGCAGGGTGATCGAAAACACGGTCGAAGAGGGGAGTCTTGAAGGAGGTGAGGGGGAGAGACTGTGGGATGGAGTTCCCGAGGGTGGGGGTAGAGTGTCAGAAGGCCTGGCCACCAAGGGTGGGGCGGGTGAGGGACATGAAGCAGGCCGGAGCCCACTGAACGGAGGGAGTGGGCAGGACGGTAGGGGGTCAGGAGTTCGCAGAGGTAGGGGACAGCAAGCCCAAGGAGGGTTTTGAGGTCAGGACCAGGATCTTGAACTATATCCTCTGTATGATGGGAAGCCAGTGGAGTCGGGCGAGGATGGGGGGATAGGGTCATGGAGCCTTGTATGGAAGAGGACATGGCTGCAGAGTTCTGGACGATCTGCAGCCTATGGAGGGAGGGAGTAGTTGAGGAGGCCAACAAGCAAAGAGTTTGCATAGTGAAGCCTCAATGTTATGAATGCATGTTATGAGGGTTTCAGCCGCCTGCAGTGTGAAACTTTAGCAGATCCGGGCAATGTTGCTGAGGTGGGGAAAGGCAGAGTGGGTGATGGCACGGATGTGGGGTAGAAAGGATAGTTGAGGGTCAAACAAGACGCCAAGATTCCAGACTGGCTTAGTAAGATGGAGTTTGCATTCATAGATGGTGAAGAAAGTTAGCTCTCATCCAGGACTTGATGCCTGACAGACATTCTGTCAGAACAGCAGTGGTCCAACAGCAGGTTGAAGGCAGAGAGGTACAGTTGGGTGTCATCTGCATACATGTGGAAGTTGACCCGATGTCTGCGGATGATGTCACCAAGAGGGAGCATATAAAATGTTGAAGAGGAGGGGACCAAGGACAGAACCCTGAGTAACGCCACACGAGACAGTGCGGGGGCTAGAGGAGAAACCGTTCGTGGAGATGAAGTGGAGACAGTGTGAGAGGTACAATCTCAACCATTCAAGGCAGAACCGTGCAGGTTGAGGTGAGAGCAGAGGCGGTGTATGAAGATAAGAGTGGTCAACGGTGTCGAAGGCACCAGAGAGGTCAAGAAGGACGAGGAAGCAGAGGGAGCCCTGGTCGCAGATGGACAGAATGCCATTTGTTTCTTTGACCAGGGCTGTTTCTGTGCTGTGGGCGGCACAGAAACCCGATTGGAGGGGTTCGTGCAGGGAGTGGTGGGAGAGGAAGGAGCGAAGCTGGGAATCAACTACTCATTCCAGGATCTTAGAGAGGAAAGGGAGGTTAGAGATGGGGCGGTAGCTTGAGAGCAGAAATGGGTCAAGGGTGGGGTATTTTAAGGCTAGGAGTGAAGGACGCAATACAAGTATAATTTGTTAATTGTTGTTATGCTCTACAACTGTCCCATTACATTTTATAAGCTAGAGCACAAACAAAAAGGGAAGAGAATAGCACACCTCCACAAGGAAGCACCTGCCCAAGATTTAGAAAAAGTAGGACCTGGTGAATAAATGGACAGTGCAATATTATAAAAGCCCTCTGACAGGTGGATACATACACAAATAAATCTCAACTACAAAGTAAATGGTGGAAACACTCTCAAGATACTGTAGTGCAGAAATGGTTAACTGGAGCAGAAGCAGAAAAAAATTCTGTCAACAGCTATGCTTGCAAATCTGTTGTGTGCAGGTATGTTCACAGGGTAGGTGACATGCCCCTGATCCACACTGCTATGAAATATTGATGAAACTGACATTGATCCTCTAACCTGGAGAAACAACAGCTCTGTATCTAGGCAACAAGTTAACTCATCTGAGAAACTTATCATTCACACCTTAGGCTGGCAGCTTCCACAGTCCCAGTACCACACCCACCCACTCACTCACTCACTCACTCCCCTGCTCTCACTCCACACCCGCTCACTTCCCTGGCTCCTGTACCCTCCTTGTCATGACTCCACATATACTCTCTGCCCTTGGCTCATATTCTCACCTCTACGTTGAGATTTTTCAATGTGATAAGGCACTATAAAAATATATGTTATTTACTTTCTGATGATTAAACCAGATTTCGACGAGCTCCTTCCCCTGAGAGCTACCAGTGTACACAGCTGTTATTTTTGTTACCAGTCATATAATTCTTTACCATCATGACTGGCTCAAGGTATAGCTGGGACCTTGGGGAGAAACTGGATAGCTTGGGGAAAGGGATGGCGGAAATAGAATTATAGTGGAGGAAAGCAGCGTAGTGAAAGGTAAAATAGGACATTTGAAAGAGGAAAGTAGAAAAATATGAGAAAGGTCATTGGTGTGGGGTCCAAGAGTGCAAAAATGTTAAAAGGTGGACAGCAGACAAAAGATAAACAACCAAATGATTTCTGTGCGATTTATAACACACGTGGAAGAGGTGAGGTCAAGCTCCTGGTGCACCTGGAGTAACAACTAGGCACATGAATTTGGAGTAACGCTACATCTCATGGGGAGGTAAGTTTCACCAATAAGAGGCTAAGGTTGTGCAATCTAGGCTTGTCCCTAAATAATGCAGTTCTGGTGGGGGCACGACACTAGTCAGAAGCCTGATTCATGCCCTATCCACCTCACCATCAATGGCCAAACTTTCTGCCAGTCTGCTCCCAATCTTTGGAATCCTATCCTGGAGACCCTCTGCCTTGCGCCCTCCCTCCCCACCCAACCTGCCCAAGGCCCCTCTTGTACGTGCTTTTATATAAATTGGTTGAGATGCCCTTCCCCTCCCCCTGACGTAAAAAGCACTATATAAATGTGAAGTGTTGCTGCTATGTTGTATAACATTCATACCTTGTAGGCAGGAATTAAGCATTTGACACAGTAGGGTACTATAAAGATGTAATTTTTTCATTCTTAATGACGTAATTCTAGATTACTTTCTACAGAAAATCCAGTAGTTACGTGATCTTTTTAGCAATACTGCAGAATCTTTGCTCTAATGAGAAGGTACAGAAAATATGGAGATTTTCCATTTTTAAAGACCTTCTGTATAAAACAATGGTTGGCAGCTGGATGGACAGAAGGTAGATCCAGTTCATGAATAGAGATTAATACTGGAAGCACCATTAAAACCAGTGCTTCATTCATTGAACTAAAACAGATGGAATGTGCAATAACGTGAAGCTGGAGAAGGGGAACCACATACGCAGGACGTGCTACCTCTCAAGGCTCATTAAGTCTGGGTCAAGTCCAGGAGACGCAATGTTTTTCTGTACTCTTAATTAGAAACAAACAGTACTAAAAATGACAGACCTCCAGTCAGGGAAAAACATTGGAGTCTCATTAGTAAACACCATCAACTCCCAGTAATGCCAACAACTGTACTTTCACCTAAAAGTTGCTTTATTGTGTTTTGTCTTCCTTTCTGAAAAGCACTAACTTATGCTTGGGGGCAGTTCCATGTGGACCATTCCAAAGGGACCATATGTACTCTGATAGCTGTGTTGTCCAAGTAGCTATTCCTCATGTGCGAGTCGAGACAAAGAGCATCAAAGGCTCTTTGTGAGCAACCAGATCACAGTTGAGGCCAATGCTGTTCTCACACAGACACAAATTGTAACAAGAGGTTCGGATTGCGACCAGAAGTAAGAACACGGCTGATTTTCCACTTCCCAAGCAAACTAATTGAGGCAAATTCGATATCTGCTGCCTAGGCTGAGATCAACTGACTCACAACAAGCCTGAATCCTCCTGCTCTGTACGACTGTCCCACAATGACAAGTGCTTTACAGTTCAAACCACACATTCGGAATTACATAGATTGTACAGGCCATTTAGCCAATTGGTCCATACCAGTTGTTATACTCCAAAGGTGTCTCGCACATTCTAATTCCTCTATTTCCTTCTCCCTTATGTAGAGTCATTAGAGTACAAAATTCATCACTGCAATAGTTAATTCATACTAGATCAGTAGAATAATTCAAAGGGCACCAGATAAGCACGTGACAAGTAAAAACGTTGAGACATGGGGAAAGGACTGGAAAATTGGATTAATAATAAAGGATGACCTAGAAAAATGTTGATGGATTCAATGGCCTCCTTCTGTATTAAAAAAAGTTTCTAAAACTTACCAAATTATAAGTAAAGTTGTGGATACTATTTGTAAATTGTCTCTATCCTGCATTTGCACAATGTGCATCCAAGACCTCAATGAGGGTTTTTTGTGCGCAGACTATCTAGTACTCCACCTCAGGAGAGAGCATTTGTACATACTATTAGTATAGTGTAGGCTGAGGTAACAATTCTGTTTTGTAGAATGATTAATAAACGAAGTGACGGGTAAAACAAATCATTCTTTCAGATCGGTAACTGTATATTAATACGTGCAACAAAAATCGCTGATTGTGTACCTAACCCAGACAGCACTGTAAACTCACTAATAACAGCAAAATTTAACTCCAACTTTAGTTGCTTTTTGACCAAGTTATGTGACTGAGGAAGAGGATTATAGCTCGAAGTGCATTTAACCCTCAGTTTCAATCCGAAGCCTCTCAGTTAGTAACTTATTAAAAGCACCAGAGCTTGGCTGCCTCAGAGGCTTTGTAAAACTGTAACAAGGTGCAGTACTATGCCATCGAGACCAAAAGATCCCAGTTTTGATCCCTTTCTATAAAGGGTTAGTGCCCAGGCAACTCAAGGACGTAAGGACCAGTGTTTGCACTCCTAACTAATATGCAGTGATCCTGACTTGAGATACCAGATGAAGCAGCAGGTCACATCAGCTAAAGAGAACAACGTCAGCATAAAAGGCCAGAATAGCCCATCAATCCAGCCATTCCTTCCAACTTCAGTAGAACATTCTAAATGATGTGAAAAAAGTTTAACCTTTAACAAAGTTCTCCACAATTTCTAAGGTAACTCCAGGTTACAAAACTTCACAGCCACCAAATTCCTGTGGTCTCTCCACCATATCATTATCCTCCAGTGCTAATTCACAACCT